ATCACAAACACATGTCTCACTTTTATTGTGATTCAGATCAGGAAAGTTCTCCTGTGTAGATGATGAAGTTATTTCTTAATTTATGTAAAAGTTTGTGAATATTTATATGTTAATTTCTCAGAATCCCATCTATAGATAAAGAAATATTTAGTAATAAGCTTATCCATCATGAAATAATGCATATCTTATAAATTAAAAATGATCGGTGCTCATGAATATTTCCATCATCATATTTACTAAAATACATAGGAAAAATTTGCAAAGCTTTACGTTTAATTTATGGTTTTGTGTGATGATAAATAGATAGGGTAAAAGAAGATGTTAAGATCCATGTGTACAGTTTTAAAGACCAGATCATGTTTAGTATTTTATTCATAAATTATAAAAGTTGTGAAGGAGCTGGAATTCCATAACTCAAAGGTACGATGATTAATTCTTGACTCCTTTCAGAAGGCTATAGCAGCTTACAGTTTTATACAAAAACTCTGGTTTGAAAAGAAGTTATTTTGGATGATCCTGTCGTATACAAGAGTTGTTCTATTCAGGTTTTGAACAGAAAGGAACACCTTAACTGAACCAGTAGTGTAACATTGGAAGTGTTTAGCACCAAATGACAAGATACACTAAAAAGACCAAGTCAAGTCGTAAATTAGGGGAGATTGACCCGGGTTTCAGGGTCGAAGCCGTCGATGAAACAGAAAAGTTGTGTAACAATGAATGTGGCCCTAAATTACCAGGTATCACTGTAACATTGTCACAGAGAGTATCACCATGTCACAACACTTGTTAGGCACTCCATAGTGAAAGGGTGGTCTGGGTCACATGACCACATTACCACAGATTTAATTACATTTTAAAAGAGCCAGTTCTCCATTATTATAATGTGCTTTATTGAAATGTTTTTAAGTACAGATAACCATCTAGATGGTCATTTAGGCAAAGGATTAAAAATCTTGGGTATTTTAAAATTCAGCTATGTTTATGGTTCTCTTTCATTACTGGTTACAGTGCTTGACTAAGTGATTGTCTTTTTCTTTATCTACTGGGGATTCTGTATTATTTGACTGTGGTTCTCAATTTTTTTATGTAGCACCTGTGCAGTTAATGGGTCTTTTTCACATTCTTGTAAGCTTACCTGGTATTCATATACAGCTGATTTGTTTTTGCATGCTGTAATGTCTTTACCTACAGATAACTATGTATATAAATGTGAATATCAATCTTGAAATATGCTAAAATCACATGATATTTATTGATGTTTGGTTAGTATTTAAAATCTTAAAGATCAGTTTTTGGATCTAACCTCTGAATGCATACTGATGTGATAACTATACAATAGATTTGATTTCAAGGTCTTTTTCTTCAATAACCCTTTATTGTACTCTTTCACACTTACTTTTGAAGATCTTTGACCAGATATTAGATGCCTAGAGGTTGGTGACACAGAAACGTCACTAATTAAGAATTGGTAGATAAGTAAAAAAAAAATTTGATCAAGTTTGTATACAATCAAAACGAGTATGAGGAAAGCTTGGTATACCATTAAAGGTTAAATGGCAAATCATTAATGTTTGCCTCATTGTACATTGTAGGTAACACACTTATAATTGTACTCTGGCTGATCTATGTATGTGAATGAACATAACAGGACTACTGTATTTTCCCAATGATTTTGTATTAACATCAAGATTTACATCGTGTGAGTTATAATATCATTAATAATCTGTATTTCCCAAATAGGCAGCTTATATCCATAACCGTGAGGTCAATGATATTCTGTTTTTTTCCATAATTGATACTTAGAATTATAATTGAAATCACTGACAATTTAGGGTCTGATATATATTGTTGAGGTTAATTGAATAACATTACTGTACATTCTACATTGTACATTTACTGCAGAGTCTGAACCAGTTGACTTAATAGTGTAAGTTTTATGTCACCTGTTGGTTAAATATTTGGGAAGAAAACAAGATTTCTTTAAGAAAGCCTTTCTCATTAGGAATCGTTTGGAATGTTTGTACAGAAAATAGATACCAATAACACAGAAATAAAAACAAAAAATGACGCATGCCAGAGAAAGTGAGCAGTTGCACAAATTGCTTTGTCAGTTTTGTTCTTGATGGGAAAATTGAACAACTGTGGAGAAATTTGACTTTCTGTGTTTAACCTCTGTATGGATCAGAAGACCATGTGTTGGTTTTGTACGGTAAATATCAGCATAATTTGATAGTTTTATTATTATGTTTGAAGTGCATTGAAAATAACATTGAAGATTTCTTAGAGCTATATTTTTGTAGCTGTTTATAAAATGTTCAGAATTCCAAATTAGATAATGCTGATTGTCTCCTTCATGGTAAGGCATTTTCTTAACCTGGACAGGTATGTATTCCTTGTCTCACCCTAGGGTTGAGACAGAGGAATTCCCCTGAAAGGACAATAGTTTGACATCGCAGTAACAATTCAGTGACATCAATTCATCAATTAACCTTTCTTATCTATAATGTCATATCAGTGATGCAAAGCACTGTAACAACAAAAAAAACTTTACCTAATAAGGCCAGCAGGGTAAGTGAAAAGTTATCCCCTTGTTGGTGAAATGAGGAGAACTCAACCTTCGGAATAGGATGTTTAACATACAAACACTCAGCAAGCCTTGTCTTGTGTTTGCCAACTTAATTATCTGTTCAAATGGGAGGAGGTTCTCCTATGTCATCACCAAGGGGTTGAATGATTCTGTTAAACTTGTGTTTTAAGTGTTGTGGAAATTGAAGAATATTTACCATGTCAAGGGATTTGAAAAGGTAAGTGAAGTAGATGTTTTTGGATCATGAATGAATAAAAACAGAGGAGCTGGTTTACCATTATATCTATCTGTATACCCAAGTATAGTTAAGGATTGATAATTTACCACCTGGTGTGATAGAAAACAAAATGAAAGTAGAAACTGATTTAAGTGAGAATCAGTTGATGGGTCAAAGATTTATGTCTGGGAGGGTAAGAAATTGATCAGGACTCAAGATAGGCCATTATTTTATGTGTGAAAGAAGGGATTGATTTAAAACCACAGGGAGGATAACTTTTAGAACAAATGACTATATCAGTTTATAAAAACACAAGATGTGATAACAGAAAGGCAATCCTATCATGTTTACCTCACTTGGTAGGCAAATGCTTTACTGGCCATTGAACCTCAGGTGTTTGGAAAACAATAAGCTGATAACTAAGTATAAAATACGTAGCTTTAAGTTTTACTGAAGCACAATGGAGATGGTCAGAAGAAAACTAATATCAACAGTCAGTATCCTTAATGTGGCACAAATAACCCTTCTATGTTAATAGTAGATATTGTGAAATGGGTTTCTTTCTCCAGCTTGATATATACAGAATTAAGTAAAAATTTGAATTATTTGTTAAATATACACTTTAAGGATCAAGATTTTGTAAAAATACAGACATAATTTCATACTGGAAAATTGATCCGAAAAAGATGAAAGTTTGGAAGCTTGATCCCAGTGTCTGCTTAACTGTAAAGGCTTTATGTAGAAACAAAACTACCCTAAACATACAGTTATCTTCAGATTTGTGTATGTGAATTACCTGCTGTATTTCAGTGATACATGTTACAAACAGCTTGCTTCATTTATGTATCTTTGATAACTTGGAGATTAATACATTTAAAGATAGTTTGAAGTGAAATCTTTTAAGATGACCTGGAGTTGAAAGCTTTTTTCAATATGACTTGAAGGTTAACACTTTTAAAGATAGCCTAGGTGAAAACTTTAAGGTAACCTTGAGTGGAAAGCTTTATTTAAGATGACCCTGAGTTGAAAGCTGTACTTTAGATGACCTTATGTTGAAAGCTGAAAGATAGCCTAAAGTGAAAAGTTAAAGATGGCCTTGGGGTAAAAATTGTATACAAAACAGCCAGTAAACAAACACCTTGTTCAAAGGTAGAAGTGGGAGTGACAAAAACTTCAGTACCTTCTCAATCATGAGTTTGCCTGCCTACTAAAACCTTTGTGTTAAGTAACACCAAGGTGAAGAGGCTTTTACATAATGTATGTTGTGCTGCAACTCTCAAGGGAGTACAGAATATATTAACTTGATATAGCTGACTATCTACCACTAAATATTCCTTAAAGTTCATCCTTTTCAGTTTGTTTGCTTTTTAGGACAATTAGATTGACAGTAGCGTCGTTGCTTTTTCTTTCAAGATCATTTGGATGTAAAAGGTATTCATACATGTCACCTGTGATTGGAAGGTCAAAACATGCTAGGCATCGTGGGTAATTTACAGTCACTGAAATGGCAGCTAGGTCAGGTGTGAACTGTCAACATCACAGACAGTGTTCAAGTTCTGCTTTTTAATTTGTGAAATTAATGTAAAATAATCAATTAAAATCTTTGACTTATGTAATACAGGAAGGAAGCCGTTGTTTTCCATTGTAATTTTTAATTTTTGCATGGAAAACAGCTTTATCTTGTTTTTGAAAGCATCTAAAAGGAATGAACATATAAATTACAATGAGATATGTTCTAAGAGCTTTCATTGTTTTGGGAGGTATATGTATTATGTAAAATAAACAGATTGATTTTGTGGTTATTCAGTGTTAAGAACATATAAAGAATTTCTGGTTTACAGAAATAGATATATTTTCGAAATGTTTTATTTGATATATAACATGTTTATAACAACATCTAATTGGAAAATTTCTTAATGTTACTTTATGTTGAGTAGGTTTAGGTGTCTTACACTATAATGGGTGTAACTGTTGTAATTTGTGTGACCAGCATAAACCTGTAAGAAACAAACATTGGAAAAATGCTGAAAAAAGGATGAAAAGTAATCACTCATGCATAAATAGAAGGTGCCAGTGTAAATGAAATGTAAATAGTGCAATGGTGAGATTAGCCCTCTTTGTAGGGGCCTCAGTGCTGGAGTCTGACATCTCATACTAAGTAATGAATAAAGCAGACTTGTATTTAATATTTTGCAGAACTGCTGTCATAGAAAAGTCAAATACATGGTACAAGGATGAAGGAAAGCTCTCTGTCCATATGTGTGAAGAAGGTAAGTAAATCCTAGTGCCAACCTCACCAAAAAGTACAAGGATAAATAACAACCCTGTTGTCAGGCTTCCTGTCAATATACGTAAAGGCTAAATAAATCCTGTTGTCAAATTTCCTGTCAATATATTTAGAAAAATAAATAAACCCTGTTTTCAAACATTATGTAGAAAATAAATAAGCCCCGTTATTAAACTTCCTGTCAGTGTATGTAGATGCTTAATAAACCCTGTTGTCAAACTTCCTGTCAATATGTTTAAATAGTAAATAAGCTATACTGTCACGATGTATGAAGAGTAAATAAGCTATACTGTCACTATGTATAAAGAGGAAATAAGCTATACTGTCACGATGTATAAAGAGTAACTAAGCTATACTGTCACTATGTATGAAGAGTAACTAAGCTATACTGTCACTATGTATGAAGAGTAAATAAGCTATACTGTCACGATGTGTAAAGAGTAAATAAGCTATACTGTCACGATGTATAAAGAGTAAATAAGCTATACTGTCACGATGTATAAAGAGTAAATAAGCTATACTGTCACTATGTATGAAGAGTAAATAAGCTATACTGTCACGATGTATGTATAAGCTATAAGAGTAAATAAGCTATACGATGTGTAAAGAGTAAATGTACTGTAACGATGTATAAAGAGTAAATAAGCTATATACTGTCACGATGTATAAATAGTATACTGTCACTATGTATGAAGAGTAAATAAGCTATACTGTCACGATGTATAAAGAGTAACTAAGCTATACTGTCACGATGTATAAAGAGGAAATAAGCTATGCTGTCACGATGTGTAAAGAGTAAATAAGCTATACTGTAACGATGTATAAAGAGTAAATAAGCTATACTGTCACGATGTATGAAGAGTAAATAAGCTATACTGTCACGATGTATAAATAGTAAATAAGCTATACTGTAACGATGTATAAAGAGTAAATAAGCTATACTGTCACGATGTATAAAGAGTAAATAAGCTATACTGTCAATATGTATGAAGAGTAAATAAGCTATACTGTCACGATGTATAAAGAGTAAATAAGCTATACTGTGACAATGTATAAATAGTAAATAAGCTATACTGTCAGGATGTATAAAGAGGAAATAAGCTATACTGTCACGATGTATAAAGAGTAAATAAGCTATACTGTCACGATGTATAAAGAGGAAATAAGCTATACTGTCACGATGTATAAAGAGTAAATAAGCTATACTGTCAGGATGTATAAAGAGTAAATAAGCTATACTGTAACGATGTATAAAGAGTAAATAAGCTATACTGTCACGATGTATAAAGAGGAAATAAGCTATACTGTCACGATGTATAAAGAGTAAATAAGCTATACTGTCACTATGTATAAAGAGTAAATAAGCTATACTGTTAATATGTATGAAGAGTAAATAAGCTATGCTGTCACGATGTATAAATAGTAAATAAGCTATACTGTCACGATGTATAAAGAGTAAATAAGCTATACTGTCACGATGTATGAAGAGTAAATAAGCTATACTGTCACGATGTATAAATAGTAAATAAGCTATACTGTCACGATGTATAAAGAGTAACTAAGCTATACTGTCACTATGTATGAAGAGTAAATAAGCTATACTGTCAATATGTGTAGAGTAAATAAGCTATACTGTCACGATGTATAGATAGTAAATAAGCTATATTGTCAATATGTATGAAGAGTAAATATGCTATACTGTTAATATGTATGAAGAGTAAATATGCTATACTGTTAATATGTATGAAGAGTAAATATGCTATACTATCACGATGTATAAATAGTAAATAAGCTATACTGTCACGATGTATAAATAGTAAATAAGCTATACTGTCACGATGTATGAAGAGTAAATAAGCTATACTGTCACGATGTATGAAGAGTAAATAAGCTATACTGGCGATATGTATAAAGAGTAATTAAGCTATACTGTCAATATGTGTAGAGTAAATAAGCTATACTGGCGATATGTATAAAGAGTAAATAAGCTATACTGTTAATATGTATATAGTAAATCAGCTGTACTGTCAATATCTGGAGTGTAAAGCTATATATGTGTATATATAAATAGCCTTTTCTTGCTTCTGGTGTGTATAGATTTGATTAAAAAGAATTATAAGCCATGCTGTCAATATGTATATCTAGAAGATATTTCCATTAAACTTGTAAGTTTCCCTCGCATTTAGTGGCCTTTACTAAGTTTAGGTTATTAAATCTGTCGTCAGGAAAAAAAAAAACTCCGATAAATAAATTTTCAGCACCTGTTTCCCAAATACCATCTTTCTTATGTCAGACATTTGGGCCAACATTGGCTATAAAAAATGACAGGATTAAAATTTAACATGTAAACTTTTACTTTAAAAATTCCTTAGCAATCTTTGGTAATATAGATTTGAAAACTCTATACTAAACACTTTGTTGTTGTGTTGAATTTTGTGTAAAAGGCCGATAGTCATTTACAAAGCAAATATCTAGTAATGAGATTTTAACAGCAAAGAAGGATGCCTGTCAGCCATGTATGTTAAATGCAGTTAATGTCCAAAAACACTTAGTTGTGGAATTTATGGAAATTCAATTTGGCAGTAATTGCTAGTTTTTACATTTGTATATAATTGCAACGTAATCAGTTTTCGAAGTTCCCATGTCTGTTGAAAAATAACACTGCACAATAATGACACACATTCACATATTCCTGATTACATAAGTCAGTATAAATAGGGATCTATGGCCTATATTGCATATATCTCTTTCATTGTTTTCAAATTTAATTTTCTAAAAATTACGATATGTAAATAAATGCTTAAACAAGAACACAGCATATTTACCAACAAGTTCAACGGTATGATATTGTTGCTGGTGACTTTGGTGTGTCAACTGAAGGTTTATTATTTACTACTAATCTGAAAAGTGGACATTGTCACAGAATATGACCAACATCTAAAATGGAATAATTGAGAAGGTCTTTCTATTTGAATAATTCTTGTTATTAAAGCTACCAAGAAATCTTGAAGACTCACATGAGATTAACTGACCAATCATATTGTGAAAATTGAACATATTTAGCAAGGAAGCTAGTTATACAGATAAATGATTGTATATCGGTAATGAAACACATCTATGACGAATCTTATTAAAAAAAAATCTGATCAAAAAAACTTTGTTAGAAGAAAGATTGTTTTGAAGTGGATTAGAGTAAGGTATGATGAGGGAAGAGTTATCTGGTACAGAGTGAAAGTCCACAGCTGTTCGGGATATAAATACCTCACACGAGACCTCTATTCATTATCCCCAAGCATTGTGCCCCTCATTACACACAAATCAAGGCCTTTCATGTACCGCCAACAAAAGCAGGTATTCCACATTCATCTCAGAAATCTGGAAAATATTTCAGTTTAGTGTGTTTTGCACTGCTTTACTTTTAAGACTGGGAATTTGTTTCTTAAAGGAAAATGTTGATGGAGATGAAAATGAAAAGGAAATGATTTAAGTTAAGATCAAACAGTCCGTCTCTTTTAACATGTTATAACAAGAAGAGAGTCTGAGTAATTATTATTGGAGAAGATTAAGGTAGGAAATAATTGTATTGTCTCGAATATGATTGTAGCCAGGTGGAAGTGAATTGTTTGTTTTGTATGTGTCAGCAATCTGACGCGAATATAATGGCCGATTAGTAAAATAAAGAGTGAGGATATTCCCTCGCTGTTTCATGTTGTCCATAGGAATCTGACGTGTAGGATCTATTCAGATTAATATGGTATTAATTGCATTATATTGAGATTTTTTAATAAATGTAAAAACACTGTACATTGTAAGTAATATTAACTTTCACGGTGCTGTATTTCGTGTTCAGTTTAGGATGGTGTATTGCTTTTGTTATTGTAATTTTTGTTGTGTTTGCTAACAAACATCTTTTGTGGTAAAATCATCAAATCATTTCTCTTCATACATTGTATATATATCCCTTTGGCGATATGCAGCTTGATAAAAGAAAAAAAAAGTAAAAACTTCTTTGAGTGTTTCTATCAAATCAAAACAACAAGCATTGCCCTTAAACACATCTTGGTAGATGTTATTATTCAAAATAAAGAAAAAAAAAATTAGAATATGGATGCATGATGTTTTTCATTTAACTATGAACACATATGATACATGTCAGTGTGATTGTTGTCTGCCATTCCTTTAGAGGTGAGCACGGCACCACAAGGGGATGCTACTGTACAAGATGGTGAGAGTTGCTGCGCTTGTGGGGGTGCTCGATACAACCTACACTTCAAGGGGCTCTGGTCCAGACAGACACATCCTAAAGGATTCCCTGAGGAAGAAGGTAAGACAAAACTGGGCCAAACTGACCCATCCTAAAGGTTTCCCTGAGGAAGAAGGTAAGGCAACACTGGGTCAAACAGACCTATCCTCAACTATTTCTGTGAGGAAGAAGGTAAGACAACACTGGGTCAAACAGACCTATCCTCAATGATTCCCTGAGGAAGAAGGTAAGGCAACACTGGGTCAAACAGACCTATCCTCAACTATTTCTGTGAGGAAGAAGGTAAGACAAAACTGGGCCAAACATAACCATCCTAAACGATTTCCCTGAGGAAGAAGGTAAAACAACACTGGGACAAACTGACCCATCCTCAAGGATTTCCCTGAGGAAGAAGGTAAAACAACACTGGGCCTAACAGACCTGTCCTAAAGGATTTCTCTGAGAAAGAAGGTAAAACAACACTGGGACAAACTGACCCATCCTCAAGGATTTCCCTGAGGAAGAAGGTAAAACAACACTGGGCCTAACAGACCTGTCCTTAAGGATTTCTCTGAGAAAGAAGGTAAAATAACACTGGGACAAACTGACCCATCCTCAAGGATTTCCCTGAGGAAGAAGGTAAAACAACACTGGGCCTAACAGACCAGTCCTTTATGATTCCCTTAGGAGGAAGGTAATGTCATCCTGTTAAAAACAGATGCACCTTTAAGGATTCCTCAGGAAGATGGCAAGGTCCTATTGAGATTATAATAATCTTAAGATCAACTTCTTGGTGAATCAGCTTACATTAATATATTCAATTGTAGAAATGTCTTTGTACTGTACTGTATCTGTACAGGTAACTTTAACGAGACCAAAGGCACTTTTTTTGGTTTTTTTCGTTATAGAGGTCACAAATACTTAAGGTTTCTTAATCTTATAAAATTCAATAAATTGGAAGTTTTTTGTGGCAAGAGTATCTGCCAGCTTACCCAATCAGTGTTACCAAGCCATAATCCTAACTGGAGTTTTGATAACATTTCCTTCGGTCTTATCAAAGAATCTATAAATAATACGGGAAAAAAACAATAGGGGAAGTTTTAGTGTAACCAGAATAACATCAAAGCTGGTTTAGTATAGTAAAATGGCCAGCTGTGGTAATATGTTAGTCATGGTACCATCTTGGTTGAGACTTGGGGGAGGGGGAAGGTCTGTCAGATTGTCTTGTAGTCTACCTTGTTAGTGCTACACAGCTGACAGCAGACACACCAGGGTCAGGGCATTTCCTTGATTAGCTACTGTTACATGTCAAAGGTCAAGGTAAAAAATAATGGAAAAAAACTAAATTTTTGTAACATTCTACATTAATCTCTTTACTAAGCAAATTTTTGTAATTTTATTGTTTGTATATCAGAGTTAAAACATTTTGATAATTTTTCATTGGGTCAAGTTCACCAAGTGAAATATCACAAAATATTACTGTACAACTAACAAACTTCAAACAGGAAGTTTCCACAGAAATTGGTGTCCTGGAATATTACATATGTTTAGTCCTATAAAATTTATTGTGGATTGTACAGTAGGTTGTGGGTCAACCCTACTGCCAGTAGATAGATTGGGAGAATTATTAGGGGTACAGTGTTGCTGTAGGAGTGTCCATCTATCAAGGTCACTTAAGGTCAAGTTTGTGACAGCCACTTCCTCTAGAATACTGTCAGTGGTGCTGGTATGTTGATGAGATAGTGTATCAAGGCCAACACTTGAGGTCACAGAGTGTATGATGGTGATGGGAAAGTATTTCATGACTGAATGCCCTTCAGGGAGACATTTTTTAAAGGCATACTTTGAGATTTTTTTATGAAATATTTAAGCTGTAACCATGTTAACCTAGATTATACAAGAAGAACTGATGACTGCCAAGTATACTTATAGTTTATAAAAGTTTAAAATATTGCTGGATTTTGTTTTTAAAAAAACATAAAAGTTATAGATATGGTCAGATTTTCTGCTGGCTGTTTTAAGCAAGCTGCTTCAGCTGTTTGATAGCTGTATATTAAGCCTGAGTGGAATGGAAATGAGATGTGCATGATGACCCCAGATGGCTGACACAGGGCCATTTACGCAAAAGTCAAATTACTATTACCTCATAAATAGTGGCTAGACAATAAGAAATATTTTTTATAGCAATCTATCTCCTCCTTCTTGAAGAAACGAGCTCTTATACAAAAGGTGGTGGTAGACTGACATCCAAGTTCTTGAAAGTTATTAAGCAAGGGCCGTCCAAAGCCAGGTGATTCTTCAACAGATAACAGAAGTTGATGAAAACTCACTTCAAAACAGACATTTTGACAATATTTACTGAATGAAATAGTGGGATAATTAAATTCTCTAGAGTGTATCTAGCATAGTACATTTCTGTTTAATATCTGACATAGATTTTGAAAATGGAAAAGTACATGTGGGCATAGTCATTAAACTGTTTAGTTGGCAAACATTTACTTAGAATATAGCCTCACCAAATTGTTCTTGTCAACTGGAAAGTACAACTCTGCCTAATTGGTATATATTTAGACTTAAGTTGGCATAAATTTCTATTTCTGATTTTATACACTTATCATTGCTGAGAATGACTGGGTTTAGTATGGAGGGAGACAGATGTTACTAACATTTTTGGCAAGTTTTAAATAAAATTTGTATAATATTTTTTCAGTTGATTCAGGGTATTAGAGTGTATATTATATAATTTTCGTAGTCAGTTTTTGATTGAAACTTTTTACGGAAACAATTTTTATTTAATTTGTAGACATTGATATTGATGTATAAACTATAATTATTTAAAAGAGATTGTTGAATAGATTTGAAAACCAAATATGTTTGATGTTCAAAATGAGGTTATAAATTACCCTAATTTTTTGTAAAAGAATATCTTTACTTCAAATTACAAGTTACAAAGGTCAAGTTTAAATATACGAAAATGTTTTATCATTAATGTATTAGGGGCGAAAGCCTATGGTTTAGAAAACAGATTGAATAGTCTTGCATGTTATTTTAGTAGACAGAGGTAGATAGTGTAGGCAAAGAGAGCAGGGTCAGTGTCAACCCAGAACAGATCTGTCGTCTGCTAAACCTGCTGATTTTAAACATCATTCAGTCTGTTTGCTGGGTGTGAAATTTGTCTGCTCGAGATATTGATGTTTTTGTATGATTAATTATATTTAATGATGGGTGAAGAATCAGGAAAGATCCCCTGGGTGTAATGGCTAAAATCTCTGGGCGTCCTGTGAACATGTCCGCCAGTCTTCATGAGTGTCGTCTGCTGTTTTCAAACCTGTATAGTAATTTAAGGGTCATTTGGGGTGGCCAACACAAGAGAATAATAATGGATGTGGAGAAGTTATCATTTGTATAAGTCAACCATTCAGCTACAGAGTTAGGCTTTCACTCTGTATAATTTGATATCTTTATGAAATATATTCACAAAGATCTCAATCTAGAACCTTTCCTTTTGGATGCTTTATGAAGGTCATTTCTGCATGTAGTGTGATGATGAAAATCATTATGGTTTATGCTGTTTAATATATACACCAAGATTACCTAGAATTTAGAACATGTGAACATAACTTTTAGAATTAAACTTTGAATGTTGTAGAGGAAAGAGCTGGTGACAGGTACATAAGACGGTGACTGTCAGTCATGAATTTACCAGACAGATTTATGGATTTATTTGGGGATATCATTGTTTTCTCTTTGATTTCTCGATAGGTTTTTTTTTTCATAGAATAATGTTCCTTTCATTAACATTACTATGTTTTCCTTTGTATAAATTGTTCCAAAATAATTCTATGAAAAAAAATTTGAACCAGCACAATTGAATGTAACAATTGTATCAGCTAGAAGTCGTTTGATTTTACCTGACAAGAACTCATATCACTTTCACTACACAATACTGAAAACTTTCTTGTGTGGGTAATTATTAATGACATCTTAAATGATTCCTTTGTGAATGGCAACCTGCCCATGTGTGAGGATCTGCAGAACAGGAAGTACATAATTTACAAACTTCCTGCCTTGCGTTGACAAGTTTGAAATATTTCTGTTGGATGGTCAAATTTTTTGTAATACCTGTCCTAGTACTCTGATAACTCCAGCTTAGAATATCTGCACATGTTTAAAATATCACTTGTTTGGATATTGGGAGTCTGTGCCCAGCTTAACATTCTGAACATATATCTGACATATTCCATCCGTCTCACTACCTTCATTCATTTCCTTCTACAACACTGTTCCATTTTTTGTTACTTTTGGTAAACAAAATCTTAACGGAATTTATTCACAAGGTTACAAGCTGGAAATAGACCAGGAGTCAAGATACAGTTTATCTCGTATGCTACAAATAGAGCTGAAGTTCGATGTAAATTTATAGAAATTGTTGTACCATAGTTCAATATCTAGTAACACTGATACAGTGTACTTTATACACAGGTCTAAAATCTCTTTATACACAGGTCTAAAATCTCTTTGTACACAGGTCTAAAATATTAATCAACGTGGTGACAATTGAGAAGTTTACTAATTTTTTGATGGAAGGGAAAGCCTACGACATATCATCAATTAAAAGGCAATTATGCTAAAGTGTTGATCTTAATTATTGCAATACAGTGAAACTTATCTTATCTGATATGAGAATATACAGACATTCTATGTAATACTGCATAATGCTGATTATTCAACTTTTAGTGAAAAATATGAAATAAATTTTCTATTTTAATATCCCGTCTTATCTGACCAAGATAGTGTGGCTGGATTTTGATTAGATGCCTGTAGGTTTCATTTTACATGTCTTCTTTTAATAGGACTTTGCACTTCTATCAATTCTAAATTTATTTTAAATTTTAAAATATGATAATTTTATTAATAACTACTTAAACTTCATTTTATACGTGTGATGTCCTGCCTGGTTTGTAAATCGTTTTAAAGCAGCTTGGTTATTACAGCGTTGTTCTCATGTATCCGTCATGTTGCTCGAGCTTATCACCTACCCAGATCAAAATAACTGTCACCACTAGATTTAAATCAAGATAACAAGGGAATTAGATGGTTCTGTATATCCTTTCATAAAAACGATGTTTGCTTAAATTTGAGGGATATTATGAAACCTGAGCTGAACATTTGATATTAATTTGAGCCACAAAGTAGCTGCAATGTTGTAAGGGATTGAGTTTCTGAAACGCTTCAGGTTTCTGTATGTGAAATCTTTAAGGATGGTTGGATCAGAATGACAAGGTAGTCACAGTTACGTCTAATATTCACAAATACATACCTCTTTAAAACAGCTCCTTTATCAAACATTATATAACGAGTAAAGGATACACAGCCGTGATTGTAGTGAAGTCAGTGAGAAGTTGTCATATTCATTTTTATATTTTTAATGATAATATCCTTACCCAGTATACAGTATGTCACTATAATACACAGGGTATACAACATTACACGGCCATAAGTCTGTATTACAGTATGGATACAAAATTGATATTGAATTTCCACAATGGATATAAGAACTGTTGATTTCTGCTGAAACAATTTGTTTTTTCATGAAGCACTTAATAAAATATTTTTAAAACTTAAATATCCTTATGAGTATTAGAATATTGCTTACACAAAAGAAGTAATGGACAACAGAATAAAAAGTTAACATTTTGGCTTCTGTCACATAATCCATGTCTGTTAGTATAACATTTGTTTTATCATGAAAATGTTGATTTGAAAGAGAAATACACAGGGCTATTTAGTAATGGTTTTACTTATCCAGTTATATTTCTTTGTTTACTATGATATCTATATCAGTGTGTTTACCATATGTTACAGATGAGTTGGTCCTGATGCATTGGTCACGGTTGGTTGGTGCCAGTCATTCTACAGATTACAGTATCTGGGAATATGGACAACCTGCCACAGAAGGAGTAAAGGAGCTCTGCGAGTTTGGGTCCTCACTCAAACTACAAAAGGAGATGAGGCAAAATGTAAGTCAACATTTAAAGGTTTTTGATGGATGTCATGGTAACAGTCATGATTACTTCTTCAGGTTCCTATAGGACTTACTTTGACCAATGACAATATAAGTGAGGCCTGGGGAGAATGGTCTTGCATGCCCTGTGACCATATAACAGTTCACATTGTTGTGATCATATGTTACATGTTTGTGGTGTCATCTCAATTGTGACATTCACTATATGTAGTGGAATACATATTTTTCTTTCAGACAAATGTACTAATATTCTTAGGTCTTTCTTTTGCTATGGCTGTCCCTGAGGTTAATGGTACAGCTCACACCCTTAACCATGGTATAGTTATGGGAGAGTAAAGCTCACACCCTTAACCATGATATAGCTACGAGAGAGTAAAGCTCACACCCTATACCATGGTATAGCTATGGGAGAGTACAGCTTACATCCTTAACCATGGCATAGCTACAGAAGAGTAAAGATCACACCCTTTACCATGGTATAGCTACGAGAGAGTAAAGTTTACATCCTTAACCATGGTATAGCTACGGGAGAGTAAAGCTCACACCTTTAGCCATGATATAGCTACGGGAGAGTAAAGCTCACACCCTTAACCATGGTATAGCTACGGGAGAGTAAAGCTTACATCATTAACCATGGCATAGCTACGAGAGAGTAAAGCTCACACCCTTAACCATGGTATAGCTACGAGAGAGTAAAGCTCACACCCTTAACCATGGTATAGCTAAGGGAGAGTAAAGCTTACATCATTAACCATGGTATAGCTACAGAAAAGTACAGCTCACACCCCTTACCATGGTATAGCTATGTGAAACCTTTAGACCCTTCCTGAGATTAACAGTAAAGCTCTCACCCTTTAAGATTGCCTCTGAGGTTAACGGTGAATCTCACACCTGGCTGTGATTTGTTGAGTTCCCTCACACTCTCACAATCTAGTTTTATTTAGTTTAGGATCACAGATATTTATTTAAACAAATATTTTGTAAGTATGTGAGATAAATGTTACATATTTACCTGTAACCTAAGTCCTAACGTTTACCTGTGTAATCTTACCGCCTTCCTATGTATGTGGTTTGGCATCACCTATCAAAGGTTGTGACCTCGAACAAAAATCAGGTGAACTTTGTGGTTGGATCTGCTCCTGTAAACAAAGTACATAGAAACCTGCCTAATGATGTGAAAGCTGTTGTAGGAATTGACAGGAACAAGTTACCTGTCGCAGATCACTTCCACATTACGTGTGCTTGTGTTGCTTTGACACCTGGAATGACCACAGCGGACATCATGGTGTATATAGGTAAAATATTCTCATTGCATGTGAAAAAAAATGTTGGCAGCTGAAAGGCTACAGGTAGACATGACAGTTACAGTGCAATTTAATTGGAGTTAAACTGGTGACAAACATTTGTCAGCGTCTATTAAAGGAACGGCATCTATCACCTCGCAGTGGAAGGCTAGGATATTGCTGTAGTGTTCACCAGAAACACACATTCCTCCTATCCCCCTTATACAACATACCTCTCATGTCTTTGAAAAATTTTTATTGGCAGACAAATAACTTTAGTGGGCTCCTTGTCTGATGTAAAATAATGAGACAATGCGTGGATGCATTAGGTGTCCCGAGGCTTAAATCAGACATTAGTCTATGGAAAAGCTGATTTTGTATTCATATAACATTAAAGTATGTGTCATGGTCATCAATTCTATTGAATTAATTAGCATTTAAAGCTCATTTCATGAGGTGGGATTTCAATAATTCTTTTAGTTAAAGATGCACCAGTTATGCATATATTGTAAAGTATTAACTTAAAATATGTATCGAAAATTATGTCAATAACAATATACACTTTGTTTTCAAAATTCTCCTACTGAGGCAAAAAATGTTTACAAAGTTAAAAATAGAACTTTTTAGAATTAAAGTGAGCATATTGTGAACTCCAGATGGAGAGATTTTGAACATAGGGTGTTTTGTCACCTGTAACATATGTTGACCAGCATTGTCCAGCAGCTTCACCAACAGGTGTGGACTCGTCATTTTAAGGATAATTTGAGGATATCCTCTTATCTTTTCACCTGCCAATTTCAGCTAGAACACCAGCATTGCTGTGCAGATATTTTTATTTCTTTCTCCATCAATGACTGGGTCTACCTAATATCAATGCAAATCAGATATTAATCACTCATTAGATATTCTATAGAACCAAAAACAAGATTGTTCCAAACTGTAAGGACTATTTTGTAAGATGTTTGATGTCGGGGTGGTGTTAGGGATGTACTGACTGGCCCTGAACACTGGGCTTGTCCCAGCACTTTGATACAGGGATCTGGGTGGGGATGACAAAGAATGACATGGATTAAAAGTCAGTGGTCTATTGACAGATCTCAGATTGGACTATAGATCAGACAGGTCTACATGGGTAATTACAACAAAAACAAGGTCAGCTAGGGGTCAGATAGGACCCAACTAATCACGGGTGAAATATTGGGCCTTCCCATCCCATTGTGGCGGCTAACCCTACCACATAATACAGATTTGTCAGAATATCACAATAAAGAAAATTTGTCACCAACTTCAAAATGTGGACATGTATCTTTTTATCTCTGAGAATAAAAGTTTTTTATAAAGGAATCTGACCTGTCTCGGCCTGCCTGGGAATCTGTTGTTGCAGAGTTATATACCATGTATGTTGTAAATAAAAACCATTGTATTACAGACGCAGGCTGTTAATATTCATAAAGTTAAATAAAACTGAAAAATTGAACGAGAATACTTAAAAAGTTTCACCAAGGAACTTTCACACGGAAAAATTTAGAATTTTGATCCAATAATAAAATTATACCTTATTGGACAAATTTTTTGTGAATGAAAAGTTGTCCTTATTGTTAAGTAAAATATCTTTCATTTTTGTAGGATGTAGAGACTGGTTATAATGTGTTCCAATTTCACAGATAGTTAAACAAGAGAATGAAACATGTTATTATTGTATTATAAATACTATCAGACTCCCAAGCTGCCATTGTGTGTGTTCACAACGAGTCAGTGATGGCGAGGACCTATTGAGATACTGCCATTTATTGGAAATTGATAACGTCAAATTAAAACTATCTTGTATTGTCTCATAACCCTTGTCTTAACCTTTTCTTACATATTTGATCTCATCTGCATCAGATACGCAATTATTCTTGAGTTTAATGTCATTGTACTGAAAATGTAAAGTTCAGGAGTATATTGATAACAGCTAATTGGAAATTGATCATTCGGGAAAAAGTTTTTCATACTCGGACCACTGTTTGATACTAGATACATACCCAACCTTAAGATCTATTAGGTTTTACTGTCAGTAGGCAATGCAGATTTCAAGTATTTTTTTATCTTAATTTTTGTTTGACCTAACAGCTATTTTTGATTAATGACAACATTTTTGAATAAACCACTTTCGGTTAAAATTTGCAAGCAATTTCCGTATGCTGTCAGAAATAAACTCAATTTAATCGATGATTTTAAATTAAAGTGAATATGTGATAGAATTAAGCAATTAAACATAGATTATCAGAACATTACGTGTTATTTAAAGAGTAATTTAGTTTTCAAAACGGTAAAGTATCAATTACTGTATTTAAACGAAACTTTAAGTGAATTTTCAACCATTCAGCAGTAAAAAGTAAGCAGATATTTCCAATGCCTATTAAGAAATGTTCAGAATCAGAGTTTTTGTGTAATCATTTCACTGCTTCTAGACATGTATATTTTAAGTGAATTACTTACCACAAAAAAATAAAAGAAACACAGATATAGTTTAAACAAGCATGTTGCCATGGATATTTGTTGCAGCAGAAATGTATATCTTGGAAAAACAAAAAAAAGGTTATTTGTACAAATTATAAAGATTCAGTGTGGAGATTTTTACAGCTTTAGTTTGCAGGATACAAATATCTAGCTGGCATTTATATGTGAAATAAATTAGTCAAAGGAAAACAGATATAAGGAACAGGAAACACAAGATTCTATACAGAACATAAAAACATATAAGTATTATTTTAGGACATACTCATATGTAAGTATAATTTTATACAGGAAATGTATCAGTATAGAGAAAGTATAGATGTGTTATCTATTTGATGCCTTCATTTAGGATCAAACTCGAGAATCAGACCTTTCGCTTAGTTGTCTTATACTCAACAGATTGAGCCATAGAGACTGAAATCTTTTATAGACCGATCAAGTTCAAAGTTGATTTGTGAAGCAGTATTTGTTTTTCAATGAAGATTCAAGTTTATAATAGTCCTTGTGACACTGTTTATGAAAACATAAGTTTTCCTGATTACTTTTGGAGATAAAAGTTTTATCTAATTTCTCTGATCTGATTTTAATCCTGTTTTTGAGATGTTTATTTACTTGTATAGATTATCTTGTAAAATTGACCTTCACACCGCTGGTGTCGACCTTCACACTGCTGGTGTCGACCTTCACGGTGCTGGTGTCGACATTCATGTTGCTGGTGTCGACCTTCACACTGCTGGTGTCGACCTTCACACTGCTGGTGTTGACCTTCACGGTGCTGGTGTCGACATTCATGTTGCTGGTGTTGACCTTCACACTGCTGGTGTCGACCTTCACACTGCTGATGTTGACCTTCACACTGCTGGTGTCAACCTTCACACTGCTAATGTTGACCTTCACACTGCTGGTGTTGACCTTCACACTGCTGGTGATGGTTATTACTTCAGTCTTCATTTTAGGCTGGTTTAAGATGATACTTTCTGAAAGGGGTCCAGCCTTGTTTGTAGTTAAGGTTAAGGTGATAGTCCCTAATAAGGGTCTGCGCGATCTTCATTGTAGACTGGTGAAAATGAGGATCAATGATTTACCATACCACTATAATAAGATTCAACACCTCATTTATCAGCATTTAAAAACAGTATGTCCTAATCAGCTGATTAGTTACCCAGGCACTACCCTCTATACTGAAACTGGAACCCACACCACTCAAAAACGCATGTCAGAGTCCCAAAGGAGATCTGTCATTACTTCAGGAAACTCTACACTAATGGAGTTTACAGGTTCCTTACCATGGGTAGAACTAATTTGTCAGTACTCAAAACAAGCATGTTCTTTTTAATAGAATAAACAAATACATGTAGCAGACCTCAAAGAAAAAAATGAAATAGATGAAGACAGATACTAATTTATTGTAGGAAACCTGAACGATCTATGAATGGTAATATGGAAATAATTAGCTAGGTTCCTCGCCTGGAGTGATAGAAACTATCTTAGTTAGATGTCTATAAACAGCTCAAGTAAAAAAAAAGGGGGGACCAAAAAGCTGGTGATGAAAAAGTCTAAAACAGCAATAACAGAGTTCAATAGGCGTAGCGTCGGGAGAGATATAGTGTGGTTCTTTGAGAACAAAATGGATAATTTGTCAGAAAGGTGTTAATTACATCTGCAGGTTCCAAGGCAACTGTTGGCAAACGCGTCAAGCTATCATGTAGAGTATTTGATGGTTGGATCTGACATTAGTCTTTAGTCATTGCCTTCTTTCTTGTATTAATCTATTCCATATTACAATGCATAAACTATTTAAATGGCATTTCGTTTTAATTATCAGTTATATATAGCGTTTTAATGAATTTTGGGCATCAACTTCGAAAGATGATACTTATAAACAAAATCTAAAGATAAACACCTTGGTGTGTCTTTCTGCATTCATCAGTTGTATTTACATCCCTGTGTAGTTTAGAGGCTTTCATTAATCTGTTTCTCTGTCTCTAGGAGCTGACGTAAGGTAAATAAGATAAACTCTGAGAAGGTAAAAAACAAAACAGATCCAGTTTTATGTTGGTAGACACCTACTGTTTGATAAATGGTTTACACTGTTGAATAACTCAGAAAGATCTGATCCTAACAGGATGATGAAGAATAAGTGTCCCTGATGTATTATCAGTATCTGTTTCAAGGTCATTTGGTTTGATTTGAATAAAGACCTACTGTGAATTATGTTATTCCTAATGTTTGATAATTCTTTGGAGGACTAAGTTCAATGTCAATTTCAAATGATTTCATCCCAAAAATAAGATTTTAAAGGGTTGAAATATTTTCTTATTCGAGTCTTTGATGTAAATAAAGAAATTGGTAGTTGATGAAATGAGTCTGACATTTATTTTGTAACCATGGTAACATAAGAGGAAGTCTTAAAGATTTAGTGGCTCTAAATCTGGGGAATTCTCACGGAAATTTTCATTTAATCTTTTTACAAAAAGAGGTGAGACACTTATTATTTGGCCAGGAGAAATCCTAACTGCTATTGATTGTCAAGGTCATCTTTGTTACAAGCCAAGTTTACTGATAACTATTGAAAATCTTATCTCAGTTTGACTCACAGGAACGATGTCTACAGAGGTTTTGTCTTAGTGTGATACACAGGGAAGGTTTCTACAGAAATCTTTTCTCAGTGTGACACACAGGGAAGGTTTCTACAGAAATCTTTTCTCAGTGTGACACACAGGGAAGGTTTCTACAGAAATCTTTTCTCAGTGTGACACACAGGGAAGGTTTCTACAGAAACCTTGTCTCAGTGTGACACACAGGGAAGGTTTCTATCAGTCCCTGGCTAATAGTGTGTGTTGTACTGATCAAGTTCTACTCTGGTTTTATGGTCACCTTTTCCACCAATGTACAAGAAAGAGGAGCGTTTTGTTCAGTAACTGGAGCAGAACACTATCATATCAACAGGTAAAAATCCTCTTAACAAATTAACATGAAAACTGTTACACACTTTATGCTGTGTTGTTTGGTGTTTATATGCCACCATCATAAAATTCATTTTGTAAAAAAAAGAAATAAAAAGAACATATGGAAATTTGAAACATTATTGCAGTTTCATTACAACATAGCATAAATAAAATGCATTAGATTTATGAGTTCTAAGAGATAACATTTAACTTATTTTATATTCAGCAAATTTGGAGAAGTTCTACGAATTATAAGCCACAACTATGTCTACTAATATATCTATAAAAAAGAAGAGAAAAATTCAAGGTGCGCTTAACGTTGTCAGATAGACATCAGAATTTCACAAGTTAAAGTGAAGAAAAAAAAAAATCATTCAGATATTGTCATTGTCGATAGATATTTAAAATTTCCGAGTGTTTGATCGTGACCATGAAGGAAATAGTCTGATACATGCTGAATGATTACTGTATCATCTACATCTGTGTAGATTCCCTCAAAGTGATGAAACAAGCTTAAAAACATGTTAAATATAGAAAGTTGAATGAAAACAAACATGTACTGAAATATTCGCTGATACATTGAATTACAGGTAGCTTGATTATAGTGTAGTGAGATTGTTTAGAATTTGTTCTACAAGACTCTCAACTCATAGAAACCAACAAACAGTTTATTTTCTTTGAGTGTTTTTGTTGATTTATAAAATCATTTTCATTTGTGTTACATCTCCTTCTGATGTCATTATTGACAAAATGGAAACTCCTCAGCCAATCAAAGATCAGCAACATGTCACTAGTATTACACATGTGATCATAACATGATTTACATATTGCATGTTATTACACAGATAACTGGATGGTTATTCCATATTGGTTAATAACTGATATTGAACAAGGGAAAATTCACATCAAAACTGTTTGTTACATGTTCTAACGTAGCATCATGAAAGGATGTACAGATACATTGTCCGATCTCTGTTATTAAGATGTTTGAATTCAAGTCAAGTCGTCTGATTGCTCTATAGTATCAAAGAATCCTGCACTTGCCAAGATTGATTTAACTCGGCACTTTAATGACTACTATCAAAAGACTTGTTTCCTTTTTACTCTGCAAAAATATACGACTGTTTATACATAAATATTCAAAAGTTTGTTTAACCAGAATGCACAAGTCATCTTTGTAAGACATAAATCAAATTCAGACAAACTAAAGGATATTGGTGAATTTTCAAATGTAAACAACTGCAATGTAGTGAAAGAAATGGAATATATAAATATGTGTCTCTGTGGAATGTCACTGTCCCAGACCTGCCTTTACCTAGGTTTGATGTTGACATAATTTACCTGTGCATCAAAGGCCAATATTGTTCATCAGTCCCGCCATTTGACAAGGTGCCCAGTGATTTAATTTTATTATAAGCTAAGGCTAGTGTTGACTGTCAGCAGTTATGAGTAAAGGAAAGTCTGACTCGAGAACTCACTTTTTTTTTATCATTGATTGTTTGAGATGCTCTTTGAAGACTTCTCATGACTTCACCTTTGTTGTCGTGAACTCTGTCCAATCACACCTGATATATAAAAATAGTTTTTCACACAGAAATTTTGCTCATTGAAATGCAGCATATTATAGGAAGTCAAAATTTTTATTTCTAGGTGCATGAACTTATAATTGTAGTTGATATTAGTTGTTGAATAGGAATTTCTGTATATACTAATATTTTATTTCCTGAGAAGAATGGGTTGATGTGTAATTATATCACAATCAGACATACTTCACCGCCAGTGTCTGCCATAGGCTTCAGTAATAAAGGTCTATTGTACCAGGCGACCTGCCTTTTAGGGATTAGTGAGTTCTCCAGCGACAGAATTCATCAATGAATACACCCGTAATACAGATATCCTGTCAATAAACACATAATAATATCACCTCGATCATCTTAATTTTCAGCGTAAATGGATCGTGCCCGTCGCTACCTGTGAATCTTGCCACTGATATCGTAATTTGATGGTCTCGTTTGTCACAATAAATGTGGGAACCGACAGGCTGTATTTCATTTCTCAAAGATAATGTTTAAATTTTCTAATTTCAATTATTTCACTTTCAGCACAATTTTTTGAATTATTTTAATGTTTTGCTAAATGGCAGATTCTCAAATGTAAGATATGTACAGGATGACCTCAGGATCCAAGAATAGGGAGATTTGACCAACAACATAAACCCCAACCCATAAGATTTATGAATATCAAACTTAATGGGAATATTAGTCATGCTAATTGATTTCTAAAGTGTTTGCCTTATATTTCAATTTTCGTTTTTGTAATTACCGTAATGTATAATTACATATTTTGAAACAAGATTTCAGAACATTTATGATTTTATTTACATATATCTTGTATCATCATGAATCTTAAGAAAATCAGCTGAATGCCTGGTACCTCTAGTAAAGTGTGGTTTGTAATTCTAAAAAATTAACTTGGAATTCACAATATCTACCATGTAACTACTGGTTACACCTACTAATTCACAATATCTACCATGTAACTACTGGTTACACCTACTAATTCACAATATCCACCATGTAACTACTGGATACACCTACTAATTCACAATATCTACCATGTAACTACTGGATACACCTACTAATTCACAATATCTACCATGTAACTACTGGATACACCTACTAATTCACAATATCTACCATGTAACTACTGGTTACAACTACTAATTCACAATATCCACCATATATTTACTGAGTACCTTTCATATTCACAGTATCTACCATGTTATAACTTCTGAATACCCCTAGATATTCACAATATTTACTATACTGAATACCATTTCAATATGACAGAATTATCATCATTAAGTGGACACTTAATGTTTCTTTGTTACAGGATCCACAGATCAAGACGGTGATAAAGACTGCACCACTGTGGGGATACAAGCAGTTACGAAAGAGTATGAATGCCAACTTCTATGTTGATCAGAACTCCCACTACTTGTCTGCGCTCAGTATGATAGGCCCAAGTCCTGACTGGTGTGTGGGTGAGTATCGTGTCTTTGGTATCATAGACTTCAGTCCTGACTGGTATGTTGGTATTATGTTGATGGTATGATACACCCCTGTCATGACTGTTGTGTAGAGGCATATTATGTCCATGGTATGGTAGTCCCAGTCCTGACAACGTCCATGGTAGGATATAGTTTGAAATCCTGACAAAGGTGTGGGCAAATTTTTTAACTGCATCACAATATTTGACCATTGCAGGTGTGACACGCCTTAATCTATGCCAGACCAATTGTACCTGGGCTGACCAGCTTGAAGTTGACCTCTTCCCCTGGGATGCTGGTACAGACAGTGGACTTACATATCTGGTAAGTTGTAGGATTTATACTGGGACCCAAAACATTGTCAAATAACATCCCAAACATATGTAATACAACAGTAAACAAAAAAACCCAAACACATGTCATATATGACATTGAACAAAACACCTGTCAAATTAAACATTGAACAAACTATAGGATAATGGATTCAAGGGCAAACAAACTCGCTTTATTAATTAATTAATGGTAATAAAGGTAGTGAATAATTTATAATATGTCTCATTATGTACCAATGAAATTTCTTTTGACTCATCATATGTTGTCTGGGACAGTAAGAATTTTAATGTGATGGCATCATATAACAGTGCTATTCCTGCAGAATAACCTGCTTGTTTGAATATGGTATTAAATCTTTCAAACTTGGGTTTTAAGTTTTAAGGTTAGGTCAAGGTTAGTCGCAATTTCCTGAATATTTTCTAATATTGGTCGTCATCTGTAGGTGATCACTGGATGATGGCAGAGGGGAGATAACTCTTACAATGTTATGTAGATCATACACATATTTATGTATTTTATGACAGGCAAGGAATATCGCTACCAATCCCAAAGAAAATATCCACAAGATCACAAACCGCTTCCCCAGCCACCCTGACTCACCATTCTATGGTCCGGAGAAGATTTTACCCATGGCTCGCCTAAGGATCAGTAAGAAATCTGAGCAGACTTGTGATGATGAAACCACAGACAATAACTCTGGTGAATCGGCTGTCAGTACAAGTGTCCTTATTGAACGAATGAAGAAGAAAATGATGATGAAGAAGAAAATAGGTACAAAAAAAAATTTTTCAATGCCTTTATTTAATTGTCTTTCTTCCATTTTGAATGCAAAAGTATGGAGAATTAGCATGTGTTATTTAGCCAGTTTGCTTGAGTTTGTCAGCATCTGTATCAAGTAAAATCTAGCTGTCAAAACTTATCTAAAACAATAGGCCTTATAGATTGGTATTGACAGTGTGCAGTCCTCAGTTAACCGAGGCAAATATGATTCTGTATCAGATATAGTAAATACAGATAATTATGAAAATATATCTGTTTTGAGATGTGTTTAAATAGGTAAGATTTAATTTGATTTAGAATGATTTACACCTGACATTCTTATCTTATTTGTGTGGGATGTATATATATAATTTTATAAGAATCAATATATTCCCTTCATAAATATTTCTTTTGTATTGGAATAAAGACTTAGTGTTACAGATATCAGTGTGTGAAGTCTTAACTTTAAACAATACTAGATAGCAATTGGGGGAAGGATGCATTATTTAACATATCTGTATTTCTTTGTATCCAATTTCTAATGGAACTTATGGGAAATTATAGCAATGAATGGAATTTGCATTGCTTTAAAGATGTTTGATATAGACAAATGCTTTGCTTGTGGAAAAGCAGCTTGCTTTTTGATATGTTTCTGATTCTCATATTGACTTGCAAAACGCACGATACATGAATTCCTCTGGTACAGTAATTGACAAACAAACGGTTATCATGCATGGATGTTTTGACTGAAAACAAGAAAATAATGATGTGTATGATATTAAACGTTGTTAATCACTTGAACAACATCCAGTGTATAAAGAACAATCAAACAGGGCTATGAGAACTAAGTTTATGAAAAACACTTATTTTGTGGTAGTGCAATTTTCTTCAGCAGTTAACAGTGATGACTGTATCTTTGTCAGAAAGAAGTAGATTATGAATCTGATAAAAAAACACAACAGGAAATCAGACACAGTGAGGATTTGGAGGAATTCATTCCCTTTTCAGAACTGGATAAATTTTGTTTAAATCAAATTTCTAAGACAAATTTCTAGATGAAGGGAGACAACTCTGTATTTTGTTTCTCCTCAAATTGATTGTTATTCTGTTCCTGTTGACTATTTGACAGCTGATGCCATGCTGCGTAAGTATTTAGGAAACCAAAAGTATATGTATGCTATATGTTGCATAGGGGAGAGGTATATAAAGGGGAGTAAGCCAGTCTTGTTTTACAGATGTGTGAGTTTGGAAGCATGATGCATGAACTGCAAATATGAAGATGAGTTTGGAAGTCAGAATGGTGTTAGCTGAAGTCAGCATGACTATACAATTTTTTGAGGCTGTCGCTCATTTATTTGGATACTGTATACAGAAAATGTTTGAAAGATTAATCATTGATAATTGATTATAAGTGTGAGTCAGAACCGTTATCACTTATCATATACATGTAAAAGAAGTATGCCTTTGGGTACAAGCATTTTGATTTAAGACAATAGGGAAATAGTGCATGAAAAAATCCTGTGAATTTGACTTTCCTGTAATATATGTGTTACATTTTCTTGGTTAACTGTGATGTAATTACTGTGGAATGCCTGGAGTAATTTACAATCTGTATTATATATATAGTGTTAAATAACAGTGTGTAGGAAAACCTAAATTGATAGGCGGTGAGGGAACTAGACTGAATAACGTATGAAAACAAATATACAACACAACGTTAAGAAGAAAAAAAATTTACATCACTCCTCACATAATTCATCGTATGGTGTGGTTATGACCAACTTCTACAAATTCTTTTAAATGGAAATACATTGTAATACTTAAATGATCTTCATTTTTTGCAATAATTACATGACAGCATTTGATTGGGAGTTATCATGACCTCACCAGCACTAGTCACATATACATTATAATGTTAGAGATGCTTTCTGTCTCCACTATGTATATATAAATGATACAGCACATACCACTGCCTGTCACATCACTTGCTAATGACAGTCACTCCTCAAACCAAACAACTGGTTAAAACAGATTGTATCAATTCATGCATTGTTCCTTTGGAATCAATATTTTTGAAGTTGAGTGTCATTATAAATACTTTTCATGCTGAAATTATGATAAAGAATACTGAACATGTATTTGCTACACAAGTAACAAGTGTTTGTAGAAGTTCAAAATCTGTGTTAAGTCAAAGATTCTGAAGGAGCAATTGCATATACATAGTGAAACAATTTGTTTTTTATCAGCTGCAATATATTCTCTCCCAGGTATATTAACAAGATTGTGTCATGTTTATTTATAGAGATGGAGAAGTGCTCTACCACAGAGTGGTCAGCCTGGGGTAACTGCAACAGTACATGTGGCACTGGGTACCGCGAGCGGCGACGATTGCTCAACAACCTTCGTATCTCAGCAGTGGCATGTGATATTGACCTTACCGAGAGGGAGGCATGTGAAGGTGACTGTAGGCCTACCCACAGAAGGAAAGGACCAAAGGAACTTCCTGACGACTATGTTATCCGACATGAACTGGACATTATTGACCTGAACAACCCTTGTGCTGTGACCCAGTGGTCAGATTGGGCCCCATGCAGTGTAACATGTGGTATTGGAATTACAGAGCGTTGGCGAATGTTCCTCTGGAAAAACAACTCAACATTGTGTCAGAGAAAGCCACGTCTGATGGAGAAGGACTTGTGCTTTGGCTATATCCGTGACTGTAGGAAAGCTATCATGATGAAGAACTACTCCGGTAAGGTCCTCTCACTATAGGTAGAAGATGCTTTACAGCTTCAATATTAAAGCTTTCTTAATCCATTCCCTAAATTCCATTTAAAACTTGCGGGATAATGGAACATTTTCTTCTATACAATATGACCCCTACAAATTTTCAGCTTGAGGCCAAAAATCAGAGATCAGGATGCATGACGACCTAAAATTTAGAAGTAGATGAAACAATAATGTCTGTAAACAAAAATACATATCTTGTTTCAGGGACATGCATGGCATGAATATATTTAATAAGTTGGAACATATATATATGTACATTGGAACCATATCCATCCAGAGTTTTACAAATATCGTGTTCTTATTACAAAATTATAAAACTGACATCTCATTACAGATTTCAAAGGGATAAATTCAGTCAGAAAATCTGTATCAGGTATGGTTTGCTAAATTGATATGGTTCCTCTGTACTTGTAGATATACTTAAATGTTAAGAAATAAATAAATATTATCCATATATACAGGCCTAGGATCTAAACCCTTTCTACTACCGTTACTGGTGCTGTTTGCTTACATATTTATATCCCAAATTTTTTCCAGCCCTAATTGTATATCGTAAGTGGGGAAATTTAACAGACCCAACTAATTCATAGGTTCTACAGAGATTTGAGCATGCTATGAGAAATGATCAGTTTGTATCCAATCTTCTGAAACATCATCACAAAAATGTCCAGTCTTCCTGTTAAACTTCTCTGTGACTATGATGATGTTGATGATGATTATTAAGATTGGATACAGTTCTGACCAATGAGGGTGCCTGGTCATGGTAGTCGGGGTGACCTGGCCAGAAACCCATTCATACTGTGCATGACCTCATTTGTGTGGTGGTTTGACCTCTAACCCCTCTATCTTACAGTTATCTGCACAACACCAATGGAAATTGGACCTTGTAAGGGGCTCTTTCCGCGATGGTTCTATAACAGCGAAGAAAAATCGTGCCAGCCATTCAACTATGGTGGTTGCCGTGGAAATGAGAATAATTTCCGTTCAGAACAAGAGTGCACAATGACTTGTGACCTTGCAATGGGTACAGACATTTTGTCTATTTATAGACATCTCTCACCTAAATCATTTTCCCTGTCTACACACTCTGTGCTCTCTTATCATGACTTTGACCTTGATTTATGAACCAATCTTTCGTGTGTAAATGTTACATTTTTTTTTTAATATTTCATTTTTCTGTATTAATTTTTTTTTTTTTTTTCCTGAGTTAATGTTTGCTTTATTTCGTTATTAATACACAGTACTATACACTTGACTAATTTAAGAAGTTTTGCAGGGGCTCTTTTCCTTGACCCAGTTAATCTATAATATAGGTGCTTTCCCATTCAGTGACCTTGAACTTATCAGTTTCTAATTTAAGCAAAACATGGGTTGTAATTCCAAACTTTAACAATTTTTTCTATTCTTTATTTTTTTTTTTACATTATCTTAAATAGTGGAAGTATCTTTCAGTGCTTGTTCTAGCTATTGAATAAAGGAATTATTGACCCAATTCTCTTCATCTTGAGAATTTGAAATTCCTCCATGCTTCTATTTCTGTACAAAAAATTACTAAGCTTTCTGCCTGTTAACACTTGTACAGCTTTGTTGGCCAATAATAGTTTCATTTTAGAGAAGTTCATGTTTACATATCTTTTCATAATCTTTGACAAATTTCTATCATCTGCAACCTGTTTATATGACCTTCGACCTTTGACATCATGTAACGATGTGTGTTTTATATTTAATATTAACTGTGAAGATGAAACATCACTCATTTTACATAAAGTGTTGTTGTTGTTGTGAAGATGAAACATCTAATTGCATGTGTCAAAGTATGATTTAAAAGTAGATGATTGGATTGATTTACACAAGATATTTGAAAGAAAACCCCTCAGTGGAGTATACCTGGTGTAATATAGACTGGAAAATGTACTAACATTTTAAAAGGTTATGGCAATAAATATTACTCTACAATTTACAATCTGTATACAAAAATAAGAAGATATTTATTTTTTTATGAAAATGTATAATTATTTTGCTAATTGTACAAGGAAATAATTGAATGATAATTTGATCAGTTTGAAATGTAATTTCCTTGACAGAAGATGGAAAGAAATCAGGAGTGATTGCTAATTTATCTTGCTGTATTTGATTTGTGATCACAGCTAGTTTGAATGAAGGACCTACAAATGAGGCAACAATCATGAGGGAAGGCAATGTGAACATGAGGCCAAAGGTCATAGTGAGTCCAAATAGACGAGGCAGGAAGAGGAAGCCAAGCAAGAGAGATAAAAAGCTTATGAGGAAAAGGAAGAATAAGAAGGCTAGACGACTACAGCGCCAACGTGAACGAGAACTGGGAGGAAGAGGAGAAACCTCCAATGATGGACCAGCTACCAACTGTCAGGTCTCGGCCTGGACCGATTGGTCACCCTGCTCTGTCACCTGTGGCAAAGGCTTCATGATGAAAACCAGGACAGTTGAGGTGGAAGCTCAAAATGGAGGCAGATGTTCACGAAGGCTGTCAAAGAAAAAGAAATGCAGGAAAGAGAATAAATGTCGTAAGTGACTTTGTGATTTTTTTGTTTAATTTTCTTGGGTAAAACAGAATTACTATTAGTTTTTACAGCTGGTTGGTTTGATGAGCTGTCCGATCCATTTCAAACTTAACTCATTACACAAATACTTTAATTTGGTTGTTATAAAATGGTTTGGCAAAGTTTTACTGTACTTTAAAATATCTGTTGACAAAAATTTTTTCATCTGCTTCTCTTCCCAGTGATGAATTTTACATTGATCGCTTTGTAAACACTAGTAAAGATATGTGTGGTCTTAATTGTAGCGGTGGATTGTGTACTGTCAGAATGGGGTGAGTGGACACCCTGCTCTCACACCTGCGGGGACAACGCTGTGCAGAAACGTAGAAAACGAGTCATAAAACGACCAAAGCGAGGTGGAATGGACTGTCCACCACGCAGGGAGAAGAAATTCTGTATCTTGCCTGTCTGTCCAAACACAGATGAGGTAAGTAAATGCTTAATATGTATATCTTACGTTAGTTAAGTGAACACAGTGGTTGATATTATACTAGTTATGTAAGCACATTATCATATTTTGTTTTTGGCATATCTGCTTGATACAACAATTCAGTTTATCAACTACTTGTTATATAGACACCTGTTTGTACATTATTTCTTATTTCATTGTACATCGAACTTTCAGGAATTCTATCTTTAGCAGTTTCAACAATACAACATGCTGGAGTAATCAGCAATCTATTGTAAAATTAGAAGTGTAGTCTTTACTTAAAACTCAAAAAAAGCAACATTATTTAGGCCTACACTTTAATTTGCTTTAAGTCATTTATGCAAGTTTGCTTTGATTGTGAAATTTTCTGAAAATAAATCACATTTTTTATTGAGAAAGAAAGTTGCTTTACAGGAAGTAGAACACTTTAATATTTTGGAGAAAAAAAACCTACTGTATTACATGATCAAATCAAATTATTTTTCATTATTTGATTTTTCTTTGTTTCAGATGGAAGAGATGATGAGAGATGCTTTATTTTCGAATCCACAGTCATTCCCATGACAACAAAAGCATAGTGTAAAATAGTGGACAAGTTCATCTTATCATACATTCTCATGGGAACCGAGTAACCATCATTGTGTGGTAGCAGCAGCAGACATCTAAAAACTTTTCTGATTGGATAAGAACTGCTGATGGACATGGTCAAACACGGGGTAGTGATGCCCTGTCTGTACCTCTTTGTCCTTTGATGTTTCGTATTTATAGAAAATATGAAATAATTTCCCATAAACTGTGATTTTTCTTTTTTGATGAACTTTATCCTGATGACCCCACTGTGCAATGTAATACTAGAACAATCGGTTGTTCAATATGTATTACAAAAGATGGGATACAAATTTGAAAATTGAGGATTCACAGCACACATAAAAGTCTTTCATCATATCATCTTCTGTTATGATCATATAAGCTTTGTTTTTTTGCCTCATTAATGCCCACATTTTGGTTCGATGTTATTACCCATGTACCCATGCTTTCCTAGCTGATATGACTACTCTATGTACTGGAAATGAAGAGATTTTGTTGATATTTGTTCGTAATGCATCAGTATATATGGCCAATTTAAAGGCTCTTTTTATCATTTTTTTGCTCTTTTTCAATTAAATTCAGATCAAGAAGGACATAACAACTGTAACCATGTACAGAGCCATAAACAGCACTATAATCTGTCATTTTAGTGATATTTTTACCAAAATGTACAGCTGGTGGAGGCATTATGTTATAATTGACTGTACATTCTGTTAGTGTAAGATATATAATATACATATATATATCTATTGAAAAAATCCTTGAACTGAAAACTGGCACAGATATTCTGGTTATCATAGTTAAATTGACATTTTCATTTGATGTGCACTTGTTACACAGGTTGACATTTTCTCCAAATACTTTAATGAATATGATATATTGTCTACCTGTGCAGAATACTACAAACTACTACTTTAACTGGCCTATGGGTTAACTGGCATTGCCTTTTACTGGTATGGTCATATAAGTTAAGATGTTTCTTCGATGGTCACAGTTTATTTCAAATCCATAACCTTTAGTTTTTGAAATCTTTTACATCTCCAGTGTTAGGATAATAAAGTATATTAAAGACATGTTGCCCAATAACACTTGCTATGCCAAGTTAGTGCATTCATCTAGACTACCTCCAGTAGAACAGATTCCACTCATTAAATCAAAACGAGTTGTAAGACAGGTATATTGCCCCCTCCACTTTTGTTTCTTCTCTTATGCACATACCGGTATGTATAAAGTTGTCTATGTGTGTGTGTTCCGATAGTCGTTTACATTTAGTACGACTCCTGGTTCATGGTGATTTGGGCCAGTATATCACATTCTTCATCTGAATATTTGAATCTCATTACATCATAATACGAAATGTATATCATTAATGGCATATTGTGTGCATATAGATAATACTTGTTGAGGTAGCGTTGTTGATTGTGTACAGTGTATATATTTCTGTTGTATAGTATGTGTATAGTAGGTAGGGTTGTAAATATTAAATAGTTAATATACAATTATTGAACTATAAATCCAGATATGTGTCACACAAACTTCTTTTATACCTGTAACTTTCAGTGCTTTATAGGTAAGTTAAAACAATCAATATTGGATTACACCTATAACTTCCCCTCTACATATGTAGATTTTTCTTAGTATCTCTATAATTTTTTGTTTCGGTAGAAGAATCTTTGTAAAAACCAGGTATCCTTATGAGACTTTACGTATTCACGAATGTCAGGATCAAGTAGCTATGCGAAATACTGCTTACAGAAAAAATAAATATTCTGAACAAGCAGTGTTAAATATATCAGATCACTGTCATAAGACAAAGAGTTGCTTCTTGCTTAAATAGAAATTCACAATAGTTTGACAACCTCGTTCTCTTATTTTATATTATCTTATACTCTTAATGGGTTTATAGCTCTGTTAACAGCCAGGGTCATTTTTGTGGCAGGATCGCCTCATAATAGCTGGTGGCTACCTCACTGAACAGCTTGTGGGAGACCTTTAGCTGGCTAGCGAAAGAAATTGTTGTAACATGTCTTGCCCAAAGACACAACCACAGCAGTACAGGACGGTCCATGACTTCAGCTTTCTGAGAAATACAAATTACTCTGAGTTGGGATCAGACTACACACCTCAGATATATAAACCTAAGAGTTTAATCTGATGCTCTACTGACTGAGCTCTTCATTGTTGCATATGTAGACAACCCAGGGAAATGTCATTTCTTCGATAATGAGTTCTTCACTTCTCAAACTACACAAAATTTATCCGATTTTGTCACTTCTCATCTTAGAATTAAGATCAAATTTTAAAAGTGTCAATTATGTCTGATCATAAGTAGACTTGTGTATAGAGAATACATGGGCAGTGTCTTAATTTTTTTTTTAATCTGACCTTGACATTTCACTGAATAATGCCAAATGACATACACCAAAGTAATTGCTCTGTTCGGAAATACAGTTCAAACTTAAACAGATACAGCAATTTTATGAATTTTCTCAAGAGAACTAGTTCATTCCAGTGATATCTCCTATAAAGTTATTCACATTCTAAGATGTAATATTTATATAAATCAGTAAGTGATTCAGTGTTCATGTTAAAATACAGCTGGTTTTAGTCATTGCCAAACACAGAAAAAAATCTGACAATGGCAGCACTAGGTTTAAAAAAAATTCTGTGTGCACGAAACTTACAAAGAAGATTGTTTGAATTGAAAATCAAGAAATTGGTCTGCAATACTGGAAATATCATACATGGACTTTCCTGATGTTAAAATGATTGAACAGCTGAATTACTGCATAGCTGTGAAAAACCAAACCAGGTGAAATAATATCAAAATTAGGGAGTTGTATATTTATCATTGATAAATGTAATAACATTTTTTTCTGTTTTTTTCTCTCTCTCTCTTGTTTCTTTTAACAAAATAATTTTTTACTGCCTTTGAAGGTTCTAAGTGACAGTCAACATTTATGTTAATTCTCTTAATGTTTTTTTCCAGGTGTGTGTAAGTTGGAGAGAAAAAATAATCATCAAACAAGCATTTACTGTAGTTGGGTACTAGATAGGTGATGAGTATGAAAGAAACTAAACTGTGTTTTCCCTAACTGAAATTTTCTTTGAATTTCTTTAAGACCTGTTGAGCTATAAATACATGTAGTAGATATATGCTGCCTATTCAAATGCATTAAGTAAAATTGTTTTGGATAGTGAGGTACATCATCAGAATTTCTCTCTTGGCAATGTGTCCATTAATTCTCTGTAATCCTACCTCACCTTAACAAAAAGTGCCTTCCTACAATGAAAATCTGGTACATTTTATACAAACTACACTTTAACCCAGTAATTTATTTTGTGAACTACAGATGTGATGATAATGTTGGATACTAGACTGATATTTGGGACACACGTTCCCGTCGATATCTGACCAAGTGTATTGTCCATCCAGATTGTGTTGAGTTGTATGTATTACTGTTGTACAGTCAGAAATTTATTGTAACACAATGAAACTCTTCAAATAAATTCTACAAAAAATATTGTACTTACTTTTGTAATTTGATTTCACAAAAACAATTTACATCTTTTGAATTTGGTTGTCGCAAATGAACTTTTGTCATTCCTTGTTTTTCTTAACCGATGAAAACATTTTACCAAGAATAAAAATTTTCAGAAACATTCCCCAACCAAACAAGGAGCCCATAGGGCCTTTATTGTTCACTTTGTTTTGCTTTATCCAAAGTTAAGGAAAAGGATTCTTAAGATTTGAAATTTCCCCCCCTTCAGACCCCATCCCTACAAAATTTGGACAAAACACTGTCATTTCTGTAGCAGAAAAATTTCATAGAACTTGCTACATATCTCTATTGCGCCTGCCTTCCAACTATTAGGGATTAGACCCACAGTTTATCAGAAATTGATTTCATTTCACCCAAGGATACTACAGACCAAATTGGGGAAGATTCCTTGCATTCCTACAGAAGAAGAGTATGAAAGAATTTCCCTGTTGGACCCCACCCCTCCTGCCCCTTTGGGTCCAGACCCACTGTTTATATAATCGATTCTCCTTAATTCAAGGATGCTCCAAACTGAAGTGGGACAGAATCCTGACATTCCTATAGAAGAAGGATTTTCAAGAATTTGCTTTACTGTTGGAGCCCTGCCATAGGGGCTGCGACCCAGCGTTTATACAAAATCAATTAACCTTCACCTAAGCATGTTTCAGATCAGACTGGGGGAAAATTCAGGTATTCGCACAGAAGAAGGGTTGTAAAAAGTTTGCTCTATTTCCCTTATTGGGCCCTGCCCACCCTGTCCCATGGGACAGAGACCCACCATTTATACAAAATTGATTTTCCTTCACTCAAAGATGCTTAAGACCAAATTTCGAAAAAAAAGCAATCATTCCAACCAAGGCATTTTGGCCCCTTGGGGCCAAGAATCACTGTTTGTACAAACTTGATTCTTTATCTCCCAAGGATGCTTCTGACCAAATTTGGTCAAAATCCATTCTGTCATTCATGACTTGTAGCAGTTTTTGATATCCTTTGGGCCAGGTGAGCTTATTAACTAGATTATATAGTCCTGGCTCCCTAGTGGCCATGAAAGGGCAAGGTCGTAATGGTCAAATTGTGTGATATTTCATCCATATTCTTCAGAAATGGTAAAATTGTATTGATAGAGCAGAATTAAGATTTGTATGTATTCAATTACCCGTTTCGAAGCTTGGACTGACATACGGTAAAAAAATCTAATGTGAAGCCAAGAAATAGATATTTCAGAATGTCAGTCCTCAAGCAAGATGAATTGATCTCAAACATACCGGTATACAGGTTAAAGATATTTTTCTCAAACCTATTGTTTGAAAATTGAATGACACCTTTATAAACTATTTTCATTTCTCAATTTTTTCCCCCTTTTTAGCTAGCATAGGTATACGTCGTAATGACATCATTTTGACTACAACATCACTGAATGCCATATGCTATGGAAAGGTACCAAACAGATTGAATAAGACAGAAAAATCTAATGCTATTGGAAATGTAAGATTTCTCTGGATCATTTAAATGATAGAACCTTTTACCTGCATGTTTTCGAGATCAATGAATCTCAGGGCTGACATTTATTTCATCATTACTATAGTGTTTATCATTCATATGTTTGAAATAAGTATAAACATTCTGAAACAAGACACATGTATATATACCTTTAATTTCTCAAGTTTTGTGTTTTATACAAAAGCTTTACACACACATCTCATGAATAAATTAAATGAACAAAAACAATGACATCACATGTAACACATGTGGTATGAAAATACTGAGAGATACATTTAGCAATACACTTACAAACATGAAAAGTTTCTCCGAAGTTATCACAAAGTTTCAAATTGATCACATGATTGACTTAAAAATAAATAATGTTGTATTGCCCTCAAAAATTGTCGGTATAGAATTAAAATGACCATACTTTGTTACTGAGGTGATCAAACTGACCTACTTTCTATAGGAATGCTTCCTAGTTCCAGAACTAGAGTAGCTCTATAGATTATAAGCTATCTTGTATACAAATTTTGTCTGTCCAATACAGAACCAAAGGCTTGATTTAAAGGCACTGAAATGACATTTCTCACAAAGTCAATATATATTATCATTTGTAAACTTGTTTAGGAGTAAATCAGCTTATTTTTATAAAGAGTTGGCTATGTAACATCGATAAAAATAGAATCAGGACAAGAGATTTGTGTTAACAAATCAACTGCTGTCAGATATAAAATCTGTAACAAAACAGAGACAATGGAAGATTGTTTTAAATGATTCTGACTGTGTGTCCTGGACTAGTTACCAATCTCCAATAACATCCACAGGAGTCACCACGAAGATATCTGTAACAATGGAGACGAACCAGTGTCCATCCTCTTAAGTTCCTTATCACCTCCAAATGACCTTGACACCATTGTGACCTCTAGGTGACTGTTCGTGTTTTCCTTCTTGTGTAAGGTATGGCAGCATGCCCTATAACGCCTGGACACGAGCACCTGACATGCTAGAGGTCGGAGTGTTATGAGATTGTTGTGTGGACTGGAACCGGGATGGACCAGTGGACAGGGAGAACTCATAAGGATCCAGGCCACTGGTGAATAGGTTAAGTCTGTCCTCTGTAACAACCAAGTGTGTCTTAGTCAAATATCATTTCAATACCATTTGTCTGTAGATATAAACAAACCAACATATCTTAGAACAACCAGATGTTTAAAAGCCTTGAGTCATTTGTCACAAACAATTTCTCAAAAGTTTAAGTAAAATATGTTACTCCACAGGGAGCCAATAAAACATGATTAGTGTGATCAAAAGGAAAAATAACTCAAACATTTCACTTAAAGTTTTCATACTGATACATACTGTTCACTTAGCATAAAGTTCTCCTAGCACAAAACTATAGACATATCCACACCAATATATACAGTTCTCCTCACACAAAACAATAGAAACATTCACACCAATATATAAAGTTCCCCTGGCACAAAACTATAGAAACATTCACACCAATATATACAGTTCTCCTCACACAAAACTATAGAAACATTCACACCAATATATACAGTTCCCCTAGCACAAAACTATAGAAACATTTACACCAATATATACAGTTCTCCTCGCACAAAACTATAGAAACTTTTACACCAATATATACAGTTCTCCTCACACAAAATATAGAAACATTCACACCAATATATAAAGTTCCCCCCGCACAAAACTATAGAAACATTCACACCAATATATACAGTTCTCCTCACACAAAACTATAGAAACATTCGCACCAATATATACAGTTCTCCTCGCACAAAAATATAGAAACATTCACACCAATATATACAGTTCCCCTCGCACAAAACTATAGAAACATTCACACCAATATATAAAGTTCCCCCCGCACAAAACTATAGAAACATTCACACCAATATATACAGTTCTCCTCACACAAAATATAGAAACATTCACAGCAATATATAAAGTTCCCCCCGCACAAAACTATAGAAACATTCACACCAATATATACAGTTCTCCTCACACAAAACTATAGAAACATTCACACCAATATATACAGTTCTCCTCGCACAAAACTATAGAAACATTCACACCAATATATACAGTCTCCCTAGCACAAAACTATAGAAACATTCACACCAATATATACAGTTCTCCTCGCACAAAACTATAGAAACATTCACACCAATATATACAGTTCTCCTCACACAAAACTATAGAAACATTCGCACCAATATATACAGTTCTCCTCGCACAAAACTATAGAAACATTCACACCAATATATACAGTTCTCCTTGCACAAAACTATAGAAACATTCACACCAATATATACAGTTCTCCTGGCACAAAACTATAGAAACATTTACACCAACATATACAGTTCTCCTCGCACAAAACTATAGAAACATTCACACCAACATATACAGTTCTCCTGGCACAAAACTATAGAAACATTCGCACCAACATATACAGTTCTCCTCGCACAAAACTATAGAAACATTCACACCAATATATACAGTTCTCCTGGCACAAAACTATAGAAACATTCACACCAATATATACAGTTCTCCTCGCACAAAACTATAGAAACATTCACACCAATATATACAGTTCTCCTCGCACAAAACTATAGAAACATTCACACCAATATATACAGTTCCCCTAGCACAAAACTGTAGAAACATTCACACCAATATATACAGTTCTCCTCACACAAAACTATAGAAACATTCACACCAACATATACAGTTCTCCTGGCACAAAACTATAGAAATATTCACACCAACATATACAGTTCTCCTGGCACAAAACTATAGAAACATTCACACCAACATATACAGTTCTCCTCACACAAAACTATAGAAACATTCACACCAACATATACAGTTCTCCTGGCACAAAACTATAGAAACATTCACACCAACATATACAGTTCTCCTGGCACAAAACTATAGAAACATTCACACCAACATATACAGTTCCCCTAGCACAAAACTATAGAAACATTCACACCAATATATACAGTTCTCCTCGCACAAAACTATAGAAACATTCACACCAATATATACAGTTCCCTTAGCACAAAACTATAGAAACATTCACACAGATATAACACTGGAATTGAACCAGCTTGATATGTTGCCACATGGTTAGAATGAAGTTTAATCTCTCAAAAAACCTGCATACTGGCACGCTACTTTATACATGACTAGCCAACAATATGACTTCAGTAAAATATGTCACATTCAGTAAAGTTGATTTACACATGCTTTGTAGCAGTCAAAACGTTCAATTGCAATGATGTCAGTCAACAAATTAAAACCATTATTATGAACAAACAAGCACATCGCTGCATGCCAATCTAGATCATACCAATCTAAATATAACTAGCTCTACCTTATCTCAGCATTACTGACACAACTGATTGTTTCTTCAACATAAGTCATTTTCAAAATGGAAGTCAAAAGATGACCTGGGCTGGATTGTGTGTACAAAGTTTTTGCAGTAAGATGTGTCAGTAAAACGTTTGATGAAGGTGCATAAATCAGAAAAAATTACTCTTCACTGGAAGTGTGGACTCTTTCTTCACTTTATCTGAAAATGAAACAGTCTACCTCATTGGTACTTGATTTTCTCTTGTTTATAAAGTAGAGATATAGGATATCACCATTAATCACTTGTACACTATCAGTGGGTTAAATTTAACAAACAAAAACAGAACAATAAGCTATTGTGGGTCTACTAATACTAAAATAAATGATTAAAAATTTGCAATAGCGTTCCTGTAAACAGTCAAAAGACATGAATATGATATATAAGTTATACACAATGAATATTGTAGCACTATTACTGACTATCATGTATTACCCTGCTGATGTTTGTATGGGAGATATCTTTTGAGCACTTTGTTTATTTCCTTGCTGTATATAAAACATGATGTATGCACCAAGTACTTTAGACTGTTGAGAAAAAACCATGTGAACACCATGTACCTTCAATGTTGAGTGAAAACAATACGTAAACACCAGTGCCTTCTTTGTTGTATATGAAACTTGTGTGCACCATATGCCTTTCCTGTGTGCAAAAAAATTGTGAGCACCCTGAAACTTCCCTGTTACCTGGAAACATTTACACAAGCACCATGAAACTTCTCTGCTGTGTAAAAAGACACTATGTGTGCACTATGAACCTTCCCTGCTACCTGGAAACATTTACACAAGCACCATGAAACCTCTCTGCTGTGTAAAAAGACACTATGTGTGCACTATGAACCTTCCCTGCTACCTGGAAACATTTACACAAGCACCATGAAACTTCTCTGCTGTGTAAAGAGACACTATGTGTGCACTATGAACCTTCAATGCTATCTGGAAACATTTACACAAGCACCATGAAACCTCTCTGCTGTGTAAAAAGACACTATGTGTGCACTATGAACCTTCCCTGCTACCTGGAAACATTTACACAAGCACCATGAAACCTCTCTGCTGTGTAAAAAGACACTATGTGTGCACTATGAACCTTCCCTGCTACCTGGAAACATTTACACAAGCACCATGAAACTTCTCTGCTGTGTAAAAAGACACTATGTGTGCACCATGAACATTCTCTGCTGCCTGGAAGCACTACGTGAGTAAAATGTACCATATCTACTGTGTGAAAACGCTGTACGCACCATGTGAACCTTCCCTGCTGTATATAAAACACTGTGTGCACCATGTGAACCTTTCCTGCTGTATATAAAACATTGTGTGCACCATGTGAACCTTCCCTGCTGTATATAAAACACTGTGCACACCATGTGAACCTTCCCTGCTGTATATAAAATGCTGTACGCACCATGTGAACCTTCACTGCTGTATATAAAACACTGTGCGCACCATGTGAACCTTTCCTGCTGTATATAAAACACTACGCACCATGTGAACCTTCCCTGCTGTATATAAAACACTGCGCACCATGTGAACCTTCCCTGCTGTATATAAAACACTGTGCGCACCATGTGAACCTTCCCTGCTGTATATAAAACACTGTAAGCACCATGTGAACCTTCCCTGCTGTATATAAAACACTCTGTGAGCACCATGTGAACCTTCCCTGCTGTATATAAAACACTGTGCACACCATGTGAACCTTCCCTGCTGTATATAAAACACTGTGCACACCATGTGAACCTTCCCTGCTGTATATAAAACGCTGTACGCACCATGTGAACCTTCCCTGCTGTATATAAAACGCTGTACGCACCATGTGAACCTTCCCTGCTGTATATAAAACGCTGTACGCACCATGTGAACCTTCCCTGCTGTATATAAAACACTGTACGCACCATGTGAACCTTCCCTGCTGTATATAAAACACTCTGTGAGCACCATGTGAACCTTCCCTGCTGTATATAAAACACTGTGCACACCATGTGAACCTTCCCTGCTGTATATAAAATGCTGTACGCACCATGTGAACCTTCCCTGCTGTATATAAAACACTACGCACCATGTGAACCTTTCCTGCTGTACATAAAACACTGTGCGCACCATGTGAACCTTCCCTGCTGTATATAAAACACTGTGCGCACCATGTGAACCTTCCCTGCTGTATATAAAACACTGTACGCACCATGTGAACCTTCCCTGCTGTATATAAAACACTCTGTGAGCACCATGTGAACCTTCCCTGCTGTATATAAAACACTGTGCACACCATGTGAACCTTCCCTGCTGTATATAAAACACTGTGCACACCATGTGAACCTTCCCTGCTGTATATAAAACGCTGTACGCACCATGTGAACCTTCCCTGCTGTATATAAAACGCTGTACGCACCATGTGAACCTTCCCTGCTGTATATAAAACGCTGTACGCACCATGTGAACCTTCCCTGCTGTATATAAAACACTGTACGCACCATGTGAACCTTCCCTGCTGTATATAAAACACTCTGTGAGCACCATGTGAACCTTCCCTGCTGTATATAAAACACTGTGCACACCATGTGAACCTTCCCTGCTGTATATAAAATGCTGTACGCACCATGTGAACCTTCCCTGCTGTATATAAAACGCTGTACGCACCATGTGAACCTTCCCTGCTGTATATAAAACACTGTGCGCACCATGTGAACCTTTCCTGCTGTATATAAAACACTGTGCGCACCATGTGAACCTTTCCTGCTGTATATAAAACACTGTACGCACCATGTGAACCTTCCCTGCTGTATATAAAACACTGTGCGCACCATGTGAACCTTCCCTGCTGTATATAAAACACTGTGCGCACCATGTGAACCTTCCCTGCTGTATATAAAACGCTGTACGCACCATGTGAACCTTCCCTGCTGTATATAAAACGCTGAACGCACCATGTGAACCTTCCCTGCTGTATATAAAACACTGTGCACACCATGTGAACCTTCCCTGCTGTATATAAAACGCTGTACGCACCATGTGAACCTTCCCTGCTGTATATAAAACGCTGTACGCACCATGTGAACCTTCCCTGCTGTATATAAAACGCTGTACGCACCATGTGAACCTTCCCTGCTGTATATAAAACACTCTGTGAGCACCATGTGAACCTTCCCTGCTGTATATAAAACACTGTACGCACCATGTGAACCTTCCCTGCTGTATATAAAACACTCTGTGAGCACCATGTGAACCTTCCCTGCTGTATATAAAACACTGTGCACACCATGTGAACCTTCCCTGCTGTATATAAAACGCTGTACGCACCATGTGAACCTTCCCTGCTGTATATAAAACGCTGTACGCACCATGTGAACCTTCCCTGCTGTATATAAAACACTGTGCGCACCATATGAACCTGCCCTGCTGTATATAAAACACTGTGCACACCATGTGAACCTTTCCTGCTGTATATAAAACACTCTGTGAGCACCATGTGAACCTTCCCTGCTGTATATAAAACACTACGCACCATGTGAACCTTTCCTGCTGTACATAAAACACTGTGCGCACCATGTGAACCTTCCCTGCTGTATATAAAACACTGTGCGCACCATGTGAACCTTCCCTGCTGTATATAAAACACTCTGTGGGCATTATGAAATTTCTTCACTGTGAGAAAACACCATGTGATCAATATAGAACAAGACATGTGGTTTATAACTAAGTATTAGGTACACCTGGTAAACACCGATGATGACTGATAACATTTTACAAGTGCTGGACATTTAACATGAGAGAAAAACTTTTCTCCGATCAGTGATGACAACAACAACTATACAACATCAATGCTGTAATAACTAACCCATTGATCTTCTGTTGTTATCTAAAACATCAAATAATCAGTGTAGGATGATATAATGTTCACTGACGTCAGTAGTATCTCAGTTTTAGTAGAAAGATTGCACAAAAGACACAAGTGAAAAGTACGTTTTTATAACCTAACAATGAATTAAACTGCATCATACAGCTCTTTCATCCTTCTAGAACTCATCAGTGATGCTAAATTTTGATTCCCAGGAAACTAAGAAAAATCCAAAGTGATCGAAAGAAAGGTCAAAATCTAGACGGAGAGGTACCTCGGCCCCGTAATTAAATAAATTTTCATACATCAGATAATTTTAGAACAGCATCAAGTACATGTGTATATTCTGAAACGTCTCACTATCTGAATGAATTAAAATGTGAAATAACAGGTAAACAGTTACATCATACTCAAAAACTACATCAAAAATGTATTTTTTATCCCTTAGACTTAACCCTTACCCAGCCATATCATACTCAAACACTATATATAAAACTAAATTTTCTCTTTTTTCCTTAGACTTAACCCTTACCCAGCCATACCACACTCAAACACTATATATAAAACTAAATATTCTCTATTTTCCTTAGACCTAACCCTTACCCAGCCATATCATACTCAAACACTATATATAAAACTAAATATTCTCTATATTCCATAGTCCTAACCTTTATCCAGCCAATTTATAGAGATAATTTACCCTTACTATAATATAAAGCTATAGTTGTATAATTTGTAAATACTTTGTACTTACCAACGTGTTTCTCTGAATAAGCACTTGTTGCCACTTCCTTCCAATTAGACATGTACCTGTAAAACAAAGAAGTTTTCACATATTTCCAAATTTGATATTGAACATTTGAATGTCATTACCATACCTGTTCAGAACATAACAATATTTCAAATATATCTCTTATACCAGTAAAACTTCCTAAATACTGTAAATGTACTTAATTTAATTCTAAGGAACATTTTAGCACAATATCACTTTTTGGTACGTTAGTGCAAGGACAAATTCACACATCCACACTTATATCTATATAATCAACTTTATTAAATTGTCATTAGTGTCATCATGATAAGTTTTACACTACAGGACATACATTTAGAGTATCAGATTTTTAAGAATTTATATAAACCTAAATTGTAAATCACTCGGCTTCTATTCCTTCTTTTCTATACAAGTAATGAGAGGCAGGGGAAAGTAATCTCAAACCCTCCACCTTCCTTCTTGACATATTCAATTTTAAAATAGCCCCTTTTGATAAGTGTAGTTATGACTCACTCATCAAAGTTGAGGCTAGTTGTCCAATCAAGGAGTTCATCCACTTCCCAGTCCTCCAAAGCATCTGGACCCATCTGATCGACTGTTGCCACCATTCCTGCTGCAGCACCCTCTATTAATGTCACAGTCTCCTGGTCATCGGACTTGGCCTTCAGCATCCCCTCTCTGTACCTACAATGTTGTGTTTACAATGTATGGTAATGAATGAGTGATTTAAATTATTTGTTATTTATTCTCCTGGCTTCCTAAAGAATTAGTTATTTGCAAGTTGTTTGTTTACAATAACCTACAGAATTCAATGCTTTATTCAATATAATGGGATTTTCTCTACACACATTTTTCAGAGTTAAATGTGTACTGATATTTATCATTTATAAACAATTTTTCACAACTTCAGTTCTCTTAATATCATTTACAGGAGCAACCAAATATATCCAAACATTGTACTGATAAATATTTCTCTGTAGTGCACCATAATTATAAACATGCATTACATTTTCTTCATCCAGTCAATCTTCTTTATCTTCTTCCTTTTGGCTACATCTTGTTTTCTTTGGAGCTGTAAATCAATACACGTAAGTCAGTTAGAATCATTACATCGGTATATATATAGTTAGACAGGCCATAACAATTTATATCCTAATCTCATTTCATGAATAGAATGTTTTCATAGACAAAGAGCCCTGAGACAGTTTAAAAAAAAAAAAAAAATAGGTTAAGAATTTATTTAAATGTGACAACAACCATCATGCAATAAAACAACTAAGGAACTAAACCAGCTTAAGCTGATAAAGTCAACATCTTATTATGGTTTTTACAAACACTGAATGATACTAAAGAAAGTTACAAGAGACTGACCTTGTCATGGTTAAAACTGTATTTTTTATTGGACGACTCCCATGTGATAGGGTCTGCCATGATGTGGTGTATGAGACGGTCAGACACAAGCCTCCAGCCATTATTCTCTGACCGCTGGTACCAGCCTGTCTTTTCTGTTCACAAGAATTAAAGTAATACAAAAACCAATAAATCATACGATTGTTAATTAGCAGGGCTATCATCTAAACCAACTTTCTCAACTTGTGATTCTATATTTGCTGGGTATTTAATTACACGCTGTCTTTAATAACCATGAATATTACAAACACCACACTATACAACACATATGTATGAAATAATAGTACATGTATATCCATTTTTCCTTAGTATGTCCTGATATTATGTGGGCATGTCAACAAATATTGAAATCTTCATTCTGTATGGTGGTATTCAAAAAGAAAAATGATATTCAAATATTCGTTTTCACTATTGTGAGATATCAATGTTTTCAAGATCACTGAAATTAATCTGTTCTCTGTCAGCGAATTGTCCAATTTTCAGTCTGGATAGAACAATGTCAGCTAAATGATCATGGTATTATTATTGTTGAAAGTTGTACACCTGTAGAATTCATCATGACACTAATTAGCCTATCACCAGAGGGCTTGAAGTCACCACTATCCAGGTAACATAGATCAAAGCTGCATCTTTAATATTGTCATCAAGGACAGTCTTAGAATACTGTTAATCACTTAAATCAGCATTTAATTAGGTCACTTCTGATGGATGTTAAAGGGAAGTAATTACAAAATATAAGTTATATAAACATCTGTTGTTATCTTCCTGTACATATTTTTAATTGCTACGTAGATGATGGGAACTTCATCAACAGTGATGAACATGTTGACATGTTGTAAGAATAATCATTTCAATATTAGTTTTTGTTCCACATATCGTTTGAATTCACGATGTTCTAGGCCTACTACTTGTAGCACAGGACACAATATACATTGTACCAGATATGGATTTAGCCTTATTTTCATATTTACTTGAATAGTTAATTTATGCTGTGAAGTACTATCACAATATTTATACTGTCATTTACCTGGGTATATGTTTCAATAAAATTCTTTTTTTTGTTTGGGAGAATTGAAACGTTAAGGGAAATATTTGTGTCTTCACATCTTAACATATCCTGAGACACGTTTTCATGCTATTTTTCACATTCTTTTAAGCTTAGTTCATAGGCACAGAAAATTGGTCCTAGATCTTACAACTAACATTTTCAATATGACTAGTTATATGTTGTGTTCAACATATTGAAAACATCAAGTCACTATAGGTACCATTCTTTAAAATGTCACTAGTACAGTACAGTATGCTTAGTGTGTAACAACTATCTTCTTAAAGTGAAAGTTGCGAACCATACAGATTTGACATGAAAACAAATATTGAAATATTTGAATACATATTCAGATGAAATTTGTGAACAACAATTTCTATGGAAATGACATCGCTAGTGAAAAGTCTTGTTTTGATACTGTCCAGCATGATCCTACTTCACCAGATTTATTGATACACCATATAGATAACTTTTGTACATATGGAATATATTTTATAACAATGATATCCAGGCTTCTGATTCACGAAACAATCTAAAGTCAGACATTGTTTTATGTTTACAAATAACATCACAAAAAAAATAACTTGATATACATGACTGACTTAACTAACACTGGAGTCTAAGACTGTTTCATGATCTTAGAACCAGGTAGATTCATTATTCCTAAACAGTACTGTGGACTACCAAATAAACAGGACTGACCATCTGGTTTAGGACCCGTGCGGACATTGCTGTGGACATCTTTAGCCATCTTTAGTTTGACGTTAGCACAAGTGTAGTCTTTTGGGCTGTTGGCACACATATCCTGGATAGGTCTGTGTGTGAAGATTTTGTAGTAAATGTTGGGTGGGAATCTCTCCTGTTAAATCAGACAATGATCAGATAAGTAAAAAAGTTAGTACTGGTAAATCTGAAGAAAGGTCATGTCACAACTTGTTTCATCAATTAAAACAATGTTAAAGCTTCTGACAGATTGCTCCATAAAGTTAAATAAACCATATTGCCACTATACTGTATAGCCACAGTACATCGTTCTGAACCTCTACTGTACATACAAATATATTCCCAAAGTGCACAATACTCTATCCCCACAGTTCATAATACTGAATCACCAAAGTACACAACACTGTATCTCCCTAGTTCATAGTAATGTATCGCCACAGTATGCAATAGTGTTTCCCTACTGCAAATAATATCTCGACAGTCTATAATACATTATCCTGGCAGTATACATTACTATATCATCACAGTATATAATTCATTTTCCATTCAGTACATAAAACTCTATACACATAGTACATAATACTGTATCATCAGAGTAAAAACAATACTATATCCCTACAGTACATAAAACTCTATACACATAGTACATAATACTGTATCATCAGAGTAAAAACAATACTATATCCCTACAGTACATAAAACTCTATACACATAGTACATAATACTGTATCATCAGAGTAAAAACAATACTATATCCCTACAGTACATAAAACTCTATACAGAGTACATAATACTGTATCATCAGAGTAAAAACAATACTATATCCCCACAGTACATAATACTGTATCATCAGAGTAAAAACAATACTATATCCCCACAGTAAATAAAATTGTAAACCCACAGTACATAATACTGTATCCTTTCTGTACATAACACTTTTTACCCACATTACATAAATTCTATCCAAACAGTACATAATACCATTTCCCCACAGCATATGATCTTGTATCCACACAGTACATACTCGTATATCCTCACTGTCTAATATTGTATCCCCTCAGTGCACAACTGTTAGTGCACACAGTGTTTACATGTATTGTTCAGTGACTGTGAAGAGTACTTACCCCTGCCAGTCTGAACTTAACATGGACTCCAGAGGCTGCATCCAGGTACTTGGATTCATTTGGGTTGATACACCGCAACATGAGGCTGGGGTTACCTCGTGACTTGAAGTTGATGAGATCCCTATAGTACTGATATACCTGTATATCCTACAGAAAGATACTTAGATCATACACACTGCAGCTACAAATTTTACTGGTAAATTTTATATCTTTACATAAACAAATAATGTGACATCAACAGTGATAAATCTACATGCAAGTCTTGTGATCATAGAATTTTGATAGGACCCATAGAATTTCTAAAAAATACTTAGATTTTACATTGAGGGACCCATTCTTTCAGTAATAAGTTGAAATGGATTCGTGAAAATAAATTGTAGATTGATCACTGAATCAAAGGAGTAACATTCAGTTAAAAATATATATGATATTCATTTGATTTACAACAATCATCCAACTTCTATTGTTCACACGATTGGTCCACATGATCCAATCGATTACCCTACAGTACTATAAGGTATGGGATTGAGGTATATAGCAAGGCTCTGGTTTCCTGAGACAGATCTATATCCTGAGCCCAATGGAAATAGACCTGGACATATAACTAGCTAATATTTGTAATATATAGACATAGGAAGTTGAGATAAATACAAAATGTAACCAACACCAATAAATCAAAATGAAAACAATATTTTTCTGGGTTGCTGTATGTATTTGATGCACCACAAATTCTTCTTTAAGAACAAACATTTACTATATATTGTCTCTCACCGATGCACCAAAGACAATACTTACTATATGTCGTCTCCAAGCTTTCTGTATGATAACTGCTGCCTGCCTTTCAGTCAAGAACTCCCTCTTACGTTTGGGTGGTGGGGGCGGGAGGGATTGTGTGACAGCTGTAATCTGTGGTGGACTGGGGGCCTTCATCTCCATATTCTTCTGGCGCTGTGCTAGCCACCATTCCTGGATGAAGTTGGCACAGAACTGTTCAAATCTGTAAGTTGTCAGTCAACAGAGTTCATCGTACTGGTAGGATATAGTATTCCAAAGGTATGCGGATTAGTTCAGATATACTATCAAGGAGTACATAATGTAATACTACAGAATAGTATTTTCTATTTTTCACTTTTTCACTGACAAGTTAACATCCTGATCTATAATTAATTGTTTCTTTAGTAGAATCTGACTTTCACACAGAGTAAAAGGAAAGTGCTAAAATCTATTTTGACAAAGCAACATTTAAAGAAATCATCTTAAACTTCAGTTGAACATTTGATGCCATGAGGTCAAATATATGAACTATTGGCAACATTTCCTTAAATTGTTTTTTTTAGAAATAGCAGTTGTGAGCATTTGTAAATAAAATGAATTTTTTTTAAAGCAACAGCATGAACTTCCAGTGCCAAGAACATTGTGATCAATGTTTAACTTTTACCAAAGGCACAATACTAATTGTGTTTTTGCAGAAATAGCAATTGTGAGCATTTTTTTTAAAAGCAACAGCATGAACTTCCAGTGTCTACAATACCAATCAAGCCTAACTCTTACCAACCCTACAATACCAATCATAATACGGATAATACTGCCTAACTGTTACCAACCCTACAATACCAATCATAATAATTGTTACCAACTGATAATACTGCCTAACTCTTACCAACCCTACAATACCAATCATAATAGTACCAATCGCAATACAATCATAATACGGATAATACTGCCTAACTCTTACCCTACAATACCAATCATAAAGTTTATTATTATTATATAATGGTAATACAAATACTGCTGCTTAAACATTACCAACCCTACAATACCAATCATAATACAGATAATACTGCCTAACTGTTACCAACCCTACAATACCAATCATAATACAGATAATACTGCCTAACTCTTACCAACCCTACAATACCAATCATAATACAGATAATACTGCCTAACTCTTACCAACCCTACAATACCAATCATAATACAGATAATACTGCCTAACTCTTACCAACCCTACAATACCAATCATAATACAGATAATACTGCCTAACTCTTACCAACCCTACAATACCAATCATAATACGGATAATACTGCCTAACTCTTACCAACCCTACAATACCAATCATAATACAGATAATACTGCCTAACTGTTACCAACCCTACAATACCAATCATAATACAGATAATACTGCCTAACTGTTACCAACCCTACAATACCAATCATAATACAGATAATACTGCCTAACTGTTACCAACCCTACAATACCAATCATAATACAGATAATACAGATAATACTGCCTAACTCTTACCAACCCTACAATACCAATCATAATACGGATAATACTGCCTAACTCTTACCAACCCTACAATACCAATCATATTACAGATAATACTGCCTAACTATTACCAACCCTACAATACCAATCATAATACAGATAATACTGCCTAACTGTTACCAAACCTACAATACCAATCAATCATAATACTGCCTAACTGTTACCAACCCTACAATACCAAATACTGCCTAACTGTTAACTGATACCATTTATAATACCAAACCTAGCAACTCCTGTTCAATGTCCTTATAAACTAAGAGTAATATACATACTTCTGAAGTTCTGAAGAACTTGTTCCTTTCTCCTCCATTTCTAGCAGGTAGCTCTCATAAAATCCTCGGATCTTCTCTGTACTTGGAGGACCCTCACCCTCTCCCTATGAATAAAGGTGTTGTTTATCCAGAAATTACTATTCTTCCCATAAAAATGAGCAATTACTATTTCTAAATTTTGGAGCCAAAAATGCCTTTTTAAGGTTTTGTTTGGATATCTCATAATATAATTTAGAAATTTACAGGCTAAAAATGGTCCTGTAAACTTTAAAGGCAGAGCTCTGCCTGATGTGATCTGGTTAATTTACCTCCCCTTCCAAAAAGTCTTCTTCTTCCCTGGTGGTGTGGTGCATACTGCCACTGTACACAGCAGTCTTACTGACCTTAGGGTTCAAGGTTTGATGTAGGTTACATCTGTATACAGAAAAAGTAAACCTCTTTATTATTTGTTCCTTCTAGAAATACAGCTGAAGTTATATAAATTACAGCCAATATTGCCACTTTTCTCCAAGAGGACAAAATACAGAACCTTAATATGATTGGCTGCTGTATGCTGCTGCCTACCTATCAAAGATAAATGCTTAATTATAATCTCGACACTGTAGCCTACTGTTTTGCAATGTCCAGACACAAAAACACAAAATTGTACATTATTTATCAGTGAAATATCTCTTCTGCAACAATCATTATCATTCTATGAAGCATTACCCCATGCAACCTCAGGTGAAGATCAGAGGTGTATGGTTTGATGGTCCTTGTTAGTGGTCGTTTGTTTTTCCTAAGAAGAAATGGAATGGTCAGTCAGTGAGGTTATTCATAGTAACTACAAGGTTGCCCCACCTTAAAATGACCCTCACTGTTGACCGGACAATAAATCACACAAAACTGTAAGAACTTACCTTCCACGGTAGCCCCTCCAGTATCTCTGTATTTCTATGGCAGCCGCTCCTTTAGCATCATCACTATCACGGTCATACCTAATAAGGGACTATAGAAAACACATAATGTAGCAAGTGAAACACCTGTAACATCAATAACAGTGACGTCAATAACTATGACCTTGTTATTTGTATGCCTCACTATAAATAAAGATATGGAACACTAATGATAAGGACAATTAGACAAAGATTATCATTCTCCCAGGTGCTATGTTATATATGTAACATGAATATAACTTTATGAAAAAAAAAATTTAAGAAAATTTTATCAAACATTTAATTGCCAAAGCACACAGTAATTCCACTGTTTACCTGTCTTGCTGCTTTAGGTAATGCTGCCAAACGCAAATCCCTGGTATATGGACCCTCTGCAATGAAATAATATTTCCAAATCATTATTTTTATTTACAGAGACAGAGACAATTTTTTTCTACATGGTGTCAAAAATAAAGAAAATATCAGCTATCTCAGACAATCAGATTAGCACTGAGGAAATTTATTTAACCACTCAGTGGATTTAATCTCATTGTATTTTTCCTTGATAGCAGTACTTTGAAAACTGTCTTCATTACAATATCTATATACATGCAGATAATGTTCTATTAAGAAAAAGTAGTGTTTAATTCTAGTAAACCACTTTATATAGCGTGTTATATTTAGTGTCAATAACATTATGGTAGGTATTTCCTAACCCTCAGTGATGTTTCTCTACAGCAACTCTGTATAACCAGAGCTATTATGTTTCATATTGTAGTAGGTAAACTAATCCACCCTATCTATTACAGAGTTATCTACAAACCTTGAGGCTATTAGTTCAATAGTCTGCTATAAACAACTTCTTAACAAAATAAAGGAAATGCTTTGGTACAACAGACTACTCATTCTGTAGGCTCCTGTTGATAATTAATCACTAACATACTACAGTTTAGCACCTTCCCTGCTGAAGAGTAGTCCACAGTGGTATAGAATACCAGTTGGTCTAAAGGATTCTGAACCCTTCTCACTAAATACTAGTACACATAAATTATCTAGCTTTTATGCTGGATCAGTGACTTTTGTAGTATTTTTCAAAGCAAGACCAGAAGACCATTTCCACATATTATGAGTTTCATTACTAAGAGACATACCAAGATATACTTGGTAGTAATCAAGGTAGATCCTAAAAATTTGAGTCCAAAAGGAAAATCATGAGTCCAAGACTCAAATATCCGAGTCCCAAAAGGCACTGCAGGATACTTCACTCTTTTTCCTGTTGCTGCAAATTGGGATCTCAGCACAACATAATTTTGACTTGGTGGAGTTAAGAAACAGTCATCTTCTACATTGTACATATAAAAAGAGGTAGAGATATTGATCCATCTTAACAAATTGAAGATAAATGGCAAAACAAGTGGGTGTAGTGTTTACCATCAGTAAAGATATCAGACCATTCCAATGTTGATAAGTTTATTGTTGCCTCTAATAGATTATGATTATTGAGTAACTTACTTAGGTATGTTTATCAAGCCTTTATTTACTATAATAAACATGACTGTGCTATATGTTTGATCTTGAATTGCCATTATGGTAAATTAAACATCTTTTAAATATTAAAACTATGATTGCACTTGTATCTATGTGCTATAATGCTTACAATAATTCAGTATTGTGAATGTGAATTCATTATTGCAGATGGTTGCTGTAGCTCTGTTTAATCTATATTGAAGCAAAGTTATGAGACAGTAAATTTGAGTATGTCACAAATATAAATGAAGGATTAAGAGTATGTATGAATGAATGTTTGTCAGTTTAATCAGAATAAAGCTCTTTAGGCATGAGAGGCACCTGAGCAAGCTCTTTACCATTATCAGGTCAAGGCATTTTTTCTACACAATTAGATTTGAAACAACAAAGAAAGGCATGGAGCATTGGTGCTCTGCACCATCTGAAGATAATGTTCATAAAAATTACTATGAAAACATTTTTGCTTTTATGGATTGGTTTGACTTACTTTCTAATTTTTTCTCTCAATATTTTTGATAAAGGTATATTGGCATGCACTGAATTATTATTATTCCTCAAATTACCCAACATAATATCAAGCAATGTCGTGACATCACAACATATAAACAAGCACACACAAAAGGCCATTGTCATAACTGTCTTAACCCAAATTATCTTCATTTCTTGAAGTACTAACCGGTTAACCAACTGATTTCTGAGTTTTATTTTCCCTGATAGTTCATCAACAGAATGTCATTTTGACAAAATTTAAGCTTCGCTCTTTCCAAACACTGCTTGACTCATTTTATACTCATGCATGGATATATCATAATTAAATTATTGTATGTAAACTTATGACATTAACTTTCTACCACTGATGGAACGATTTACAAAATCTAAACGTTTTATATTATCCACTTGTATGTTTATACAATAAACTAAATTGGAATGGAATGAAAGTACATATTCAACCCCGCGTTTTCTGTATAGTTGTGAAAACAACAACGATCAGTATTGTAACTAAAATTTGTCTTCGAACTTCCTACCGTACAACAGATTATCTACGATTTAGCTTACTTACTGAAAGCTGAGCAAGGACAAAACTCGTCTGTTTACATTTTTGTTTTAATATCTGACATATGATTCAACTTACCATCTAAGTCAGTACCAAGCAAAATGTCGTCTGCTTCTTTCTCGTCCATTTTATCGTCAAGGTGTCGACATAACCGAGGTTTAATTACTTTTTAACCCCATCTCAATGAATCTATCACCGAATGCAGCTGGTTGCTAATTTCAACAACATGGCGGACAACGATACGGACATGCGCATCACAAACCTAGATGTCAAGGCGAGTAGTCGATAGTGTTAGACGCGCAATTGCTTAAGAGTTATGGTTCTTGGTAATACTTTTTATTTCAGAACTGTTCCATATTTTCTATTTATCCCGAAACAGCCGATTATTTAAGAGAAAAGCGGAAAAATATATATACTGTCACTGGATGATCGAAATATTAGTATCCATATATAAGTGGCAAGATCATTTTTAAAACATTCATATAAAAATCACTTAGTAATTAATTTCTAAAATGAAAGAAATGATAATCAAAATAAAAATTTGGGAATATGAAATTAAAAAAAAATATCTTGAAAAGAGATTGAGGCCCACGAAGGAGAAATGGAGGCATCAATTCCAAACAATTGAATACTGACTAAATTCAATCACATGCAATCCAACGAGTGATTTTACTAGATTAGGTCAGCGTTTCCATCTATTACTGCTATATGATGGCTATCCTCTAAACCAGGCTCATAGACATACATTGATGTTAATGGTTACAGATCACTCTATGTTCTGTACCTGCACACTTTTCTTGGTTGCCCAGAGTTTATCCAGTTTTGTTTTTAAAATTGCACATACTTCTAATATTTTTGTTGATACCACATTCTACCAAGACGTACCAAGCTGTGTAAGGTCAGCTGGGTCAGTGATTTTCGAAGTATAGATCAATTGATTTGTGGTGATAATTTTTTAATGTCAAGTTTTTTTTACAACTGGTCAAATGGACTTTACATCTTTAAAAAAAATCCCACATTTTAATTTTCTTTCAATGAAGGCCATTCATAAATGACCAGGCTTGGGCTGTATTATTCTTAACCCTATACTAGAACCTGGTAGCAGAAAATACAAAAACAACAATTTGCACTGCTAAAAACGAAAATTTTCATTTCAGAACCCACTTTAATTCTCACATTTTCTGTGAGCTCCCACAAAATCTGATGCTTTTGAATAGTGTTCTTTATGCAGCAGACCTAAAAGCACCTCCTTCCAAAAATTATGGTTATCACTGCATGACTGCAGATGGACCAAATAGACATCCCTCCTTTGATAAGACCAACAAATATTTTATAAACAAATGTAGGAATATGGAGCTAATAACTCTGCATGGCATTATCACTTGCTGTATAGCTGTTAAGAGATCACACTGTTTTCAAGACACCAAAATGCTTGCAAACAAGACAACTGTTGTCATTGATATTTTGTTTTTGTGGCAAAAAATAAAAATGCATAAAAAATTGAAATCTTGCAAGTAGCAAAATCACCCCTAAAATCACTCGCAGACAAAAAAGAATTTTGTTGAGATGAGTTGATTTGTTTTTGAGGTGCAGCCCAGAAATCTTGTAAACAATGATTTTTTTTTTATTTCCATTGTTTCTATGATAACAAAAAAATATTGGAAATGAAATTATACCAATAGCAAAAGGCTCATCTAGAGCACAATCCTCTCCAATGGACGAACAAACAGGGCCGTGTTAAATATCCAGTGCAAACCATATTTAGCTGGGGATAATACCCAGATATGGACTATTTGAAGACAGTTGGACAACAGCCAAACAGTTACTCCATCAGCCTTCCATCATCAGATGATGGGCTTAAAACATTGCTGATTATGGTTTAAGTTTTTTAAAATCTTTGGCACAACTTGCCAGGTAGTAATAACACAATGTTTCACAAACTATAGGTTACTTTACCATCCCTGTTCAATTCTGTTATAGTCCATCTAATAAGAACACAATTAATTAAAGAAACCTACCCTAGATCCTTCAGTTTATCAAGATTAAAGAAAAGTTCACACAAAAAAGAAAGAATTAAAGTGTTGATATTTTGCATTTCAATAACTACAAGAAACATGCTATGATCTATTTAGTCTTTATTATATGAAATGAGACAGTCTGAATGAAAAATGATTGCTTACTTACACAGTTAAGTAATGGTTACATATGCAGTCCAGAAACACTGGTACCCAAACATTTTCTTGGGAAAAACCAATTACAAAAATGAGGTTCATACAAACTTCTCGATGTAAAAACAGTTATGGACTTTCACATAATTGATGCATAACTTATTAATAAGGTTTCAGCAGAATAACAAGTTTTTTCTCATTTTACATACACTTTTCTAATCTCTATTACGTAACAGAGGATGACTTACAATGTACATTGTCTGTGAGGTAAGCAAATACCATCACAGACTAACTGAATATGATGGTTCGGAAATCCTGTTAATGAGGATTTGGGGAAAGATACTTCTTTCTGGTTATTTCGAATCTGTAATGTTATGTTTATTTAAAATGTTTCCATAAGTTCAATGAGTGATTCCCTTCACTTTTTTACAAACAGTTGTTATTGCATTGTGTAGGCATGTATACTGAACTAGCCATTACATATGTATAACAAAGCTAACAATAAATGATGAGAGTACTAAAACTGCCTCCCACGTCTACACCTAGTATATCATTGATTACAATAAAACATACAGTTAAACAAATAATAATAATAAAGAAAAGCACACATTTACCATACAAAAATCTACACAACACTACTGATAGCCATAGTGGGTAAGTGCTGAGGAACATGGATTTATTCAAAAGTTTCAGGTTTTATTACTTTAACACAAGAAATGGTTTAAGTATATATTCTTAATATTACATTTAAATTTGGTGCCCATTTTAATATGTTTTATATGAACAACTAGTTTGTCTCTTCTAAACATGTTACAGGAGGGAAACCAGGGTCCAAGGTGTCGCAATACAAAACAATAAATATGATTAATGAAATCTGTATTCAAAACATAGTATACAATCTGTGGAAAGGTAGAAATGCAGAGGCCTATTAGATATCAGTAAGTATTCATCCAGACATTTATTCATACACCAGGAATCAAATGCTGGTCCTATGTCTTGTGAAACATAATAGTTTTCCTTATCTTCCCAATATATGGTCACACCAAACTAGGTGTAAGAATACAGTATATAATAAACATAGAAACTCCATACTTACACTGAGGAATGGATAATGTCATACAAATATAAACATTTTGTATTATACAACAAGTAGAGCATTGAGACATAAAATGGTTACACAATGACTTGTATGAGGTCAACACATCAGAAAATTTTTCTGAAACATCTTAACATTTTTACAATACAATGAAATATATAGAGGATATAAGTTGTTACTTGATGAATAACACTTATATTTCATCAAGTGAGGTAAAAACTTTGATATTTTTCACACATGCACAGAATGAATAAAAAACTATGAAAAATTCCACCTCAACAGATGAAATATAGTGGCCATTCATCAAGACACAAAAAGTATCTTATCTACCGGTATTACATTTTTTCACACAACACTGATGCTAGTTTGAATTTTTCACTCTATCTATTTGTGTGCTCTGGTCATTTCTCTTTCATATCATCTACAGTAGTTTCAAATCTAAGACACAAGTCTTCAAATAATTAAAAAGAAAAGAAAAAAATCCAGATTAGCTAGGATCAATACAACTGTAAATTTTCAACAATCTCTACCAGAGTTGTGGTTCCTTACGATATGACAATGCACTGTGGGAAAATTTCATTTTTTCACTTTAAATACTGTGATCTGATTAGTCAAAAATGAGTGAAAATATCAAAACTATTTATTTTCACTGTGTTAATACCACCTGTATTTTCAGTAAAAAACTGATATTTCAAAGCAAAAGATATAATAATGAATATCATAACTTACTACCTGTTATTGTTCACATACTTTCACAGGCAGAATTCTTCAATAAGTAGTGTATCTACACAAGATTTTCTGCCAAATGTTGGATCTCATTTTCTCAGTAAAGTATCTAAACTGGTACACTGTATTTATCAAAACCAAACACAATCATATATGTAAGTTTTAATGTGTAGATTGACTGGATTAAAAAACACATTAATTTCTTGTACATATTTCCATTTGTGTATCATATATGTATATCAGGGCAATTTTGACAGATTATCACAACATTTTGTAAAACAAAGAAAAGTGTTTCCCTGGACAATTTTCCTTTAATACATACAAGGAAATGTTACATTCAACTATCATCAGGACACTTATATTACAACTATTTGGTGTAAAAAGCCAATACCAACATAAGGACATGCACTCTGATCATATAACAGATTCTCTTAAATCTTACAGAGAAATTCTCAGGTAAGTTTTTTTCTTAAAAACATGTACCATTCAAAACAAATTAATAAAACGTCTATTAGGATATTTCTGAAGGCTGAGATTACTGTCCCGTAAAATGTCCCTGTAGCTTCCATTGCAAAAGTATTAAAACATTATTTTTATGATATTTGATTTTGATAATACTTTTGGTAACTCGTCATTTTAAATGAAAAATCTACTGATCTTTCTTTAACTCACTTGCTGTTTTCTCAGCCATTTTTGCCATATTTACATTTTTATTTTTTCCATGTCCTTCCTTTTCCTCTTCCATAGTGCGTAACTTGTTTTGAAGGTAGACAATAAGTCTACAAGTAAGCAGTAAGAGGAACACAATAGACAGACTCATTTTATCAAGACCCTCGTCCAATGCCCAGTGTGAATACACATCCAACAACATCATCAGCAACATCACAATATTCACTGCATCTTTTACTGGTCCTGAAACATTATTCAAAGATACATATATTCATAGTGCATCAATAAAGACCAAAATCTCGGAAGTATTTCATCCTTGACCAACGAACACCAAAATCTAACCAAGTTTAGAAACTGATGTTGTTATACTATGGAGTGAATATGATTCAAATCTGGTGATAGGTTCATGAGATATCTTGTGAAAAACCATTCACTGTTAAAGTGTGGCCTTCATTACCTTGGACCACAGTAACCTGTATCTGGAAAGTAAACAACACAGGCAAAAATCCAGTCCAATATGTGGATCATACAAAATGGTAAGAAACTTGCCAGTTTGAGGCCAGTCTCTGTTCGACGGAAGTATGTCATTACTAAACATATATTTTTTCAAGGGGCTAGCCAATTGGCTGACTCTGCGGAGTTCATATGGCGGAATTTACATTTGAACAGAATGACATGCTTTCGTTTACAGAGATGGGTTGAGTGCTTGTAAAACTTGTACAGAAATATAGTGACATTTGGCTGTGAAACATTATGTGACAAACATTCGTAATGTTATTCAAACATTAATAAAACAAGTTTTAATGATACAATGTAGAAGTGACACTACCACTATCTAAATCAGTTCAAGGGGTTTATGCTTTCAAAAGTAGTCAAGCATGGTGACTGTCCATTATGACCTTTGACCTTTAACTGTGATCTAAGAAGAGATACAACCTGACATTGTGATATTATGATGTTGATATCAACAAGAGATCCCAGAGGGATCTTGGCGCCCACCATTTGAGGACCTGTTTTCAGTTCTTGATGATTTGGTTATTTTTTTTTTGTGTGTTACAGGTGTTGTAAATGTTCATGAACTGGTCTTCATTTAATGTACTCAATGATGGCACATGATATTTTTATTAAGCACCTATTAGCAAAAATCATTTGAAAAAGATCCCAAAGTATTATTAGATAGCAGTCAGTTACAGGTGGATAATGGACAATATGCTTGTGCTGTATTACTGTCGACATCCAAGATGGCTGCCTGTGGGCCACCTTGATTTCAAATCAGTCCAAAAAAGGTACAATGCACAACTAGGGACCAAGGGAAACCAATATCTATGAAATATCAGAAGAATCCATCCAGTACTTCCTCAGATATAGCAGTAACAAGATTTTACTCTCAAAATCCAAGATGGCTGCCTGTCTGCCATCTTGATTTCGCATCAGTCCAAAAAGGTATAATGCACAACTTGGAACCAAAGGGAACCTGTATATGAAATTTGAGAAAGATCCATCCAGTACTTTCCAAGAAATAGCAGTAACAAACTTTTACATTCAAAATCCAAGATGGCCACCTGTCTGCCATCTTGAATTCGAATCAGTCAACAAAAGGTACAATGCACAACTAGGGACCAAGGGGAACCTGCATATGAAATTTGAAAAAGATCCATCCAGTACTTTCCAAGAAATAGCGGTAACAAACTTTTACATCCAAAATCCAAGATGGCCACCTGTCCACCATCTTGAATTCGAATCAGTCCAAAAAAGGTACAATGCACAACTAGGGACCAAGGGGAACCTGCATATGAAATTTGAGAAAGATCCATCCAGTACTTTTCCAGAAATAGCGGTAACAAACTTTTACTTCCAAAATCCAAGATGGCCATCTGTCGGCCATCTTGTACTTTCCAAGAAATGCGAATCAGTTCAAAAAAGGTACAATGCACAACTAGGGACCAAGGGGAACCTGCATATGAAATTTGAAAAAGATCCATCCAGAGAAATAGTAACAAACTTTTACATCCAAAATCCAAGATGGCCAGCACTTTTCCAGAAATAGCGGTAACAAGAATTGTTTACAAGATGGCCACGGACGGACAAAAAAGGTACAATGACGGACCACGGGCGCAGGGCGATTTGAATAACCCACCATCTATATGAATAGATGGTGGGCTAATAAAATATAATTAATGAGATGTCTTTTATACAAGCGTTTTAATTCAAAAGTGACATTTAACTTTGAATAACAACCACAAAAATCTGATGTAGAGCCTTATGTTGTGATATTATGGTTTGAATATCAACCAAAGTTGTAAATGTAGGTAACCATGCATGACATTTGCTTTGTAATAAAGACACATGCAGTTACATGTAGTGTTGAAAATGTGATGCTGCATGTCGGATAGTTGTTTGTAATGTTTCCAGAATAAATTTAAATGGTGATAACCAGTGTTGTCGGTGTTGGTTGTCTTTGTCAAAGTAAAGTTATATCCAAAGGAGCTGCCAAGGTGTTAGGAGGTTGGCGCCTGTTGGTAGTTTGTTAGAGAGGTAGTGTTTATACCAGTTGGGTACTATTGATTGATGTTTAATTTGGTCAGATATTTAGTCTGCACAAGATTTGGGTTTAAGTCATCTATCCATTGTGGTTGTATGTGGTTTGTTTATGTTGTTTGTAGAAATCAATACATACAGGAACTTTTGTTGTTATTGAATAATAGACCACCATATACAACTTCATTCTATTTTAAGTATTTAAGCTTTCTCTCTACAAAGCCAGGCCTGAGATTAGGTCTCTCACTTGAAACATCATACTGAAAAACAAAATTTCATAGAAAATTTCCCAATAAGCAAGTTAATACCATTTATTTCACATACCAGGTATGGCCACAAGTATCACTCCACACACAATTTCTGATCCACCAAATATTTTCCTGTATGTGTGTGGATTTGGTTTCCATCCTGTTAGCTTTGCAAATGGAAATACCTTTGCACTCTTGATAAATGACTTTCTCTGGAAAAGATGAAGATAAATAATATTCTACATTTCCATGTATGTTAAAATATTCCTATACATAAATGACATAGTCTTTAAACCAACAGCTTTCACATAGATGACAAGGATAAACTCTTGGTCTTCAGGGCAGGTACCCTTAAAAGATTTTTTTGTATTTTTTTCATGAAAAGTATATTTGAAAACAACTCTAAAAAGCAGACTTTTAGGTCTGCATTGCTTATCTACTCTTATAGGTCATAAAGAGAAGACACAAATGCCCCCTCTGGCAATCAGGGGGAAATGTGAATATTAAAAGTAAAGAGTAATTGACCTGCATCTTCTTATAATACTGTACAAGTACATGTCAAATTTCAGTTCAATATGTAACCTATCACACCTTTGATAAGAGACCTATTACTGGCATGGCCCTGGATCTCTTCGTTATTGATCATGACCATTTAAAAACTATCACAAAGTTGACTCTCTGAACTTTAAAGATGGTCATGGTCATTCTGTTGAGCAAATTTGACTTTCAATTATTGAGAAAACGTAATTCAAAGGGAAAATTTGATGCTGTAGCCAAAGCATCAGAGGCATATCAATGTCTGGGGACGAAGCTTTAGTGTCTGTGCTGTAAGAGTGCCTTTTGACTAATAGCTAGGTAGCTAAATGGTATTTTCTTTCAATATTAGTCATGACAGTCACATGAATCTTCAATTTTTCTTAACCCTAGCCATTTCTGTTCTGTGGAACGGGCAGTTATCATTTTGCCCACCATTGTGTGACCTTTATTTGTTCTTTAAAAGTCAGATCTTTTCCCTTCTTTTCTTCCTTTTTTAAGAAATAGCAATATAATTCATTAACTACCTAATCCAAGATGGTCCCCTGTCAGTTACGTTATTTTTCTGATCAGTCCCAAAATCATGAGGGCACAATTAGGGACTAAGAGGAATCTACATATGGAGTTCAAGAAAAATCTATCACAATCTTTCATAATCCAAATCAAAGATTGTCGCATGTCAGCATAGCTTGAGACCAAAAGTAACCAACATATTAAATTTGAGAAGGAACCATTCAGTACTTTACAGAAAAATCCATACCATACTATCAAAGTCAAAATCCTAGATGGTAACCTGTTGGCAATTTTTGCATTTGGATCAGTCCCAACAGCAAACAGGCACAAGATGGGACCAAGGAGCATTTACTGTTACACGTCTTGTACTTCTCAAGAAAGAGCTATAAAAATAATTGTGTACGGAAAGACAGACCATGGATGGACCAGGAGCATAGAGAAATTAGAACTGATGATCGTGGGCTCAAAAGCAAAGGAATTTTCCTGTGTGAAGAAATTGGAGAAGGAAAAAAAAAACACATTTTTGGGCTGGTTACCCTATACATTTTAAGATGCCCGCCTAGGTGATGGGCGAGAGTGGTACATATGCACCATTCGATCATCTGTATTCAAAAGCAACGATGTGGTGTGAAATGGAACAACTTAAAACAGTTCAACTTAAGGAACGTTAAAAAACATAACTTAACCGAGTTGTCTCCCCTCACCCGGTAACTTGTATGTTTGGTTCATTGAAACATTTGTACGTATATTTTGTATTCTCATACAACCATTATGTTCATAAACGTGACATGTTGCGATCAGAATATGCACGAAAATGACTGATTCTTACACTATTTGCTATTCTAATTTCTTTTGTAACGTGCCGCTCTGTGTTAATCTTTTTCACTCACCATTTGCCTGTACAGTTCATCATTGATTGACGGTGATAACTTCAACGTTCCGATAAAAATGAAAAAGATTCCCAAAGTCAATGAAAGAACCCTTAATACAAACGAGGCCATAATTTCTTCAGATTTTGGCGAATTCTTTAAAGCATGCCTCGCTCAGCTTCTGCAACTTCCAAGACAAAGAACGACAACCCCCATCACTACTTCCGTTGTAAGGTCATATAAATGCTTGTTTTAGATTTTTTTCAGTAGTATTCCTTTAATGATTAATTAAACTTATGTAATGGAACATACTGGGATTTTAGGACATTTAGATGCATTTTTTTATTAATCATTATCGAAAACGTTACTTCATACTACAAAATAATTTTTCAACAAACATTTGTATGACTGAGAGTCATTAAAGTAAACTTCCGGTCGGTAGGTAAGCGCCGAAGCGGTGCGATTTGGATCTAGATGACATTGTTGATTTTTTTTCTAGTTATGAGTGAGATTAACACCAACTTTTAACACAGTTTAAAGAACATTTTCTGACATTTTGTCTTACACGACAATTCATTTTAATTGTCACCCGAAACGAAGATGCGATATTTTAAAAATAGATATGAGGACTACAAAGAAGGTTCGGAGGTTTACATCGATCAAGGCAAATGGAAAGCAAGTATTGAGCAAACAGTGAAAAGCATAGTGCATGGTATGCCGCCGAATCCTGCCACTTGTGACGGAGGTCTATACGTTGGTAATGCTGGAGTTGCATATATGTTTTATTATCTTTCAAATTGTGACTTGTTTTCATCTCACAAGGCATATTTTCTCGAACAGGGTATGATGTATGTAAAAGTTGCCATGGATTATGTAGAGAGAGGAGGACATCGGGGTGACCCCCCTTGTTCCTTCATACTCGGATCCGCTGGGACTATGGCAGTGTATAGTTTGCTGTTCCATATTGCTGGCAATGAATCGAAATCGAAAAAGTTAGCTGAACAGTTTGCAAAATTGGCAGACCATGCAAGACCCATAGCATTCTACCGATATGGATCAGATGAGTTACTGGTTGGCCGAGCTGGTTATCTGAGCGGTGCACTTGCATTACAACAAAAACTTGGCTACAAGGTTCGTAATTTGTAAGAAATGGATTATTCATTTTGTCATGAGATAAAATTATCTGTTTAATTGATTGGTGCAAAACTTCCTAATTGTGGTATGAAACAACTGGCACAGATTGGTCATGGTTTGGTATGACTTGTACCTGTAAGGATGACCACCTCATGTTTAGAATATTTAATATGCAGAAGATTTTAATGTGAATATTTCTGTTTTCCGTTGTAAAAGGTCTATCACAGAGCGAATGCATATGCTTCTTTCGCCCATTTGGTAGAGTCATGGATTGTCATGGTAGAGATTTGGGTTCCATTCCTGTTGGGGTTTTTATTGTTCTGTTATACTGTCAATGCACATGTATTGATTTTTTGAAATCAGCTGAACAGCTTTATGAGGAAGGACGTAAGTAAACAACAATGATGGTGATGATGACACATAATCAAAATTATGAGGTGTTTGAGTTATAACAAGAAATAAAGTATTGTTATGTTTATACCAATGGTTTATGTTGTTGTGGATATCATTTGTATTGCTGTATATAAATTTGTCAGATGTTTTGCAGTCTCACTGTTCTGAATAATCAACAATGAGGGACATTTTACTCTTCCACTAAAGCAACTTGTTCAAGGACAGGGAAAAAGTAAAAAATGTTGCCCTTTGTCCATCATGTTTTTTAATTACATGTCAAATTTATAAACAGAATTTGCCATATACACTATTTTATATCAAAACTAAGATTGATGACTAATACAAGTTAAAGCTGCATTCTTATTTTACCAACAATAAGCCCATGGTAAAGAATCTTGGTTATCATTTTAATCCAATGTATCCATGTCTTTTCTTGTAGGCTGTGGATGAAGACACATTAAAACACCTATGTACTGTGACTGTTGAGTCTGGAAGACATTATTCATATTCACACAAACCTAAATCTCCCAAAGGTGTGAGGTCACCTCTCATGTATGCTTACCATGGAACAGAGTACTTGGGTAAGATGAATATTAATGCAAATTATAATTACTTTCATTTCATCAACATTTATTTACATATCTTTGGTATATGTAGGGAATATCAGCAAATTGCTTTTAAGATAATTGTGGTAGAAAAACTAAGTAACATTTTACTTAAATGAAATAAACTGAATAAACTTTCCAAATTCTACCATATAGAAAAGATACTTGACAAAATCTCAAGCTTTAAATAAAGCCACTAAAGAATTAAATTATGTCATCATTAGTGTGTGATAAGCTGTCTCTTACTGGTTGGTCCACTTTGTTGGATTGTTATCTACACTGTATAATAACATTGTGCAGATTTGTATATGAACTAACATAGTTTTGTTTATTCCTTAACATAAAGAGGCATAGATCAAATAGTTATGATATGTGCCTTTAAGTGAATAATGCCATTTGAGGAAAAAGTTTCAGAGAGCTTATATGAATGTTTAAGGGATATTCTGCACAAAGTTTGCAAATTTCAGGCGGTTTTGTACCTTTTTAGAACTTATTCTAATGACATTTTAAAAACTAATGTCAGCATCAAAATATCTTTCCTGAGGTTAGTTTGAACAGGCAAAAGTGGTGGAAATACATCTTGCCAACATAAGAAAAAAAATATTTATAAAGCATTGAGGAATTCATAACTCAGTCACCAACTGCATCATAGATTTTATGACAAGTCTACACAGGTCTGTACACTTTTAACCCATAACTTGTTGTGTTATTGGAATTCTACTGATTTATTTAGATTATTTTGCAATGTTCGCTTAATAAAAAAAATTAAATTGATTGTGAATCAGTCTAACTAAACTAACTAAATAAAGAATTACCACAAATTTCATATCATACAATTATTTGTATGGTCAATTGAGACATATTCTATAAGAACAGAAAATCCTTTTGTAATTTTTCAATAAAACACATCTTATGAAATCCAAACTTGTGCCAATATCCTTTTAATATTCAGGGAACAATAAAGTTTTCATGATATACTTATGCATTTACATTTCACCATAGCCTTCAGGAATAAAATCCCTCCATGGGATGGAAGGTGAAATTAAGGGCATGAAATTTTGTTAATTTCTCAGATAAAGGGGCATAATTCCATTAAAGATAGTCAAACTGCAAAATAACTCCATGAGGCAATACTTGATATTGTACTCTACTGTTGTTTAAAACGAAATGTGAAAATAGAAAAAAAAGAATTGGAAAAAAACATGATTTGGAGATGAGTGAGTGCACAATCAGACAAATATCTGTGTTCATTTTCACAGAAAAGGGATAAATTCTTTAGTTTGGATTATTGTTACTTTATGTCCTATTAAAAGCCAAGGGCATTTAAGGACGTGCCAGGTGTGGATGGTTGAAAAAAGCTGGAGTTTCATGGAACAAAATTCACTGACCTGCAGCCAGTACCTGGTGACTGCCCCATGTAGGCCTCCAACCCATTACCCAGAGGAGAGCAAGTGATAAAGGGAGGCTGATGCCCTAACCACCCAACTATGGCGGCCTGTCAAAAAAGAGGAGTCAAATGCATAATCACTTCAGAGGGCACAATTCCATATAGCACTAGCACTTCAAGTGAAAATTCCAACACATTTAATAATAAATGATGCATTGCCACAGTTTGTTTTTCCACATAAAGAGGCATAACACTTTAAAAAAAGGTTGAAATGAAAAATAATTCGAGGGGTAACAACCCCAAATGGTACTGGCACTTAACATCCATTAGAAAATAAGCAGATGTGTCAAAGGTGTCAAATGTAAAATCACTTTCGGGTGCACAAGTCGGTATGGTATTGTTACTTGGAAATCTTAAGAAAATCCACAGTTGCATAGCTTTCTAGGGCAGGGGCTATTTCTCCAGTATACCCCTTACTTCATTGCTTTGAGTAATAATATAACTAATGCAAATAAAACAAATGCATACATCACACTTATCTAAAGAAAAATAACTAGGTTGCAGGGATCTACTTTCAATGTAAGTAATATCAACATTTCATTACTAAAAATAACCCTAATAAAAGTACATCAGAAAATTGTCTTAAAGCACCAAAATATTAAAACTATGTTGCAGTGACTTTCTTTCAAATGTAATACAATGTTGATCTCAAAATACAAGGCAACAATTCTTGTTGTTATTAAAATAATAGAACTAAAAACGTAAATAAAAATTTTGATGTCTGACAAATACACATACAACTCATTGCCAGTCCATATGCTGTGTTTATATTGCATATTTTGCATGTTTGTTTTGGTCAGAAAGTTAAATCAATTAAAAATCAGATGATTTGAAAAGTTACCTGATCCTGCTTTGTAGGTGCTGCCCATGGTCTGTCTGGTATCCTCCAGATGTTACTGAGTTTCCCTGAATTTTACACCTGTGAGGACAGTCAGATGGCTGTGGAGGATGTCCACAAGGCAGTTGATTTCATGTTGAGTCTAGAGCAGACCAATCATAACTATGCCCCCGCAATGGACGAGGTTGGCAGGGGTAGACCTGAGGGTGAAGACCTTGTTCATTGGTGTCATGGTGCCCCAGGTAAAGGAACCTTGATAAAGACTATAAATCATAATCCAAATGAGGTGATATTATGTCAGACTTACAAATTTCTAAAATGAATGGTATATTTTTTATTCTTTTTTCTGTTTGTTTATGCTAAATACTTACATGCTGTATTTATGTTTGCTTTATTTCTTTTAATTCCACACAAAAATGGGTATACTTTGATATATACCAAGGACTAACAGAGACCTTATGGTCCTTTATCTATCACATGCTACCCAATGTTGTTTGGAAACACACTCCAGTCTGTGTCTGCGTTATTTACCATTTTTACTGTAGGTGTTGTGTACTTTCTAATTTACCAGATCAGTAGTATGTCAGGAGTTATCAGTCTCTTGATTTACTCCAGGTATTGTGTACATCCTTCTTCACTGTATCTGTATAATGTTAGGAGTATTCATCCTCGTTTCATTCCAGATGTTTTGTACATCCTACTTTACCAGATCTGTAATGAGTTAGGAGTAATCACCCTCATGTTTCACTCAAAGTGTTTTTTACTTTCTGATTTACCAGGTCTGTAATGTTTCCCTACAGGTTATGTCATTCTAGGTGTTATTTACGTTTTTTACCAGATCTGTAAGCTATACTGATAGTGATAATCAGTCTTTCTTGTGTTACACTAGTATACAAAATAATCAAACTTTTTGTTCCACTCTAGGTGTTATTTACCTGTTCGCCCGGGCCTATAAGGTTTGGGGAGATGAGAAATACCTTCAAGCCTGTGTAAGGTGTGGAGAGCTGACATGGGAGAAAGGACTGTTGAGGAAAGGTCCAGGTATTTGTCATGGTGTGGCTGGAAGTGGCTATGTCTTCCTCCTACTGTACAGGCTCACTGCAGACAAGAAGTATCTGTACAGAGCACTCAAATTTGCAGAATTCATGTTCACACAGGAATTCATGAAGGGAGCACGAGTTCCTGACATGCCTTTCAGTCTGTATGAAGGGTGGGCTGGAGCAGTCTTGTTCCTTGTAGACCTCATGCAGCCAGATAAAGCAGAGTTCCCTCTTTTCAATGTTGTGTTTTGAAAGCAAGTTTTTATTTCTGTTAAATATTTCAGCCACGCAGTTCCCTATCCTTCAAAAAAAACTTTGTGGACATGATTTGACTGCAAACCTTTATGTGCATTACATTTCTGGAAGACACTAGAAATTCAATTTTTGCTGTTTGAAATGGTTTGAACTCTAATATTATTAATATTTTGTTTTTATATGTATATATATCTTGAATACACTGTTAACAAGTGAAATTTGAGTATCTGTTTGTTGTTGTTTTTTTTTGAAGATTACTGCCATGGATTTGCCTGTGATCAATTCTTTACTGGACTGTTTGAGTGCAGAATACTATCTGGGTCACATGCCCTTACAAATTATTTCCTTGACAAGGCTAGATTGTTAGCAGTGCTTTACCATACATAAATTTGCTTTTGTTCAGTTTTCGAAAACAAAAGATCAGAAATTACAGTGTCAACTAAAAACATAAAATGAGCTGCAGTCATATTCCCATGGCTCATTTAAATTCCACCATTTTTTGGTTTTGAATTTTGATAAAAACACTAGTCGCTGAAGCTGCAGCTCAGACATATGTACCATCACAGCTCTTTATTTCCTTGCTGGGTTTATCATCCTGTGAAAAGCCAGAATTACTTTGAGACAAGTTCTCCTTATTGTGGCTACTTTGCTGATCAACATATAGGAGTCACTTAGGGTAAATCATGTAAGTACAGACTGGTCCATTTTTCAGCATCCTGTGCAAACGCTTCCTTATGATAAAGGTTGGAGCATATTGGGATATGAAACCCACTGCTCATCATGACTAATTGCACTCAAACAGAGAACAAAACACCATTAAAATTGCTAGCTTTTAATCTTGGCAGCAAGATAGGGCACTTTTTGTAATAATACCTTTCTTTTCTTACTTTTTTCACTTTAAACAGCAAAAAAAGCAGCCCTCTACGAGACTAATGTCTTTTGAAAAGCCGTTCAGTACAATACAGACTTGTCATGCATTGGCTCTAGGCCTAGTAATACAATGATTGACAATGTCATCACCATCATGTTTCTCATCAAGTTACTATAACAATAAATGTGTAAACACACAAAAACTAGTACATCAAGCAAAAAACAGACCACAGATGTATACCATGGGATTACAAAACAATACCTAATAAGCGAAGTGAATGGACATTTGCCTTCAAGATAGCCGAATAATTATTCTGATGCATTAACTTCACAAAAATTACCGAAGAATATTGTTAATAGGGTGGAAACATTGAAACTCTGTTCCCTATAATTTTTTTAGCATAAGAATAGAATTTACTTTAATGTGTTATTATGACAAGTGTACTGCCATCAACTTCTAATTTTGATGGAATCTTTTCAATACTCCTATACAGTTACGAAATTGAACATATTAGTTTTAAATAGTATTAACTATAACAAATAAGAATGTTAGTGGAACATAATTTCCTCCATAAACCCTAAGCAAAAATAGGAAGAAAGACTAAATGAAAGTAAGTTGTGGCAAAATTAACAGTGATATAATGAGTGCCAGCAAGTGCTCAACAATATTACTGCAGTGAATATTTGACCAGGAATTGGACAAACCTCAATGCAACCTCAAGTGATTTTTTAGGTGTTATAATAGTGTAGAACCACGATTAATCTGATCCAATATTTGAATTGATCAGATGTTTATTAAAATAACGTTTGACATGCATTTATTTTGTCAGAATTACAAATGACGAAGACAAAATTACTCCAATTTCAGCAGTACTGTTCAGTAAAAAGACTAATAATTATGTGCTTGAAATAAGTATGTTACCAACAGTTAAGTGAAGACTGTAATTTCTTTCTGAGGACACCATAAAATAAAATGCAATTTTTCACTCCTTATCATAATATTAAATTTTGATCCATTTTATATCAGCATAGACTGTCAAGAACAAACTACCCTGGTAGTAAGAACACAAATTACTGAACAACATAAAGGACAATATCAAAAGTCATCTACCTTACAATATATTTATGTCAGAAACAAAAGAAGAGAACACTCTTGCCTCTTTTCACCTCCAAAAATATTGTATCACAAAGTTGAAAACTCTTGCCAAAGGTTTGAAGAGACTAGGAAATGACTGTAAGACATTAATTCCTCTACTCTTACACAAACTAAAATTTAATCAGGTGTAGAAATTGATGTTATGATACTGTTTGATAAATACAAACCAATTCTTTTGAGAGACGTGACAGCCAGACATGGGTTACACTATATGCCCCCCATAGAATGTGGGGTATGAAAAATGACCGATAGAGAATATTTTGGTATTGATAATGCTGGCAGATGCAGTAATTGTGGAATATTTAAAGCTGGTAGTCCCTGTGCAAGCTAAATACCCATGTCTTAACTTAATCTTGCATATTCCTTGGATGCACTTTTAAAGGAAGAAAATGTGTAGCCAATTCTTAAATGGTTGTATGTTTCAAATTGTGGCCGTTTTACCAAAGTTTGAAATAAAATGGCTGCATTTTCCAGATATCATTGAACAGATTATTTTGGTTTCTCTATCGATTGTATTGTCAACATATCTTTTTCTTGTGTTAATTCAATCCTAAATTTTATTAGAAGCCTTTGAAATAAACTTTACTATCAATGATATCCACAAGGTCAACTAAAGACATCACATCTTTTTGGAAAAACATATATACCAATTATTTTTAAGACATGATAAGTGGATTATAATCAAAACCAGCTTAAATCTGTATACAGAATATTATACACATTATTTTACACCATTTCCTAAATGGCCTGAAAAGGCAAGTATTGCTGCAGTAAGAATTCAGACTACTTCAATAACAAACCAAATCTTTCAAATAAAATTGACATTACATTCATCAACAGCCCTACTGTACAAATTAAAATCAATGGATTTACCTGTCAGTTCAACATATGCATCAGTGCACCTTTTGGCAAAAACTTGCATTTATTTTACACAGTACTTCTTAGCACTTAGAGAAACTTAAAAACATACAAAGTACGGCAGTTTAAGTTCAAATAATATCTTATGGTAAATACTTGTAGAACCATAGCTTAGAACCTGTCTTAAACCTATAACAGACCTACTAGCTAGAGACATAAATCTTAACTTATACAAAGAGAGAAACCTCCTGAACTGAAACATTAAATCTTAAAACATGTTGCTGCTTTAATGACAAAATTAGTTTAAAATAGCCAAATACAACCAGTGTTTGGAATTAATCAAAATTAATTCAATAAAAGTACAGGTTAAACAAGATCTCAGAAGCTTTGCATGTACTCTTCATGCACACATGAGACAGATTTCTCTCAAACTCGTTAACATAAATATGGCAGTAATATAATAAACATATGTGATACCTTGGGAGATTTTCCCCCTCAACAAGATTTTGTTTTTTACAAGGGTAACATAGCACAAACCCTAAACAAGCTGAATAGATTCACCAGTATGATACTTAAAAACCAAACATACTTATGTCTATTTTATCTCAAAATACTGCTACAATTGCGATTTGTAGGAACATTAGAGTAACGAAACAACATAAATTATATAGGAGGCAGTCGGCATTATGAAGACTAAAATGTGACATTCGATAACAAGCGGCTATTGGTTTTGAAGTTATAAAAAATTTCAAATTATCACAACTTTTGTAAATAATACCAATTTTCATCAACTCTGAAAAACAAGTTAATTTCAACGTTGGTCTTTTTTTCTAAAACAAAGAAACTATATTAAGAAATAAAGTTGTAAGAATATGAAAGTTTAAAGAACTGCCAGAACCTGAGTGCAGGTTTCCTTTAGGGTTGGTTCTATTGTTTAGATGCTGGTAGTTTTAGGCGTGTAGTCTGTGGCATGGGGATTGAGGTTGGATTTGATAACCATGCTGTTTTCCTTCTTGTAGTTTGATGAGTATAATGGTGAAGTTGAGGTTGTCTCCATACCACATCCATTTACTGTTGTGGAGGAAGGCATCATGTTTATAGCCATTGCCTCTGTCACCTTCGACTTCAAATCTGCAATTTCTTTATCTTTTTCAGCTACTAGATCTTTGAAAACAAAACACATGCAAAATTGTTCATTACTTCAGAAATAAATTTGAAAATAACCCCATTCCCCTACCATAAGCAAAAAACTGTATTTACAGTTTAACTCTGTCTTCTATTCAGAAATGCATGTATCTGCACCAAAGGCAAATATGGATTTAACTAGTGAAGCATTAGTGTTTCTCATTACATATGCTAAGTGTGACTTTGACAAAAACAAATGCCTGGTGGTTGTGATGTCAATTGATATGCACATTTTGTCGTATAATATGTTATATAAGATTACTTCTATTAAAATCTGCATATTGTAGGAACAACAGTTAAGATATAGATTTGAAATGGAAAGCACTTTTACTACAAAGGAGGACTTACTTTTGAGTATTTCTATCTGTCTCTTTGCTTCTCCTAATGCTGAGAACAAGTCCAGCTTGATCCTTGTTTCTGCACTCAAGCTGTTTTCTAGATGTGTGTTTTTATCCTGCATGGCTGATAGAGCCGACATTAGCACATCAGTTTCCGTCTGTGCCTCTTTATATTGATGAAGGGACTGAAATGGGATAATATATATTCATTAAAATCTCTGCACACACACCAGTTCATTACATGTACATTGTACTAATTTTCTCGCTTCTGACAAAGACCTTGATAATAACGACATTGAATACAGTCCTTAAAACATAATTAATAACATGTATGTACACTGAATATATCACAAACCAAATCTTAAGTAATCTTGTCAAATAAGCATAATTGTTCAGCTTCGCCTAGATACTCAAAATGTTGGAGTAACCTCTAATTTAGCATAATAATCAGTCAAATTTCATAATTACCTGATTCTCAAATTCTAGCTGTCGAAATTGTTCTTCTCGAACTTTGAGGTTTTGTTTGAGCAGTTTAATATCATTCTCAATATTTTTCTGTCTGGCTTTGCAGGATTCTGTGCATTCACCCCTTAAAAGGAAACAAATAATTGATCATTATTTCTGCAGCAAGAAATTGTATAATATACCATTTTAGTCACATGTACTGTAATTACTAAATTTTCATCTTACAACAATCTGTTCTACACAGTTTAACAGAGCTCTAGTTTCATTTATATCTACTTAAATACTTAAGGTAGCAATTTATCTTAAAAATCAATTAAAAGTGTTGAATTTCAAAACTGCACTCTAGGATATAGTGTAATAATTGTAAATCCTAAATGGTCTTTTTTTTGTGTAAGGTGTTTTTAAACAGAGGAAATGATTATTAATTTAAAAAATTAATTTTTTAATTAATTTAACAATACTTTCAATTATTTAACATACCACTCAAAACATCAGTTTTGACCCTGAAGATGCATTGTCCTTAATAGCATTTGGCAAAGTTTGTTAACCAGAGATTATGAGATAATTTCCTTCACCCAAATGTATGGTGATGTGCATACACAATATATCAATGTGGATAATAGTGACCATTACAAATTACTGCATGTTAATATTCCCCGCAAACTAAAATCATTACAGAGCACCACACACAAGTTGATATAAGGCAGACCTTCCATTGTTTTTTGCACTTTTGCTTTGAAAATTTTATATCTCTGAATTTTGTTAAGATTTTCAATATTCTGTATTTCGGTCATTACTTACAATATAAATTTCACTTCAGTTAAAGAGAAAATTATCATTTCTTCCACTATCAATTTTATATATTTTTTCTTTCATTGAATACTGAACTGGGGACATACCTGGCTGCTGCTGCCATAGCAACGGCTCGTGCTGCTGCTGCCTCCTCTGCCTTTTTAGCTTTCCGTTCTGAATTTAACTGTAATTCTATACCAGCCCTGCCTTTCCTTTCCTCATTCAGTTTCTTTTCTAGTAAAAGGATACTCTGTTTATCTTGCTGCCTGCTTGTGACAAGATTATGGAGTCTGAAAAATTGAAAAAGAAAAAAAATTTACTAAAATTCATATTTACTACAAACAAATTCCATCATCAATTTATCATACCATAAAGCATGCGTTAACATCACATCATCTGATTTATTTCTAATGCATATACCAAGTATGAAGATCCTAAACAGTGGAAGCATTAGAACTCAATGTCACTGGTACAATTATTTAGGTTTCTCAAATATATTTGAAGAATACAGAAACCACTCATGATTCCAGAAGCACCTTCCCACAATCATACATTTTGATGTTCTTTGGTTCTATGTAGGTTTTATTTTGATTCTCTTCCCTTCCTCCTGACAGTATTTCCCTTCCCCTACTCTTGCATTAATAGATGAGTATCAAATGTTCTTGTCAAAGAGCAATGACAATCATTCAAGATTCAAGATAACTGCCTCCCGGCCACCTTTTCCCTTTCTATGGATAGAAAAGGCACTTTTAAGAAACCAATGAGAAGCTTCATTTATAATGTGAGATCCATCCAGTGCTTCTCAAAGACTCAAATTGTCAACCTACCTTTCCTTGATAATAGGGATAACAGGAATAGTTTTAAGGAAAGACAATGGATAGAATATAGGGCGGAGACAAAGAACTAATTGATCAGCTGATCATTTGGATGATAATGGGTTATAACTCAAAATCTAGATTTCTATCCTGTTGCTTTTACCCATTACTGGTATTGTTACCTATGAGGAATTTCTCCAATTGCTATTTTGAGTTGTAAATGCTATATCAAAGGAAACATATCTTTTTCAAATGTTTATAATTATCAAGATTACTTTAAGGCAAATTCAATACTATTTATTTTCACAATTTTCAAGTTTAAATTAAGAAAGTGTCAACTTCCAACATACTGTTTGCATATCACTTACTTATTTTGAAGACTTTCATTATCTTCCTGTAACTGGTAGAGTTCAGATCTCATGGATTTTTCACCACCCATGAAAGAGCCTATCTGTGTTCGAAGTTCCTGTTCACAATTTCGACTAGTTTGTAGGTCTGTTTTCAATTTTTTAATATCACTCTCAAGTCTGAAAAATAAAATGAATATATTACAAGACAACTTATTAATCCGATCAGTAAATAACACTTATGAAATAATAAAAACTTAATTGACACCGATTAATCCTTTGTACAAACACAACAACAAATTAGGAAAGCTCACAACACCCAAATCTCCCTGATCAACCCATTTTATAAAGAAAGTAGTGTATCATTAATTTGCTAAGTAGACCAGCAGAGAATCACCATTATCACAATATATGAAGAGCAAAACATTGAACTATTAGAAAAATCTTTACCAAGTTATGATAACTTTTAAGCTTATTCTCTACCACTTTTTTTTTATCTGACAGGCTTAAATCTAAATTAAATGTAAACTGAACCCATGAGTGTAAAGTATCAACAATTTAAAATATCTTACAGATGAACATGTTTTTGCAAGTTTGAACAAAAATCTGCCCATAATCATGACTTTTAGAATGATCGAATACAAATTGGACAGATCAACAAATGGTTAGAAAAAAATATACTCATGCTTGTAATATAACCAATCCACTTCCACAGGAATTGTGTATGTGATTACTCCTTGATATCTAGACCAACGAGCATGTTTTGATGATATACCGTGGTAAAGACGAACTGAGTTTCACACGAAAGTTTGGTCATGAATATATAGACACATTGTTTATTTTACCCTGTCTTAATTGGAGGTGTAAAGAGAGCACCTCATATTACCAGAGACACAGAATCCTAATTTCTCTATGCTGTAAAAACTAAATACTATTAAGTTTCTTTACAAAGAACTTACCTTAAAATGACTTCATCTTTGTTATTACTAAATGTAGCTGGTGGAGCCTCTTTGTTATAATTTTTGCCTTTTTTGTTGCTCTCCTTGCTTGTGTTCAGCTTACTCACTTGTGTCTTGCCAATACTATTTGATGATCTAAATTTACTCTGTTGGTCATTGGATATATTGTCCGCAATTTCATCAAAGTTATTGACATCTGCTTTGGACGAATTCTTTGGTAAACTTTGCTCTATAAATTCTATACTGTCATCTTCATTCTCATCTACTACTTTGTTTGGGCGCTTTATTTCTTTTTCATCATCATGTCTGCCCGACTTTTTCCCACCCGCTACACCATTTGAGATTACATCCTCCTCTGATTTTGATGGTAAAGCTGAAAGCAGAACAAATTTTATGATTGAGTTTATCCCATTGCTGCTAATAATAAGCATTTGCAGATTATTACTGGATTTTTGCAGATCAACATAAAAGTTTTTGCATCACAACATTTTGTTAACACATTTCTGATAGAAAACTTTGAGAATAAACTCTTTATTGAGTATTATGTCCCATTTGTGTGAAGGAAGTGGCAGAGCCAGCTTTACTTAGATAACATGTGAGAGCATATTATTGCAACCCACAATTTCTAAAGCTTTTTGTAAAGATTGATGATAAACAATGAAACTTCCACAAGTTACAGATAAAGTTACATAACAAATGATTGTAGATGTTCAGGAACTGGAGGGACAGGGTAACCAAAAGGTTTCATAAATGATTTTAAATTGAAAAGCACAAAAATGTTATCGAATTGAGACTTAAAGAGAATACTGAAAACAGTTAAGTTTTCAGAGTACTTCTGAGATGTCTCCTCGGATGAAAGATCATAACATGTCTTGCCACCTAGATGTTTACTCATAAATAATACAGTCGTAGAATACAAGTAAGGAATGAAGACCAAATCCAACCTTTACCTAATATATATTTAAATCAGTTTGCAAACAATGAATGATTCCTATCTGGTAAGATCAGAACATAAACAGATATACTCATCAACTATGACAATGTGGCATAGACATCAAAGGATGAAGTAAAATTTCAATCCATTAATGAAAGACTATACAACTCTGATAACAGTTTCCATAGCAAAATATTAAATAAAATGTATATGATATAGTAACAAAAATGCAATTCAAATGTTATTCAAAACCTGTGTAAATTTACCTTTCTGCTTTTCAATATATTGGCTTTGTAGCTCTGGTGGCAGAGCTTTCTGTATTAAATTTATATAATAGTCATTCTGTCTCTGTACTTCTTTCTGTTTTCTCTGCAAATACAACAGGGTTATTACATTACTCCCAAGAAAGAGCTGTACAAGAATAATTTACATAAAACATTCTGAAATTATGCCAGTTGAAACATGCATAGATATTCTCCCATCCTCTGATTTTCTTATTTCAAGAGTGGGCTATTTTTAACAACTTTTTTCCAACATTAAGACCTCTGGTACACTTCAATCCAAACCAACAAGAGCGATAAATATAACTTTGTTTCGCAAATGTTGTAAAATTGGATAAGGTTTTAGTCTTTTAGTCATCACAAAGGAAAAGTTAACCTACTACTGATTAATTCCTAAAGGTAGAGTTTGATAAGGGAAAACAATGAATGCAGAAATGATCACTATGTACTTACCAATCTCATTTTATATGATATGTAACTTTTGAATCCAAAACCTAAAGTGACAACTGGATAACCAATACTGAAAATATAAAGATTGTAGTGTTACTTACAATAATGACAGACCTATCACAGTCACAAGGTCTACCAGTTTATCATAATAACTAGAAGAAATTACAGCTACAGGTATGCACTCAAATGTTACACTGAATGTAGATACTGCCTTGCATTTTTTTTCTAGTCAATGATTTAAAGAACTTACAATCAGATAAATAATTACATTCTATTTTGGTATCTATTAACATTTAACGATCATAGCTGACAAATTTTATCATAAATAATGGGAAACCTTGATCATAATTGTTTTGGATAAAAACCTCTTATGTAATAAAGATAATGAAATAGGATATCTTAAACTACATACAAAACTGATTATTAGAATGCTGTTAATCATCTACAGCATTTCTGTTGGTCTAAAATTTAATTATAGTAAGAGATAGGCACCATAACTGCCCTTCAAATGATGATGTAGTATGTTTACTGAAAAGCTGTTTCTGCACATATCTAAACTGTATTTAGTGTTATTATTAGAACATGCAACATCATTATACAATCCTTGTTAGTCAATTTTCTACAGTTTTGAAATTAATACCAGTATTTGCATCTGATTGTATCTGATATTATGCAGTATATACTTCCCATACTAAAACATTTTTATTTGTCCTTTATGTGGTAATACAAGCATCTTTTTAATCAAATCATTTTATCAGGTACAGATTTTTTTCCTTTAAACTACAGGTTTTTAAAGCAAATATTGTAATGTGCAACACTTCTCTGCTTGATGTTTTCTTTTTTTAGAAATCAGTTTACCAGTCATGATTAATACTGTTAATTTCTTTAAATAAAGTTTAAAGGATAAAGAAGTTCATGATTTGATTTCTTTTTTAACACATATGACATAATCATGGACATATACTACAGATGATATAACTTGAAAATTAAACAGTAATCCTTACCAATGAGCAGCAAATGGTCTACAGAGATCTAAATTAAATGGTAAACTTTTGAACTCCCTCAGTCTAACAGAAGCCTCTATGTATACAAACAGCAACCATAGTGACACTGTAGGAAGACAAATGCCTCTTTCTGAAAAATAGACATGAATATATATGAGCTTGAAAGGAATATATAAACTGTATAATTGAACTCTTCTTTGTTGCTGGAAATCTAATAAGGTATTTCAGAGGGATCTTGGCACCCACCATTGTTTCATATTTATTTTTCTGTGTTTTTGATCTTCGTTGTATAAAATTAATATATTCCTATTCAGAAACAGTGATAATAATCATTATCTGTCAAATCCAATATGGCTGACAGACAGCAATTTTGTTTTCTTGATCAGTCCAAAATCAAGAGAGCACAACTAGGGACCTTGGGGAACCTACATGAAATCTGATTTATAGCAGTAACAAACTTTCTTAGTCAAAATCCAAGATGGCTACCTGCCTCTTTATTTATAACTTTTGCTAAATTTGATTTGGCATGTGCTAAATACCAGAAAGGATTTGGGTTGGATGATATACGTGACACATGAAAATTTTCAATTGGATTTTGATGTGGTCATAATTAGAAACTAGAAAGTGACATAGACTGCAATACACCCAGGGGTGTTTTGTGCAATAATCTAAGCAGGGATCTTATTATACTAATAAATTTGTTGCTGCAGGTTACTATGAGAGCACGATTGTGATGACCTTCTCACCCTCTGCCTCAATCTACCTATACAAATCAATGACAATCCAGGGCCTTTTCGCATGTTCTACAGATGTTGCCTTGATTATAGTTCAATTGATTTTAGCAGACAAACATGTCTCTTAGCAGCCTCAAGAAATGAGTATATATGTACCATACATGTAATATAAAATACAAATATATTACAAAGAAGGCTTTCAAATCAAACAGATTTTATTGGGCATAACATGCATGATATAGCCAAGTTCCTACAATTTCATCAGATTTATATTTAACCCATAAACTACAGTATGGTTTGCACAATATACAAATATGTGTATCAATAATGGTTAGAAAGATTATGATAAACAGATCAATTACATTTTTGCCAGAATAAATAGTTTTGCTCAAAATGGACATCATGCAGCAGAAAGTCATTAATATGTTGTAGCTATACCACTGTCAGCTATGTGGAAACACTGTACTTTATATTTGCATTTATTCAGAGACATTTGTTCCAAATTGTATCACTTCTTACCTGTATGCCATACATATTGTACCCATACGTATGTACTAGCCGCAAAGAATAGCCATTGTACAGGTATAAAGAGGTAGCAAATGACATCTGATGTAACTGCGATACACACAAAGAACACTGAAAAAGCCTGCAAAGAAAAACAAAAAATCTCTGCAAAAGCCATGAAGGAAAACCTGTTGAAAATTTGGACTGGATACTTGAACTATGATGTTAAAAACAATTTCAAGTATAATGCTATTAGATAACCAAACCTCTATCTTTTTAATTTATTTAAATATTTAATGCTATCTGCCCACCAACTGTATTGCAGGATTGTATCACCTGTTGCTATGCTGGATTATATTTACAACATTGCATTATAACATGAAACATGCTTAGATAAATGGAGAACATAAATTTTTAGTCTAATCAGGTTCAATCAAAAGCTTTTTCCTTTGACATGCAAGCTGGTGCAGAGAGAGTTTACTTACTAGATAGATAGCATTATATTTAATTTTTCTTAAAAGCATTTTATATGCTTAATCCTGGCTCCAGATATTTATACCTTTCTCTGACACTGCCCTCACATCCAAGGACAGTCTCGTCTTTATATCAATATTACTACAATAAAATTTTCAGTTTTTTTTTTTTAACTGTGAAAAATCTGTCACAGTCCCATAGTACATCTTGGTAACCTAACATCCCTTTGTGTATATACATGAGCAAAAACCTTGTCTAAAATGCATTTTAATCAGTAGAAATAATAAAATGTTTGAAGAGTAATACAGTTTTTGGCCCGTTTCAAAAAAGACATCTTTTTTTTTTCTTTCTCTCTCTCTTTTAAACAGTAACACTAACACTTTTAAATGCACTTTGATTACCATATGTCATTACATATCATGACCTTGCTGTGAACTTCAAAATACACAAGGCAAGAATTCCAACATTAAATACTGTAGGTTTGCAGGGTTAATGTGGTAATGAATGTATACAAGGCAGCGAACAAGCTAATGCTTAATAGTGTAAAGTTATAAACACTTAGAGATATTATTTATCTAAATTACTATCTCCAGTGATATCAATACATTAACCAATGTATCATGAGATTTATAATCTGAAACTGGAGTATTTTCTCTGCTTTCCATATACAGTCTGGCTATTATTCAGTATTAATGACATAATGTGATTAAAACCAATATAATAGAATCATTTTGAAGGCATTATTCATATTATTGTATTAATCAACACCCATTTAGACCTCAAATCATGTACTATAAATAGCAAAATGTTGGCACCAAAAATGTTTATCCAAGTGATAAAAAGAATCTAAAAGTTAATTTCTTTTTAGTTTTGTTGAAACTTATTTCATAAATTATATGTGAATGCTGATATTTGATGTTTCTAATTTTAAATCCCAAATTTCTTTCTTGTAAAATGCAGCCATTTATATCATAACAAACATGTTGGCCATTCTAGAATTTGACCTATCATACAATGCTCTCTCAATTCCAGGATGCATTAGTCTATTGTAAACTTCTGCCATGCCTTGGCTTATTGCAATTACTGTGGAATAACCACGAGAGTCAAGAAGATTTAACTGAGATCCTTATTAAAAGGTATGATTAATTAAATTCATGAGAATGTTATATCTTTTCCACTGTAATAGCTATTTCAATCATCCCATATAGGATTTCAAGTGAAAGTTCTACACAATCTGTTCCAGTGACAAATGTGGTGGGTGTGTACCCATAAAAAATTGCAGTACAGGTACCCTACAGTTTTTTGATAAAGAATATTTCTCAGAGAGATTCTAAATTAATGTTTATTAGTATGTATAATGCATAATAACACATTTTTTTCCTTCCATCAAATTTTTTCCATCTAAATATAAGCTACACTTGTATATAAGCTGCATACCTAACCCATGAAGAAAAAAATTCAGTCTTATCATCTGTAAAAAGAAAAAATGGACTTGTTCACATATTCCAAGTTTTTTATTTAGCTTTTATTCCTTGAATAACCTACATTTCTCAAAGGATTTTTTTATGCTGGTCCCTTCATGTTTACAGTATTTTACCCCTTCATCAAGTGAACAGGTGTCACATTTTGCCATAATCTACTTATGTAACATATGACTGCATCCAACTTTGTGTACTGTTTCCAATCACTGCAATATTTTTATATAGGTGATAACAGAATAGTATGTGTTTAACAGTGGCATGACCAAAACCTATACCAATGCCTATTACATTTATAATATGACCAATTTCTTGGAATATTTCATATATTTGCATTTTAGTTCAATATAGAAAAATCAACCGCTGTTCAAACTAAGTTTGTTTTTTGTATAAAACCAAATTACAAAATGATACACATTTGGTGGGAGGGTATGGATCAACTAGCTAAGACAATTCTCTTGTGTACTTTTAATGAGTTCTTTAAGCTGATGAGATAAACAGTTGGTGCACCAGAAAAACCTAATGGTTTGCGATTCCTTTTGATATTAGCAATTTTTGTATAATATGTTAAGAATATATATTCACAAATGCAACACCCAGGCTACAGTTTATACTCAAAGAAATATATAGCATCTGAAATCAATCATGTCAGAGTATATGAATAGATTAAATTTTCAATTCATGACTCATCCCAAATGAGTCAAACTACACCTATATCAAGGGAAGAAAGATACAAATATCACAGCAGAGGTGCATGGATATTCTTACGACATGGAGTAATATTTTCCAACAACAGAAAAAAAGTCAGTTTGCTCTGCATAGTCGTTTCATATCCACTTGACAACAAAACTTTGACATAATGTAAAACAATGAAACTGTTTTACCCTGACATAGGACATGCTCTAGAGACAAAAGGCAGGTCAGTTCAACAATGTGTAAGTTTAATTGTTTACAACTCAATGGGCATCCTTTCCATCAAGCAACTGTGCAGCAAATTTACTTTTGAGTATGATCTGTGTTTCCAAAAATAGAAGAAGCCATTTGAAACTCTGAGCACTTGGAATGACACTGTCAGTTGATTTATATTGGGAGATCTCAAATATTGTCTTTAGTGCTCATTCAGAATGGACATATATATACCGACTTTGTGATGCAGTGCTACAATTCTACAACAGAAATGCTGCTTATGTTTAAGTAACTATCTGCATTGTTCGATTTAATCACAGCTACTTATTTGTGCTGATCCACAATTTATCTAGATGAAAATGCCTTGTTCTTGTGTATAAAGCACATGTTTTCGAAAAACAAAAAATTTCCTTAAAAGTTTACATTATACATGCATATTCATGATAGCTTGAATATGAACTGAATCTGTACAAGCTCTGCATGGATGATCACACAGTGGCATACATAGACAGATTTTATATTCTTTGTAAGTGGGTGGAAAGTTTAAAATAAACTGCTTATTTCCCATGACTTTGAGGTCATGTGACTGCCACCTGATCATCACTGCACTGCAAAATGTTATTGGCTTTAACAAGCTCTTCTACAGAAACATAAAACTGAATGCATAACATGCATGCATACAGTATAATCAAGAAACAAATAACTTAACTTGCAACTGAACATTATATAATGAATTCATTAATTTTTTACAAATTCAATGTTTTAAGAATTTTGGCTATCAGTCCAAATGCATACTTAATCACACGCACCAAATCTTATTTAAAAAGTTTTTTTTAATTTTTTTTTTCCATCAGAATTTGAACAATATATACAAGATGTACACACATACCCAGATCAGATAATTTAATGATACTTACCAATCCTTGATATTTGAATGAATCATACACACTCCTGACTAGAAGCCAAAATGGCCACAGGTACTCAAAGCGAAATTCCAAGATGAAATCTGCCATAAGTACAAGGGCCCAAACCATTAGAAACTTCAGGTATAAGAAAGTGCTGCAAAGCAACCAAAACACAAAAATGTCAGTATTCTTGTACAAGAAATTACTATATTGCAAGACAACGCCATAACATATCATTTAGAACATACTTATACTTGAAAGTACTGGTATATGGTCAGGTACACTTAAATGTTTTGTTTAACTGGTTTAGTATTCAAGACCAGATGTAAGTGACTAGGTACAATCTTTTCATGAATTCCAGATTGTTAAGTCATGTTATATAGTAATATTATGAAATTAATTCACCATTATAACCAAGTATCAGATTAGCATCAGTATCAGCCTCATATTAACAATAATCATCTGACATTAACTACCTCTAAAGTGTAAATAACACATGCTGTGAATGTCTCACATTACTCAGCTCCAATGCATATAATACCAATCATGATATATTTTGTTTTTAAGAGTACCTGGTAGATTTATAACTATTTGGTAAGAAAATTCTAACAGAAAACAGGAGGCCCACAGGCATTAAGGGTCATCTGACTATAAAGACTTATATATGAAAGAGGCCAAATAGGCCTAAAATAAATTGCTCAAATATTCTACAGTTTACATAGAAGACATTGGATGGTTCATAAAGACATTTTATGCAAACTTGATATCATATTCTTTATACATGCACTACACAAATGCTTTTACTCTGGATATATTGCTTTTAGAAAAAAAACATGCTACAGGCCCAATATCAAGACCCTTGGCCTTTTGTTATTGAGAAGAAGTTAATTATGCATTTCAACACATTTGACCACTGTGACCTTGAAAGTGGACCAAGGTAATTTGTTTTAACAAATTCCCAGCATGCTAAAAGTCCAAATCAGTAACCTGAGCCTTCTGGTTATTGAGAAGAAGTCATTTGAATGGAAAGTTTATGCACAATGCACAACAGACAAAACATGATGGCTATAGGTCATCCTGACCCTTCACGTCAGATGACCCAACAAATGAGTAGAATATTGTGCATAACAGCATATTACATGAAGCTGGCATTATGACAAGAGTAACATCATAATATTATGCTCAGAACTGATTCATAGGCATAATGCCAGACAGTTCTTTCTTTTTATTTGTTTTAAAACTGTGATAGATACAAAATTTAATGGCTCCCTGATGAATAGTATGCATTTCACACACCATCCTTGGTACTCCAGGGGTTTATGGTCACTTTCGTTCTCTGCACCCCTGTTATGGCAAAATTGAAGGTACAAGTAAAGCAATTAGATTTTTTCCACAAGGAAAAAAAGACCAATCACAGGCTGATATGTCCCTTCTGAAGATTTCAAAGGAGCAACACCTATTGTCAAACCCATTACAATATACCATTTTGCAACCTACAGATTTGTTTGATGTACATCAAAGGATCAATTTAGTCTTTTTGTCTTGTCAACAAGGTGCTGTACATCGAACCTTCAATATTGCGTATGACATGTTTCAAGGGTGCAGAGAACAAAAATGACTGTAATCCCTGGAGTATCAAGGATGTTCACTAAGATGACTAAATATAAAGATGTTTTAACTTGGACAAAGATTATTTGGTCACACTTGTGAAATATAATGTATGATATTCAACAGGAAACCATTAAATGTCCTCTACAACTTTCACTTACGTAAACGATACTGTAATTTTAAGATTATTAACATTTAGACTGAAACATTTTCATCCAATAAAAAAAAAATACTCCACACAGCCTTTTTCGCTAATAACCAACTGATATTCAAAGTGAAGGGTGAACTTATATATATGAACTTAAATATATATAGATACAAATATGAGTAGTAAATAAAAATGTAGAAAATGGCTGCTTTCTGAGCTAGAGCCTAATCTTCAATACCCTCTAAAATACCAAAGTTTAAAACTATCAGTTCAAATTTGTTTCACCCAATTTTTGCCAATCACAAACTAATTCATTTTTTTTAATATCATTAAAATCTTCCATTTATTTATAGTCATTTTCAACTTAATCAAGCTTCCTTAGTTATTTCCAGAGACAACAGAAATGACAAGTCCTTTGCACCATACATGTATCATGACCGATCTAGAAAGGTTTATCAAAATTTGTTTTCTTCTTAAAAAATTGACGAGGGATAATGACTTGCACATCTGCAGATCCAACTCTGGACAATGATTTTGATAATACTGTCATGTGAGATAAAAAGTTACTACTTTTATACAATGTTTTTATCTTATATGCATTTACTTTGAAAGGCCAATGATACTAAATTTTCATAACATTACTTAATATGAATAAAGAATGAAAAAGTGGAAGTAGGAAAAATATATAGGCAACAATCCTATGACTTGGCATTTTTCCCTCAAATTTTAATTGGTATTTTGATTTTTTTTTTCACCCACGTATCATAAGATTTTAAGAAAAAAAATAATAAAAAAAATGCATGTCAGCAGTCAGATTAACATGGTTCTACATGTAATGACAACTGGGTATCAGTTTCATATTGGTTAATATCAATGTAAAATTCACACTCAAATCCAGAAAAAAGGATCTACAAATATCCATCTTTCATTCAAGATAAACGTCAATGACAATGTAACACTCTTTTCGTGCTGTATTCTTTTCTTATTTATCTCCAAGTTTCTTTTCTTAGGCCTATCATATAGTATCAACTGTTAAGATTCCCTTCTTTCATATAATTACTGAAATTGTATGGTCTGGTCAGATGGGCATGATCTTAGCGCTTACGCTAATTTAGATGTATAAGTTAGTGACGAAAAGTAACAAACATGAGTATCTAGTAACATAATCTAGCTCAACGCCCGTAAACGTTACGACAGCAGCTGATTTCCATGTGATGTTGCAACCAAGAGTGAATTAATGCAAAAGGTTTCGTGTGGTACTAATTGAGACTACGTTTAAGACAGCCATCTGTTCGTTGTGAAGCCAGACATGTGTGGTTAGGTGTAGTATGTCAAAATATTGAATTATACAACACATATATTGTTGACAGTTTTGACTTCAGCAGTATATCTGTCAAATATGTCTCCATATGATAATTTGCAGTTCAGCCTGCTGCCATATTGAAATGGAGAATGTACCTTCCGTAGAAACCTTCCGTTATTTTGCTTCGCTTTGGAAGGCGTCGTAGCTTGCCACAATCAGCATTTCTCCTCTTCATATTTTTCGAGATGTATACCAACACAAATTTTGTGATCCTCGCATGTATTCGTCCTGTATGACACCACAACAAACTCAAAATTTGTGTATTGTCTTCTGCTCTTGTCAACCTAATGATCGCATGCGCTCTCGAACAATCTATTTCCGCACACAATCGGCTACGTTCGGCTACTTCCGTAATCGCGCACCTTGGCATTCTGGGACGCAATCATGGCGATGCACGTACCGACAGCGCCGGGCTTTGCCCAGATGTTAAAAGATGGTGCTAAGGTAATTTATATTTCTCATATTAATGTGAAATTGGGTAAATTGGTTAACACTCTGTAAAACTCATGTTTCTGCTTATCACACAGAAATTTCTGTCACTGTTTATTGCTTCTTTCCCAAGCACCATCGAAACCATGTGACAACCATGCTGTTTGTGCTTCTTGTGTTTATGATTTCCAGAACATTCTGGAGAGTTATGTGTTTTTGATTTTAGAAAGAATGATAATTTACTTCGAGGTAGCAACATATCAGTTCATATCGCTTTGAATTTTCTGTTGTTTAGGCCACCACCGTTTTTGACAATTTTGTAAAATCATTATCCTCGATGATAATCCGTCCGCAAGTTTTTACATGCTAGGATTTTGTCGGATTGTTAAGAGTAAGCTCCCTTACCAGTTCAGAAATTTAGATTGTCGATTTAATGTAGGTCTGATAGGCAAATTTTAGCACATTACAAAGTGTTTTGTATTTAACAGTGATTTTATTGTGTAAATGCCTTGTGAAATGTCCAATATATTTGAGTCTTGTAAAGCTGTATAGCTGCGTCATCAGAGGAATTTATACTTTTATTTGATAACCTACATACCAGAGTGACGTTCTGTTAATGACAATAAATAAGGATTAAATGGATTGCTGATCAGCTGCAAAATCCATTACACACTGTGTCTGCTTATTTTACCATACCAAGTATGGTGGCATTATCTTCAACTTGTTGAAGTTGGTCATTATCATTTAGAAGTAGAAGTATACAATAATAACCTGGTTTTTGCACATAAGTCTAAACAAACCTGCTGAAAGCTGCATCCTCTTATGTATGTTCCTGAAGTAAAATAAAAGAGCTAACTTTTTACAGTACTTTCAGAAAACCATGTGCTGATTTCAAACATTCAGAGTGATCTCCTCTTAGTTTATGGATACCTTAAGATTTAACATCACTAAGCACTGTAGAAAGGCCAGCGTAGTCTTGCTCAACCAGATTCTTGTCTATACATGCAAATACTCAGTGACCAAGAATCTTATTGAGAAAAGCTGGGGTGTCCGACATGGCTTAATGAGGGGGGGGGGGGGGTGGTTTATAATTCCAATATACTTATGTAAGTGATATAATTTGATTGTTAGTTACTAGTTAAGATTCCTTTCGCAGCAAGGGATATTTCCAATTGGAAGCAATCGTTTATCACCATGAAGAAGTAATATTTGTTCAAGTTCATGTGAAAACATTTTGAAAATCAGAATTCATGTTGCTGAACCGAAATAATAAGTCCATGCTAGTCTTTATTATTACATTACTGACTAAGAAATGAAGAAGTTAGCACAGTATGTAGTTTATAGAATTGTCAGGTACTCCAGTTTCCTGCTACAGTAAGACACCTCACACACATTCATCCGGGCCAACAAGAATGATTAATATGGGCATGTTATGGAGTTAATTCAGTATATATGACATCTGTGAATAGTTGGGGGGTCAAACAAGTTATTACCGTAAATATTTGCATATAGTGCACACTCGCGTATAGTGCGCAGGTACTTTTTGGAGATCAGATTTTTAAAAAAAAAAAAAAATCTACAGAAAAATTAATTGACTGGTCACTGCGACGAAACATTTGATGTGGTCTGATCCATTGGTAAATAGGAAACCACAATGAGCGTGACCCTAACACCTGTAATTACCTTAAGTAAACAAATTTACCCAGGTACTTTCTCTCTTTTATTTTTTGATCAGATTCATATGTTACTACATGTTAAGAGTTCATATGAGTTTGATGTTGGTCAAAATGCAACATTACAAAACTTTGAAATCCTTAAAATAGATTAGACTCAATGAAACTTGTGGTTTTTATCATCATATTTGAATGAAATTCAGTATGATGTTTAAAGATTTCGGAGGATTTTAATATTGTTCAACATTTGCTAGAGTTACAGATAGATCATTTCAAGTAACTTAAATTTAACTAAATAAAAAATCCCTGAATTTTTGTCAGAGTTACCATACTTAAGTTTAGATAGATAATTTCTTAGTTTCCAGCAAATTACTCTGATATTTTTACTTTAAGATGTGAAGGAAATTTGGTTTTACTTTTATATTAATAAAGATCACTGATTAGTTTGATATTGGTCAAAAATTGGGTAAAGTTTTGTATATCAATAAGATCTGAGATAAGTTCAATATCTGTCCAAATCTGAGTTGCAGGGCTTTGAAAACAGATGATTTCTTTGTTTCTGTCAAATAACTTTTGATTTTTTTTATCATCAAATATAAACCAGTTTTTGTATTGCTTTATAATAGTGAAATCATGAAAGTGGATATTATTGGTCACAGTTCTGTCAATATTTGCCAGAGCTATGTGAATTTAATTATGAAGCAATAGTAAGAAACTGGTTAAAACAACATGTTCTCCAGATGTATTTTGCTTTCCTTAATTTGTAGAGTATGTCCCATTTTCCAGGCCTATCAGTATCTTATACCCATTTGACATAAAGCTTTCCCAAACAAAACACCTGCATTCCTAACAACATTTCTATCTATTGTACCAGATTTGTTCACCTTGATCTTCAATGTATGTCACAAATGCCTTTGGTTGAATGACCCCGCTTTCCCGTTTGCTTGGTCTTCATAACTGACTTCCCTGTGGGGATTAATGTTTCTTAAGCAAATTTTATTTAAAGAACCAAGAGCCTGAAAAGAAAGTGTAACTGTTTCCAAGTTTTTTTTTATTATTTAGAAAAGACGAAGAAAGAGGTTTAAAGTGATTTTGTTATTTGTGTACATATTTTTTGTTCCATGTCTGTTTGAGTGTGAGAAAAATATAGGAAAAAGGTGCCATAAAGGTGTTTATGCACATGACCCTTGTTTTGATCCCTTTACCATTGATTTGGGTATTCATGAACAAATGTGTCACTCATGATGACCAACTTGGCGATGACCTTGCAGAAAATGAGTAGTGATTTAAAACTTATGACAGGGAAGAAAAATCATCAAATGAAAACCTATCATTTATGTTTAAATTTGAATTTTATAGCACTACAGCGGATTGGAAGAAGCCGTCTATAGGAACATAGATGCTTGTAAGGAGTTAGCCAAGACCACACGATCAGCCATGGGTCCACTAGGTAAGATGGTGTGTCTGGTGACAAACGCATGAACAGGCCTTTCAGTAACACAAGATTTAAAGTTAAAGATATATTCTATTTGACACTTGAGTTTGGCATGTTGATTATCTCATATTTTGACAATTGAACCTTAGTGCACAAGTCAGACATTATCTAGTCTTGTAGTAAAACATGTTCACCGATTATACAGATCAGACATTCAGATGCTCATAGCTGGAAGTCAGAAGTTTACCCAGACCAATATTCTTTTAGTTAAGCAATAAAATTTTATCATCAAAATAAGAAATCAACACCAAATCAGAGCTTTTCTTGAATTAAAGCTTCTTGAGGCCGATAATAGGCCCCATTCCCAATTGAAATTATTTCTTATTAAAGCCAAATTCCACAAATTTGCAATTCAATATTGAAAATTCCTTCCTAATTCTACACCAATTTTTTTCCCAAGCTAAGGGGAAAATACCCCATCCCAAACCTGTGAAAAAAGCCTTGCACATATTGCTACTAGAAATTCTTAGGATAAGACGTCAATAGGACTTGGAACTATCACTGAGTAGTTACATAACTTTTAAGTTACAAAACTTTGAAATAACAATCTAGACTTGGAATGAATGAAATATTTGAATAAATTATACGTTGGTTTATTAGCCTGAAGGTTTTCATTACATTCCTTTAAAAATATACATGCCTACCTTTAGGAATAGGTAGAGAAAGAAAATAAGCAATGTAGTATGAAATAAAGAGAAATGTTTTATGTTTTAGGTCAGAATAAGATGGTCATCAACCAGTTGGAGAAGTTGTTTGTGACTAATGATGCTGCAACTATCCTTCGTGAGCTGGAAGTTCAGCATCCTGCAGCCAAGATGTTGGTGATTGCCTCGCATCAACAGGAGCAGGAAGTTGGAGATGGCACTAATTTCACACTTGTCTTTGCTGGAGCTCTCCTGGAGCAGGCAGAAAGTCTGCTTAGAATGGTATGATACATTAAAACTTTCTACTTTATTGATAGGACTGTGACTCATCAAAAGGTAACATCCAAACTTTGCTTAACAAGAATACCACTAAAAGTAGAGTGTTCTGACATTATATACATATGGCTTTGTGGTTGATTTATTATATACATACGGCTTTGTGGTTGGTTTTAAGGAATATCTTAGAAAACTTTGATCAAAGTATTTAATTTACCCAGCTTTTGATTTCCGTTAAACCTTTACCAACATTATTTTATTATATCTACAGGGTTTGTCTGTGACAGAGGTGACTGATGGCTACGAGATGGCAGCCAAAAAAGCTCAAGATCTCCTTCCAGGTAATTCATATGTTAATAGAACAGTAATATTGTTATATACAAAAGTATATTGAACCTTTATCTTAACCTTATGTGGAACATTTTGCTGGATAAATGTATAATGGGTCTTGCTGTGGAAGGAAATTGGTGAACCCATAGGAAAACCATCTGGTCACACAGGCAGCTTGGATAAAATTTCACATTTAAGGATTTAGTAAAAGAATAATAATGATTGTGTGTGGACATGTATGAATTTGAAAGGTCACAAGAACACATGATATAAAATGTTTGATGGAGGAGAATAGACTAGGATACAACCCCACTGATATCATTTAATGGTGTCATATCTTATTTTAGATGCAGAGTATAAAAACCTTTTATCACAGATTTAATTGACCTAGTTAAAAGCATAATAAATTTGATTAATTTGTTAGTTAGCTATTTGTTTCCCTCAAGGACTCCTTAGAATAGAATGAAACTGATACATCACTAAACTGTATCAACTCTGGTTGATGTTCCCAGTATTAAATGAACACTGTCAAGTCTAAAATGTTTTCTTTGTGTAATCTTTTCATTTTGGTGTCAAAATTTGTCTGATGTTGGTTTTCAGTCCAAAAATTGCAAATGTTAGCTCCATTGTCACATTCTAAACCAGATTCCAGATTAACCTGTAGCCGTGTCTGCTTGTTTTAGATCTTGTGTGTGGAGAAATCAAGAATCTGAGAAACAAAGAGGATGTAAAGAAGATTGTCAGATCTGCTATCATGAGCAAACAGTATGGCAATGAAGACTTCCTAGCAGATCTTGTTGTGGATGCCTGTAGTAAGTAATGACTACCTATTTGTTTTGTCAGCACTAGCAAATACATTGTAATTTATCTTGATGGAAACTACATGTATTGTGATATTGATAACTGCGATATCTAAAATCCTAATACAAATTTGTAAAGGGGGGGGGGGTGAAGGGGTACAAAATGCTTGCCCCAACATCACCACTTTTCACTGTATGTTTGTAATTATCCCACTTTACGTTATATGTTTATACCAGACCCCATCACTTTTATTTAGTCAATAACAACTACCTTGAAATCATCATCAAGCATATCTGTATGACCAGAGAAAAGATGCAACTTATTGTAATATAGTCATATAGACTTCCATCTCAATAAAAATTGAATTTTAGTTTAATTTAGTGAGTTCTTGCCATTAATTGTTTTAAAAACAAACCTAAGAAATATATTGATCTTTTTACTTTTAATTCAGATATTATGATTGGTCATGTTAACATAATTTCTGGTTTATTAATCTGCCAAATATTTGTTTTTTGATAGGTTAAAGTTTTTAAAAAACCTTTATCATTTGAATACTAAAATTTTCATATCCTTTTGCAGTATCCATTTTACCACAGAAAGTGAGCTTCAATGTGGATAATGTCAGAACCTCAAAAATTCTGGTAAGTTTGTTCATTCTGGAGTCGTCATGGTAGAGGGACTGATTTAGAACAACCTTCTTATCAATCATACATCATCTATGATGTACATAACTGTATTTCTTCTGTAATGTGCTAATGGGTCCACAACTCTGACGTGCATACTTTGATTTATCCTGTAATAAGTTAATGGACCAACAGCTCTGAGATGCATACTTTAATTTATCCTGTGATAATTACCTTACCTTTGACTTCGTCACTGGTTATATTACTGAACAATAAGTTAGCAGTTGTTTGTTGCTCTCCTGAATGATATTGGTGTAATGATATGGCTGAAGCATATCATGATAAACTGAGACTGTATTCGCATGTCAAAATTTAATCTCGATGAAAGACATGAAAATTTAACATAATATTTTGTTACCAACTGATACAGAATCTCGGAAACATCACACTTTTACAAACACATACATGGTCTCACAAACACTTCACTTTTTGCAAGTGACTAAAAACGTGCATGGCCGTTACAAGTTTAGCTGCAGTTTTTATTAAGAATGAGTCATTATGAAATTAATATGGAACGCGAAAAATGTAATATATTAGTTATTGCAGTATAGCAGTATATCCTTACACCCCTACTGAATAACAATAGATGAGGTTGGGCTTATTACTGGAGAAGTCAAAATGATATAAAATGAAGACTCAGAAACATCACCTTTATAGTTGAATCATAAGCACTGCATCACAAGATGTCTTTCATTTGGAAAAGATGGATTTTTTTTTAAATTGCCTAATAAATCTTGCAATTACTATTAGATTGGCTGCAGTCTTGTGTTGTTGGAATTTGTAGGGAAGTGGGATCAACAACTCAACAGTAATCAGAGGAATGGTGTTCAAACGATTGGTGGAGGGAGATCTGACTAAGGCAGAGAAATGTAAAGTGGCTGTCTATTCCTGTCCTCTTGATTCCATGCAGACAGAAACTTCGGTAAGATCTGTACTTTAGTGGTTATATTTGTAGGTCTTTTTACTATGCTGTTGCTTACCAAATAATATATTGGTTGTATTTTAAGCCACCAGAGAAAAAGTTCAGCCTTGTTAACATTTTACTGGGCCTTTAATATCATTAAAGCAATGAATCTCCATGGTACCAATCAGCAAATGATCCTTACACAGAGCTGTTATTGATCAGGACAGTCTGATAGCCATGAAATATGCCATAATTACCATCTTGAAAATTTATTTTAAACTAAGCCAGAGTCATCTTGTATAGTTTTGATTAGGTATGACCCAGTAAACAAAGTTTAGGTGAAATTATTTTCATTGGGCATTTTTTGCATTTTGTACTTTTTACATTAGAAAAGTACTAAACTGACTTCCAATAACAACTTTCTTGTTGTCCAACCTGAAATATCTGATAGTGTCCAGGTGGCCTCCATTTAGAAGCGACCACCTTGAAAATCTTGAAAGTTTTATTTTCCTGAATAGAAGGCCATATGTAATAGCAGTGTATTAGCACCATCCTTCTCAACAAACAGTGGTATTTTCTTTGAACAAACAAAAATTCACAAAAATATCTTTTCAATTTTTAAACTTCAAGTTGGAAAAAGGCAACAAATAATATTTCAACTATTAAAGTTATACTGAAACTTAAGTTATTTTGTTTTTGTTTTTTCTGGCCAAGCTTGCCAGCTGACTGCTATTTAGACTTTTCAAACAGGTCTTCATTAATTTCAAGTCGACAGAAAACAATTATTTACTATTTCTAGGCTAATATGAGGATTTGTTGACCTGAGAAAGGTGATATTCCCCGAGGCCTCCAAAGAAAAAACTCAATATCTGTTTTGTTACAGAAAAATCCCATGAAAAATAGCATTGTTAAATAATTCTGCCATAGTAATAGACATCAAATTCATTTGACTCCTTTCTTTTCTGACTTGTACATTGAATGCCAGATTCTGTTTGGTGTTTTTGGAAACTTTTTCGAGTACAGTCTTCAATTCTTACTTTGAAACTAAGGCAAGTGGGTTTTCTTGATTCATTGACCTCTGGTCATCTGCCCTGTTAACAGATATGATGCCTTCTCATTGGTTTCATGGAAATTCCCTGTTACTATTTTAAGACAAGGTTATCAATTTGCGATGTTAACTTCTCATGTAGGAATTCACAAGTTTGAGGTTAACACTGTATTTTGTTGAAACATGTGGTTGACCTCAGAGCCAATCACAGGAGAGAGATTTTCTGGTTTTTATATATATATATTCAAAGAGGTCTCCACTCATCAAATGAAAAGTAGTTTAATAATACATCACTAGAGCACCAGTCCTGTCAAGAGCTCTAGTTAAGTTTACAGACTGCTTATGTACAAATATGTTGAAAAACATTCTTCCCTCCAATTTTTGCGACATAAGGAGGGTGGCAATACAAAAACTTGCCTGTGGCAGTAAAAACAGGAATTCTATATCTACAATATAAAAGAGCTCCAAAGCACCCAAATTGGCACTGAGGGAAAGACTTAGTTATTTAGATTTTCTGTATTTTTAAAGCACATTGAGAATGACCATATGCGAGAATTGCAAATTTATTGAGGGAATGATATTGTGAGGAAATCTGTTACAAAAGTTGGCAAAAGTGAGGATGGCATAGTAACGGGTAACAAAAGGTAAGAGAGCATTGTAATTAATGATAAAAAGGTTTTGCACATGTATTGATGATCATCGTGTGATCTTATTTTACAGGGTAAGGTATTGATCAAATCTGCTGAGGAACTGCAAGCATTTAGCAAAGGAGAAGAAAATTTAATGGAAGAAGTAAGTATGGCATGATTCAGTTAGATTACTTTAAATTAAACTTCTTCATTTTAGATGATCATGGTAGAAACAGTTAAAACAACCACTCTTATCAACCAGAAGTATGGCATTTTCAAAGAATCTACCCTTTAATCGAGAAGATTTAACTCCCATTTTTTTTCACAAATAGCTGTGGGGCAAAAAATGATGCTATGTTTTCGTTTTTACAGCAAATCAAATCCATAGCTGATACTGGCTGTAAAGTGGTGGTTTCTGGAGGAAAGGTTGGGGAGCTTGCACTACATTTCTGTAACAAGTACCAATTGATGGTGGTGAGGCTAATGTCCAAGTGGGACCTTAGGAGACTGTGCAAGTCTATAGGAGCCACACCCCTACCTAGGATTGTAAGTAATATTAAAGTCTCTAGGACCTACACCCATTCTAGTCTTCTAAGGCTGCATTCATGTAACGGGGTTGAAATGTTATAGGTGGTCTTGAATTATGTCTCTATACACAAAGGGCACTTGTACCAAATGTTAGACCTATTGTATGTAAAGCTCAAAATGCACAGTTTCAGAATTTCTTGTTGAGCATGAATCAATTAACTAAGATTAAGATACCATCCATTTCACTCATACTTTATAGCACAATGCTCCCAGAAATATGTGAGTGCATTGACCCCACTTTTTATGCTGAAATTCTGAAAACTAATGATATTCAGCAAGTTAGTTTGGGACAGGAATGGCTGGACCCCTCAAACTGCATGTGCCAAATATTCATCAATCCAACATCGGTCCCAATTTGTACAAACTGTTTCAACTGCTTATGTGAAAGTGCCCTGAGTAATATGAAAGTCCTTAGAACCCACACCCTTTCCTAGGATTCACAGCTGCAAGTCTTCTTGTTGCAAATTGCATCAGGAGGAAGTGGCTCCGATTGTTGAAGTGGAACTACTTGCTAGTAGAGTTTCTGCTGCATGTTAAGTCATTTCTAAAACACTAGTAGTCTATCTAAATAAATAACATTGAAGTCTGTTGGATTCAGTTGATGCTTAAGATGCTCAGAAATTATGAAATGACAGAATCTGTTATGCATGGAAATGAACCTGAAGTTTAATTATATATGTGTACACTCTAATTACATGTTTTATAAGTATGATGTCTAAATGTTCAAAACATCACATTCAAGATTTGTGCATATTTTCCTAGTTTCATATAAGACACTTTGAAATAGCTCTTAAAAATCACTCCACTTGAAGTGTTGGGTATTTTAAATTCATACACTCAAGTATGAAATGTCTTGTCTATGAAAATCTATATACTATAGCTAAACTGTGGAACCTTTATACACAACGGGCACTGGAGAGTAAGCTAGATGTTTGGATTGTATGATGAAGATAGTGAATAAGAATAGATGAAAATTAAATGAATTAGTCAACAGAGTATCTATCCTGTACTGTTGATGTTACATTAAATTTTTACTTTAATCAATCTAAGAAATCACAAAGTTACACCTGTCAGTTTGAATTAATTATGTTTCAGACACCACCAACAACAGAAGAAAGTGGATACTGTGATCATGTGTATGTAGATGAGATTGGAGACACTTCTGTTATTGTGTTCAAACAAGGTATAAACCATTATTTTTCTCTTGTTTTATATAGTGTTGAATTTATTCTGCATCAGCAGAATGGAATAACATTGTTCTTCCAAGTATTCATTGGTAGGGCACTATAGTTTTCCTCTCTGTCTGTTCCTGCAGTTTGTCAGTGCTCTAGCTGCTCCATTCCTTGAGAAATTCTCATCAATTTTGACACACTCATTAACCATTAAAATATCTTCAGACAAGTTCAAATTTCAAGGTTGCTTGGTCAAGGTCACTTAATATTTTAAGAAAGTCATTCTCAGTGCTCTAGCTTTTTTGGGGCTGGTAGGGGACATGTTTTGGTTCAGCAATACTCGGCATGCTTGTTTGAAATATATTCAAAATACAAAAGAATTTTAGTTATCTTGTTATATTTATCGAATAGATTTATTCAAATTTGAACACAATCTTTTTCTGATACATAGACTTGATATCCTGTTTTGATTTTTCTTGCAGACAAGGAAGAGAGTGCTGTGTCAACTATTATTGTCCGAGGCTCCACAGACAATATTCTGGACGATGTTGTACGGGCTGTTGATGATGGTGTCAACACATTTAAGGCATTAACAAAGGTAAGAAAAGCAGCTTTATGTCTATTCTGACTGTTAGCTTATTTCTTTTAAGATTTCAGAGTTGAGTTTTGAGATAAGATATACATTTAGATTAATATATGGTTTGCTGATTGCTTTTAGGATGTAAGAGTTGTACCAGGAGCTGGTGCCACTGAAATAGAATTGGCCAAACAACTGACTACATATGGAGAGGTGTGTATGAACTTCTTTTAGTAACATTTATTTTGCATTCTGATCAGTTCTGTGATGTTCGAGCAGGTTTCCAAGTATTTTCTGAAAGAAATTCATATTTATTTATTATGGAAATTCACTATTAAAAAGTCTTGAAACATATATGCTTCTAAAAATGTTAGCAATAAAACCATCAAAAGCTTATTTGAAGATTATTTTGTAATACCTGAAAGCATTTTTAATATGACGTAGTGTTTAAACCGTAATGTTAAAAAAACATTTTTTTTTTTGTCCTGAAGGGTCGTCCTGGTCTAGAGCAATATGCAATTATGAAGTTTGCAGAATCTTTGGAAGTCATTCCACGAGCTATATCTGAGAATGCTGGAGCAAAGGTAAGTAGCTCCATTACCTTACTTGTAAATACTACCCACTTCCCCAAAATTAAGCTAAGAAGAAAATCTCTATAGCTTGTTTGGTGGGACCATAGTGAAAACCTTTAATATTTTCTCCAACAATTACGAAACAAGTTATACAAACTCATGTTTATCACTCATGTTGGCTCATGCTTAAGCATATGTAAGGTCTTACTGTGGAAAGAAACTAAAGTACCCAGAGGAAACCCATACCATTTCACCTCTGATAAGGAAATCAAACCCTAAAGGCCTTGATGAAAGGCAATTGTGTTACCATTGCACCTCCTGAACACCCTTAGTTGTGTTTAATCCCCAACGGAGCCATTGAAAACATAACTACATTTATTATAATATACTGAAATATGAATTTTAGTTTGGGTTTGTAATAACTTCAATATCTCTTGCCAATCATATTCCTTTCACATGGATAAACAGTGTGATGATCCAACAGTTGTGAATAGCACAAGTTCAGCATAAAATTACACTTGTGATTACAGGCCACTGAAGTGCTGTCCAAGCTCTATGCTGCTCACCAGGAGGGGAAAAAGAATGTTGGGGTTGACATAGAGGTAATGGTCTAGATTTCTTAATTACCTTTAACAAACTTTGTGATGAAAAATATTGCTAATAATATCAGAATAATGTTTAAATAACTTGCCTTTTTGGTTGAATAAAAACTATTTGTATTTATAAATAAACTTACAGTTGATTTTAAATGTCTTTTGGATGTCTGCAGGGGTTTTGAATATTTTATAGTAAACAACAGTTGAAAAAAAATGTGATATATTTGTGAAATATATTTGGTAATTGGGTTTATTTTTTTCCAAAATTAAGAAAAAAAGAATCTTCAACAGGAGTTTCTTTCAAGATAAATATCTTTTGGTATATGTTGCTAGGAATAACATTTTCCCTTTTAATTTCTGAAGTTAATCAATTTCATTTCAATTTGTCTTTCATTCCACCAGGCCAGTCCAGTTGATGTTGCTGATGCTGTAGAGAAGGAAATCTTAGATCTGTACATTAACAAGTTCTGGGGCATAAAGTTTGCCACAGCAGCTGCCTGTACTGTACTCAAAGTGGACCAGGTAAGATGGGTTACTCTGTTACTGTTCTTCACAATTTCTGAACTCTTAAAGGCCATGACGTGTCTCTCTCTCTCTCCCTCTCTCTCCCTCTCTCTCTCTCTCTCTCTCTCTCTTTCTCTCTCTGAGTTGTGTATCTTCTAATTATAGAACAAGTCTATGAAAGAGAACCTTTAAAAGGGAGTGCTAATTTTTGCCGCCTTATGGTAATGATGAAATGAGACAAATGTCTTACTGTTTTAGAACATGGTCATTTCCATTGATTTTATGACTGTGTTCAATCATTTTCTCCATAACAGATAGTGACATGGACAAGTATATTGTACCCAGTATTTATGAAAGTTTACAGTGTCTCATAACAATGATTCTTTAACTTGACAGATCATCATGGCTAAACCAGCAGGCGGACCAAAAGCAAAGGAGAACAAGAACTGGGATGATGATTAAACTACTTGAACATATTAGGAAATTATCAAAGGACATTCATGACGGCATCCATTTTTTTTTTATATATATATTCACCTGTTGTCGATGAAAGCGCTTTGGATTTTTTTGGAGAATGTTGAAAAGTGAAGTATGTTAGAAGATGTGTAAGGGAAAGAAAGGCGAGTGCAGAAGAGTGTTTTGAACTTTCATTTGCATGTGTGGAATATCTAATATCTAGACCAAATTGAGCAAGTGATATCCGTTTGATATTATTTTTCAGAATATATTGGTAGTGAATCACTTCAGTACAACCATAATATAGTTAGGCCTTTGTTGTACTTATTAAGTACGGTCAAACTAGACTAAAATGTTTTCACAGAATTACACTGCCGTGCATTGTACCAACTTTACTTTGATATTATGTGTCATACAAGGAAATTATTGGTGACTTGGATTGAATGTAGCTAAGGAAAAACAGCTTGGTAAGTGCACAAATCGAACACTGTTCTTGAATCATATCTCCTTCAAAACAAAACTAGAGTTTATTTCACATATTGCTCTGAATTGTTCAGCTACCGGTACAACCTAGTGCTATATGGACATACTGTATATCCAATCATTTGATTAGGGCTGCAGTCTCTGTGTGTGGTGTGAGTGTATTATTTATACTTGTCAGCTTTGTACCTTCAAAGTCATGTACTCTTTTGAATTCCTTTTTTATGTGATCGCAATTTTTGTCCCAAAAAAAAAGTACAAAATTGAATAGTAGATGCTTGTTTGTTTTTTATATTGTTTATCTCCACAATCAGAGATCAGAAGGAGATATCAGTATCAGCTGTCTGTCCCTAAGTCATCTCACATCTTTTCCACACAGTTACCATACATTTTGCCAATTACATGAAAACTTCATCCACTGCTTCTGCAATGTGCTTACTTGGGATTGTTTTATGGGTCAGAAGTCACAGGTCAAGGTCACTTACAATATTTAGAGTTCTGTCGGGCAGTAGCTCTCCACTATAAACAGGAAATCGGTTCCCACATATTATATAAACTTTATCCTTTGATTGCTAACAGATAGTTCTTGTTAAAGGTCAGTGTACATTTCAAGAAGTGAAAGGACAGTTTTGTCTGAACAGAAAATTAGTTCCTGCACTTTATTAGCTCGCCTATTATTATATGGACGTGTCCAATCAAACGACAAAGTGAGCTGATGGCATACCACAGCTCAGGACCATCCAACTTTTCCTACAAATCTCTACTAGTTATGGTGATTGAGTAGATTTTGACCAAATATGGTCAAAAGAATTCTTGGCGGAGAGGGGGGGGGGGACTTAATTTAACATTAATGGTGTCTGGACATAACCCCTTGACCAGTGGGGTGCAAAAGGAATAAATTCATTCTCTAGGAATGTCCAGATTATGTCCCATATTTGTCTGAAGCATTCTTCGGGGAATGACTCAATTTTGTATTAACAGTAGGTCTTGCCTCCATGGGGCAAGGCCTGATAGGGGAAATGGAGAAAATTCTTTTGTGGGAATGTCGGGATTCTGACCCACTTTGGCCTTAAGCATCCTTGTTTAAAGGGAATCAATTTTGTATTAATGGCGAGTCTTTGCCCCTGAGGCTGGAGGCAGTGGCCCAATAAGCTAAATAGAACAAATTCTTTATAATCTTCTGTAGGAATGTCGGAATCCAATGCCACTTTGGTATGAAGCATCCAAAGGTGGAAAGAATTCAATTTTACATAAACATTGAATCTGGGGACGGTGTCCAATACTGGAAATGGAATATTTTTTTTATAATCCTTTTATGGGAATGGATAAGACACTCCCATTTTGGTCTGAATCATTGCTTGGGTGAAGGAGAATTAATCTTTAATGGTTTGACTGGGGGCGAGGCCTAATGGGAAAATAGACGCAAACTTTTAGAATTCCATTTCCTTTAGTTTAGATGTAACAATTTCAGCCCAAGCCAGTTGAGCAATACAGGCCATATGTGCCTCTTGTGTAAACTTATCTTTTGCTGCTTCACATAAAGCGTTTCATAGAGGTTGCTTTTGGGTCTACATGTCACTGTTAACAGAGAATAGGTTTTCCTCAATTTCTTTGTTCATTTTGGCGGTGGCCTGTGGGCATTTACGTTCAAATTTCGGGCTAACCTCAAAACACCTTAAAAACGTAACATGTGCTTTAGCCTGCAAACTGCCAACCGTAGTGTATTGTTGAAATCCTGGACATGCCAACTGTGAAATGATTGCTGAAGATATTTTAATTAACTCTGGGATAGAGAAGATAAGCCAAGATTCAATAGTGTGAAATATTGATTTATGCTTGCAACTTCACCAGGGGAAAATGTTACTCGTATCTTGCAGTGCTACAAGAAAGTCAACTAAAAATCTATTCGAGAAACATTTCGTCAAATCAAATCGCTATAGTAACACATTTCCTTCTCAGGAATTACAATCCGAAGATTTTACACTTCCATACCTAAACGGTAATAATACTACTTCTGGGTCTACAGGTCACTACAAAGAATAGGTTTTCCTCAGTTTCTTTGTTCATTTTGGCAGTGGCCTGTGGGCATTAACGTTAAAATTTTGAGCTAACCTCAAAACACCTTATAAACGTAATATGTTGTGCTTTAGCCTGCAAAATGCCAACCGTAGTGTGTTCCTGAAATGTTGGACATGCCAACTGTGAAATGATTGTTTAGATATTTTAATTATCAACATGGGGATAGAGAAGATAAGCCAAGATTCAATAGTATGAAATATTGATTTATGCTTGCAACTTCACCAGGGGAAAATGTTACTCGTATCTTGCAGTGCTACAAGAAAGTCGACTAAAAATCTATTCGAGAAACATTTCGTCAAATCGCTATAGTAACACATTTCCTTGTCTGGAATTACAATCCAACGATTTTACACTCCTTTATCTAAACGGTAATAATACTACTAGAACAAAACGTACTTCATATCGTTTGCAAATTGCAGGTCACTTCTTCTCAAATGTACTTTGTATAAAGAGACGACGAACAATCACGTTCTTAAAAATCTTCCACTGCTTACCGAGACATTTCATAGAGTACCTGGTAACAACCTTGAAGTAACAAACGTTTCCGTTCAGTATTAGAGGTGTCCATGATCAGATCAGTTTCAGTGATGCTTTCCATGAGTAAACAGTGATGGGAGATCGCGAATGTATCCGGTAGTATGGTTTGTTCAGTGTAACAAGCGAGGGATGAGCACAAGAAGACACCGAAGTCATCAATATTGTGTAAAGCCCAAACGCGTCATGTGTTGTTTGAACTCTTTAATAGTTGTAGACACCGTCGTCATGTGTTGTTTGAAATCTAACATATGTAGACACCCGGTTCGTCATGTGTTGTTTGAAATCTAACATATGTAGACACCCGGTTCGTCATGTGTTGTTTGAAATCTAACATATGTAGACACCCGGTTCGTCATGTGTTGTTTGAAATCTAACATCATAAGACACTTTAGACGCTGTCGTCTTGAGTTGTTTGAAATCTAGCATCATTAGACACCGTCATCATGTGTTGGTTGAAATATAACACCTGCAAACACTAGGTTCGTCATTTATTGTTTGAAATCTTAACATTATTAGACACAGTCGTCATGTATTGTTTGAAATCAAACATATGTAGACTCCCGGTTCGTTATGTGTTGTTTGAAATCTAACATCATAAGACACTTTAGACACTGTCGTCATGAATTGTTTTAAAATCTTTTATCTGTAGACACCGTGATCATGTGTTTTGATTCGATACAACACGAACGCGACCTAGCATACGACTTCCTCTGATGTATGACTCCGTCATTAATGGATAAGTATTGGTGTTTCAAAACCAGTGCTTTAATGTTTTGTTTTGTTTTTGTTTTTTGTTTTCCAGGGTTTAGATATTGATGTTGTTCTATAGGTGAGATGGAGGTATCATTATCACATAATGATGGCCCACACACAAATAAATACACGTGCGTTGGTTCAATAATTTTTGACAGGGACTAAATTGTGAGGTGATTTGTTTGTCTTCCAGGGATATAATAATGCTTGTTCTAAGAAAATGATATGAGAATGAACTATCATTATCATTTAATGACGAACAAACCCACATGTTAACGATGTCTCCAGTACTGCCTGCACAGGGGCTTGATGGTTAAATTTATGACAAGGTGTCATTTATTCATGGAGTACTGCTGATACCAGTATTTGATCAAATTGATAGAGATATCTAATATACTAAACAAAAGAAGAAAGGTAACACTACTTTATTCTGTGATTAATTAATTAACCCCTTCATAAATCCTTACCAATCATGTACGAATAAAGTAATTGATTAATTCTGATAAAACTGCAGTCATGGTTCATTATAAAACTTTGCGTTCAGTTGATTTTATTCGACTGTAAAGGACGTTTGGGTCAATTTCAAAGGGAACACCATTAGTAACGGGTATGGCCACCGTTTGCGAAGTAAACAGCATTGCAGCGTCGTCGCATGGAACTCGTAAACCGGCGGATAATTCGAGGAGAGATGTTGTTCCTTTCAGCGATCAAGGCTTCTCTCACGCGTCGCCCAAGAACGTCCCAGACATGCTCAATCGGTGACAAATCAGGTGATTTAGATGGCCAATCTAACACCTGTACGTTATTCTGCTGCAAGGAACTCGTAAACCGACTGGTGTGCGCTGAGAGCGTTATCCTGTTCAGCGAAAAATGGCGCCAACGCCATGGCAAGTTTGAATGGCAGAACCACTGGTCTTAAAATTTCGTCCCGATATCGAATGCCGGTTAAATTTCCATTTAACACAACAAGCCTGGTACAAGTCCCCCCACAAATACCAGCCCAGACCATTACACTTCCGCCGCCAAAGCGGTCCCGTTCTGTGACTAAGCAGTTCGCAAAACGCTCCCCTCGTCGCCTCCATACTCTGCGCCTTCCGTCACCGTGTTGCAGACAAAACCTGGACTCATCTGAAAACAGAACATTGTTCCATTGTCGTAAGGCCCAACGACGGTGAACACGGGTCCAGTTACGCCGATTATTACGGTGACGTCGCAACAAATTGGGTCCAGTGTAGGGACGCCGCGCTTTCAATTGGTAGGCCCTCAACCTGTTGCGGACTGTTTGGGGGAGACACACGACGCCCACACAATGTCCTTGTAGTCTCTACTGCGGTTACGAATCGATTGCGCAAGTGTATCAATCGTATACGACGATCATCCCTGGCGGTCGTTTTACGGGGTCGGCCGCTTCGGGGACGATCGGATGTTGACCCAGTTTGGTTTAAACGACTTACCAACTGGCAAATTGCCTTAACACTGCAACCAAAATGCCGTGCAACTCGACGGCGAGACTCCCCAACCTGGATCATGCCTACAGCTCTTTCTCTCTGTACTTGTGACAGCCGGGGCATAATGATGAAGTTGATAGATAGCAAGATTCGGTGATTTCTAAGTCCTAAGGATCTAAGGAACAGTTGTCAGTTTGAATGTTTATAAAATTAAAGCGAAGATACAAGTTAGAAAACCTCGTGCAGCTCTTTCGCTAATACAGACTTTCACGCTTGAATGATTTTGGTAACCCACTTGGATTTTGTAATGCAAAACATTACCATTTTCTAATATTGCACAAACGTCATTTTGTTTTCACTCATTTACAGGTATTCGCCAATAAAACATGTTAACCTTTATTTTTTGCTGAGTATATATTAGTACTACATCTTATTTGTGTATTAAATATTTTATTT